GCACAGGGGTTATTCTACCCACTGTGCTATCGCTCCAGCGACCCCTCCACCCCCCCAATTTTTTTTTTTTGCTTTTTGAGTCATACCTGGCAATGCACAGGGGTTACACCTGGCTCTGCACTCAGGGATTACTCCTGGCGGTGCTCAGGGACCATATGGGATGCTGGGAATCGAGCCCAATTCAGCCGCGTGCAAGGCAAGCAAACGCCCTACCCACTGAGCTCCAGCCCCCCCACCCAAAATTTTGTTCTTAATTTTTATTAGTGAAACACCATGAGGTACAGTTGTAGACTTACAAATTTTTGTGCTTGGGTTTCAGTTATACAATGATCAAACACCCATCCCTCCACCAGTGCCCATTTCCCACCAGCACGGATCCCAGTATCCCTCCCATCCCCCACCCCCCTTCCCACCCTGCCTCTGTGGCAGGGCATTTCCCTCTGTTCTCTCTCTCCTTTTGGGTGTTGTGGTTTGCAAAAGAGGCACTAGTGACAATCATGTTTGGTCTATAGTCTACTTTCAGCATGCATCTCCCATCATGGGAGGATCCTCCCACCACCCTTTATTTGGTGCTCCCTTCTCTATCTGAGCTCCCTTTTCCCCTAGCATGTGTGACTGGCCTCCAAGCCATGGAGCAAACCTCCTGGTACTAATCTCGGGTCCACCCAAAATTTTTTTTTATTAGTGAAATACCATGAGGTACAGTTATAGACTTACAAATTTTTATGCTTGGGTTTCAGTTATACAATGATCAAGTACCCATCCCTCCACCAGTGCCCATCCTCCACTACCACGGGTCCCAGCATCCCTCCCACTCCCCCATCCCCCCCATCCCACCCTGCCTCTGTGGCAGGGCATTCCCTTTTGTTCTTTCTCGCCTTTTGGGTCCTGTGGTTTGCAAGAGAGGCATTGAGTGGCAATCATGTTTGGTCTATAGTCTACTTTCAGCATGCTTCTCCCATCCTGGGAGGATCCTCCCAACACCCTTTATTTGATGCTCCCTTCTCTATCTGAGCTCCCTTTTCCCTAGCATGTGTGGCTGGCCTCCAAGCCATGGAGCAAAATTCCTGGTACTAATCTTGGCCACTCCTGCCACCCAAAATTTTTAAAGAAAGAAATCACCCCAGAGTATTCAACCAACAGATCCCTAAAGGGCCAGGCCTCAGGGGAAGAGCACTTATCTGTCATGGTTGAGGCCCCGGTTCCAACCCTGGCACCACCAAAAAAAAAACCCAAAAAACAAAAACCGAGGTCACTTGGGAAAAACAATTCCTGGTTCAAGAGACCTGGAGTGAAGACTGGGATCAAACACTCCCAATGGCACCAACCCTTGAGTAACACAGGCTTCCTGGAGGTTCTGGAACATTCTGCACCCTTCCTTGGGCCTGCCTAGTAGCAAGCCCTTGTTTAGCAGAGTGCAGGGTACCCTGGTGTGGAGACAGTTGCATTGGTGAATGTGGGTAGAGGCCTGAGGGTGAGAAGCGAAAATGTGAAGAACGAGAAGGATGAGGAAGAAACCCCTGGGCAGGCCGGTGGGTGGGGACTCTGGGCAGGAACCCTTGCTGGGGGTGCCTGGGGTGAGACGCAGGCCTTGGGGCTGGAAAAATGAGCCACAGCTCTGAAGTCTGGACCTCTCCCCCAGACCCTGGGTTACCAGCACCACCTCCCCAGCCTCCGGACCTACGAGGGGGAACCGGCTGGAAAGGGGCGGGGTTTGAAGGTCTGCAGCCAGGTTTGCTGCAGAAAGCCCCTGTGGGTCCCCCAAACACCGTTGGGTGTGGCCCTAAACAAATTTAGAAAGTCTCCTCCCTAAACGGACCCTTTATATTTCAAAGGAAACTGTGCTCTGGGGCTGAGGGAGCCACAGGGGCGATGCCTTGATGCAGCCAAGCCCAGCTTGACCCCCGCATCACAGGGTGCCCCACTCCCACCAGGAGTGATCGCTGGGTGCGGAGCCAGAGTCGCCTCAGCTCTGCTGCGTGGCTCAAAAACCAAGATGGGGGCTGGAGCGATAGATAGCACAGCAGGAAGGGCCTTTGCCTTGCACGTGGCCAACCTGGGTTCAATTCCCAGCATCCCATATGGTCCCCTGAGCACTGCCTGGAGTAATTCCTGAGTGTAGAGCCAAGAGTAACCCCTGTGCATTGCTGGGTGTGAAGCAAAAAGCAAAAAAAAAAAAAAAAAAACCCAAAAACAAAAAAACAAAAAAACCAAGATGAAGAAAGGGCATCCGCCTTGCAATCTTTCTGTTTTTTTTTTTCCTGGGGGGGGGGGGGCACACCCAGCTGGCCTCCAGGCTCACTCCTGGCTCTGCGCTAGGCGTCACTCCTGGCAGGGCTCCGGGGACCATGTGCAGTGCTGGAAATCCAACCTGGGTTAGCCACAGGCAAAGTACAGTGTCTTACCTGCTCTCCTAGCTCTCTGACTCCCAGCACAGATTTTTTAAAAAAAATTTTTATTGAAGAGCCAAGATTTACAAAGTTACCGACAATTGTGTTCTAGGCATACAATAATTCAACACCAATCCCTCCACCGGTGTCCCCAGATTCCCTCCCCACCCAACCCCCACTCCACCCCCGCCTGCCAACATGACAGGCTCATTACAGCGTTTCAGCAGTTACTGCTTAGAGCTCCTGTTTTCAGTTCTGCTGAATCTGTGTTTTGGGTACATGGCTACACCCCTCAGCATCACTGTATAACTGACGCCCTGATGCCTGTTCACCCTTTCCTTGTTCTCTTCTTCCCCCCTTGATTTCTTCCCTTTTCTGTCTGTCAGTCAAGGATGATCTAATCATCCCCTCTTTTATGACAGCACATTTCCTCATCTAGTCATCTATATTCTACAGGTAAGTGAGGGCTGGAGTGGTAGCACAGTGGGTAGGGCGTTTGCCTTGCATGCAGCCGACCCGGCTGACCCGAGTTTGATTCTTCCGCCCCGCTTGGAGAGCCTGGGAAGCTACTGAGAGTATCTCACCAAACACAGTAACAACAAAGTCTCACAATGGAGACGTTACTGGGCCCGCTCAAGCAAATCGATGAACAAAGGGAGGACAGTGCTAATAACAGTGCTAACAGATAAGTGAGACCATCCTCTGTTTGTCTCTCTTCTGACCGACTTCACTCTACAGGATATCTTCCAGTTTCAAGCACATTGCAGCAAAGTGCCTATTGTCATTGTTGCTTGCAGTTGCATAGTATTCCACATCTGTCGTTGGACACCGCAGTTGATTCCATATCTTAGCCTGTGTCCTGGGTGCAACAGTGAATAATGGTGTGCCACCCCCCACTCCCCAGCCAAGACTGGGGAGCAGCGCGCGGTGAAAGGGTGCGTGTCAGTATCTGCATTGCAAACCATAATGCGCAAAGGTAGAGAGAGAGTATGGGGAATATTGTCTGCCATGGAGGCAGGGGGAAGGTGGGAAAGGGGGATTACACCGGGGATGTTGGTGGTGGGGAATGTGCACTGGTAGAGGGACGGGTGTTTAATCATTGTGTGATTGTAACCCAAACATGAAAGCTTGGAACTCTCTCACAGTGATTCAATAAAATTTAAACTAAAAAAAATAAATAAGGGGGCTGGAGTGATAGCACAGCAGGTAGGGCATTTGCCTTGCATGCGGCCGACCTGGGTTCGATTCCCAGCATCCCATATGGTCCCCTGAGCACCGCCAGGGGTGATTCCTGAGTGCAGAGCCAGGAGTAACCCCTGTGCATAGCCAGGTGTGACCCAAAAAGCCAATAAATAAATAAATAAATAAATAAAAGGGTGCATGTGGTACCAGTGGCAGTCAGGCCGCGCTGTGCCTGAGGGTTTGAGGATGCGTGGCCCCACCTCCCTCTGACGTGAAGTAGGCTCCTGAGTCTGAGCTGGTGAATGGAGTGGGAGCCGTCAGCGATGGCAGGGCTGCCAGGTGGGCCAGCTGGCGCGAGGATCGCTGTGAAGCAGCCAGAGAAAATAAGGGCCAAAGCGAGAACTCAGCGGGGAGAGCACCTCAGAGAGGAACCAGAGAGGAGCCATGAGGGGGTTCTAGCAGTGCCCAGCATGGACATGGGTAGTGAAAGAGAACAAGAGCGAAAGGCCCGCTGTTGGGAAGCCGTCTTGGCCTGTGCTCCCAAGAATCCTGACCAGCAGGCCCTGCCAGCACTCACAGGGAGGGAGCAGAACTGGCTGCAAGGGTGAGAGTTTCTGCTCTTAGCAGGAGGAGAATGAAGTCGGGCAATCAGCACGAAAGGTCTCCTGAGAGAAGCTTCTCTTCAGTGGTTGACACAAGTCCGCAGAATGTACTGGGTTACAGTGACCAACAGGAACCAAGCTCTCTGGGTTCAGGAAGAGAGGCACTGTGAAAGAACTTGGGATACTGCTCATCCCTGGGTCTTGTTTGGTCACCACAACCAACAGTGCTCAGGGGCCACTCCTGGCTCTGTGCTCAGGAAAGAGGGGTTCAGCCTGGATCTCTGGCATGCAGAGCATGTGCGCACACTCACAGAGTCATTTCTCTGGCCCCAAGGCATTGTCATAAAATAATCCTTTTTGTCCTTCTGGTTTTTTGGCCACACCTCAGGGTTTACTCCTGGTTCTGTGCACAGGGATTACAGCGGGCAGGGTTTGGGGGATCTTTTGCAGGATAGGTTTGCTCTTCTCTTTCCAGTCCCTGAAATCTTAACAGCTTAAAAATAGCTAAGCAGGGGGCCAGAGCAATAGCACAGCGGGTAGGGCATTTGCCTTAAAAGCGGCCGACCCGGGTTCGATCCCGGGCATCCTATATGGTCCCCCAAACACCACCAGGAGTGACCTCTGAGCATCGCTAGGTGTGACTCAAAAAGGCAAAATAAATAAATAAATAGATAAAAATAAAAATAGCTAAGCATGGAAAAAAATGAAGACAGAATGTTTTCTGTGACACCGTTAAATGTTTCCTTGGTGACTTCGCAAATAATTGTTCACTGCTTTCATGATTAATATTTGTAAACAACTTGGAGAGTGAAGGAGGATCAGAGAGCCCACGTATCTGGGTGTCACCGGAGCTGAGTGAGTGTCATCCAAATATGGCATGGCCTGTGGATGAGAAAGGATGAGCACGTGTAAAGCTTAGAATCATTTCACTGCTTTCAGAATAGCCCTGGCCAGGGAGAGAGCCAAGAGCCACATCTCTTGGGGACAGATGAGGGTCAAGTAGAGCATTGCACATTACAAATGGAAACACCCAGGAAGAGTTCCCAGAGCACTGTCGAGCACCCTGCCTGCATTCCTGCTCTCACTCAGGGTCCTCCACCACCGCCAGATGCCACTGGGCCTGCCTCAGGCAGTCCGGAGGGAATCCACCTGCCCTGGGATCTAATCTCACATCCTCCCCCTTCCTTGTGAATTCAGTCCATTTGTCTGCCTCTACCCTCCAAAGTACTGGTCAAAACCCCACCCTTAGAGTCCGAGAGATGGTGCAGGAGTGGTCAAGATTTTTTCTCTGGCACAGAGCCGACCTGGGCTCAGAAGGGGCCCCAGATATGTATGCGGAGGCAGGAAGTGGGGGCTAGGGGAGGGATAGGAGTCTTGCTGGGGGCCAGAGCAGGGGAAGTCAGCCTGGCCTGACGTTCAGCAGATTTGTTGCCTGTTTTGGTTAAGTCACTGAGTCAATCTCAGCTTGGAGGTTAGTTCATGTTGGACCAGCAGAACCTTGACAAGGTTTTATACAGAACAAGAGTGTGACCCAGATCATCTTCACAAGCTTTCATGGGGGCTGACCCCACTACTTGGGGACAGAGAAGCCTCCACCTGCATCCAGTCTCTGTGGGACAGTTCTGGTGTCTTTGGGGTAAAATGACTTCAGCAGAAACGTCTCCCAAGCGGGAGATCCTGTTGGAGGCAAACACATATTGCCGTCCTGCGCCCTGGAAGGGGTTCTGAGTCAAGGAGAACTCAGAACGCAGAAACCTGGGTGGAGGGGCACAGAGGATAGGCATGCGTCACAGCTCGCTGACCCCCATTCTACCCCCATCACCAGCACTGCGACAGTCCCCTGAGCAACTTCTGAGCTAGGAGCTGGGAGGAGCCCCCACCCAAGCATTGCCGGATGTAGCCCAAACATCACCCCTCACCCAAAATGCGAAAAGCAGAGGGCTATGGGGCTGGAGAGATAGCACAGCCGGTAGGGCGTTTGCCTTGCACTAGCGGACTCAGGTTCGATTCCCAGCATCCCACATGGTCCCCTGAGTACCGCCAGGATTAACTCTTGAGTGCAGAGCCAGGAGTAACCCCTGTGCATCACCAGGTGTGACCCAAAAAGCAAAAAAAAAAAAAAGAGAGAGGGCTAGAGACATAGTACAATGGGCAGGGTACTTGCCTTGCACTTGGCCACCTGGGGTTCAACCCCCATCACCCCTTACGGTCCCCCCCAAGTCCCTCTAGCAGCTTACTGGGGCCCAGCGCCATAACAGGAAGAGTTTTCCTGGCATACGAGGGCCTGCTGTGTGCAAGCAGCCCAGAAACACCTGTGAGCATGACACAGGCTTGTCTAGAGCCTCCTTGGACCCCCGCAATAAAGGGCAGGGAAGGGAAGGCAGAAATCTGGTTCTTGCGCCCTCAGCACATTTGATCCATTGAGGTCAGAGAGATAATACAGCAGGGAAGGCAGGGAAGGCACCCAGCTGACTCCTGTTTGATCCCTGGCACCCCATTGGGTCCCCAAACACCACCAGGAGAGATCCCCGAGCACAGAACCAGGAGTAGGCCCTGTGCATCACCTAGGGGGGCCTAAAAACCATGATATGGAGACAGATAGATAATCAATAGATGAAAGATAGAGAACAAGGGCCCGAGAGAGTTTAGCAGGAAGGGTGCTGGCCTTACACATGGCCAGTTGTTCCCTGAGCTGGCTGACTAAACAGATAGAGAATGGATAAAAGACAACTGACAGATGATGCTGGACCAAAGCTAGACGGTCACAGCAAAGGCAGATAGAGATGATCCAAAACTGAAGCAAGGAGGAAAGTCTGGACAAGCCTTATTGCCGGGGGGCGGGGGGAGGGGGCGCGACTAAAGACCATCCAATGCTCAAACCTCTCCAGACCCCAGAAATTCTTCCTTGTTTATAAATTCCCCCGTGGCGTCCCACCCACCCTCAGCCTTACTTTTGGCTGGGAAGTGCCTTTTCTCCTTGTGCGTCAGGGGCCCCGTCTGTACCCAGGAGTCTCTGCTGCCTTCCGGGACAGGCTCCTTGGCCCTCTCCTGCTGGCCAGCTGTGTAGGTTCCTGGAAAGTGGCGCTTCTGCATCCGCAGCAGGCTGACTTGGTTGCTCAGCTCCACCAGGCAGTTGGACTCCCGCCTCTGATTGTACTCCTGCAGAAGCTCGTACTTGCCCTGTTTCAGCTTCCCCACAATCACAAAAGTGCACTTGTGTTGCTCCATCGTGCAGGGCTGAAGGCTGAAGCGAAGGACACTATTAGGGGCCCTGGCAGAGCTTGGGGCAAAGCGCCACCTTGTAAGCCCGAGGCTGTGAGTTTGATCCCCAGCACCACCTCATATGTCAAAGTGCAACTCGCAGAGGGAGGCTGTTGCGTCCCTCCCACACACCACAACCAACTATGTGGTCTCCAGTTCACCCAGTTACCAAGGCAACAGCAGGCGCAAAAAGGAGAAGGTGGAGGAATGTGTTAAATAAAAGGAAAGGGCCGGGGGCGTTTGCACGCGGGAAAGTGCCACTTGCACGCGGCCGACCTGGGTTCGATTCCCAGCTTCCCATATAGTCCCTTGAGCACCGCCAGGAGTAATTCCTGGGGGAAGAACCAGGAGTAAACCCTGTGCATTGCCGGGTGTAACCCAAAAAGCAAAAAGAGGAAAGGGCAGAGAGATAGGACATCAGGGAGGGCACTGGCCTTGCATGCGGCTGACCTGAGTGTGATCCCTGGCACCCCAAATAGTCCTCTTCGCCCTGCCAAGACTGACCTCTGAGCCAGGAGTGAGCACTGAACAACTCTGGTGAGATCCAAAACCCCAAAATAAATAAGCAAATAAAAGGAAAAAAGAAAACTCAGTTACCTGTTTCCCTAATAGCAGGAAGTTAGCAGTTCTCCGACACACACACACACACAATAGTCACAACACATACACGCAGTATGGTCACTCACACACAAGTTAGTCACAACACACACACAATATAGTCACAATACACACACAATATAGTCACGATACACACGCAATACAGTGACAACACTTACATACACTCGCACATGTACACACTCATATCCACTCACACATTCACACATACACACACACAGCTCAGACTCACACCCATCTGGGAGGGGTTCCAGGTTGGGCACCTCCCTGCATATATGAGACTGCGGTCAGTCCCTGAGATTGCAAGACCCTGGTACCTCCAGGTGCCCCTGGGAACCCCAACCCCTCAGCAACTCAGCTCAGACCTGAACAATGACCTGTCAAGCTTGGCTGTGTGTCACTGAGGGTGTCCTGTGGCCCTGAGCATTGCTGGGAAGGCCCAGGAAAGCCAGAAGAAAAAAAAAGCCAGTCCTTCGCCTGATAGCTGCTTTGGATTTTAGGTCATAGCTGGTGGTGCTCAGGAACTATTTCTGGCTCAGAGCTGGGGTGGGGATGGGGGCGCTCCTGGTGTCACTTGAAGGACCACACAATGCCCCTGGCTGCCCCAGGCCTTCTGCTTGTGCTCCAGTCCTTGGCTCCTCAGTTATTTTGGTCATTGGTTCTTAAAGCTATTCTTGTGTTTTCATGTTTCTTCGAGGAAAGATAGGAAAGCCCTGAGCACTGGCAGGCGTGGCCCTGAGTGGTTTCCTGGGACCCACAGTGACGTGCCTCATGGAGAGAGGACGTGTGTCATGTGGGTGGCGTTCAAAAGATAGCCTGGTGGCTGGTGCCGCATGCGCCAATGCTGGCTCAGACTTGGCTGCGGCTTAATGCACAACACCGGGGTCAAACACATCCAACAGACTCACAAGCATGGGGGCTGGTCTCGTGGGTGGTTAGAAACACCATGGCCAGAGGTTGGGAAGGGCCCTGTCACTGGGGGAACTGACTCAGTGTCACCCTCTCTGTGGCCACATCGCTACAGGCCATTTCGACACACACACAGGAGAGGAGCAACAGCAGCCGGGTCTCTGTGGGTGACTGTGGTCGCTACCTGCAGGATGCAGGAGCCGGTCTGTGATCTCTGCGTAGCTCAGCCCACAAGAGGTTACCCAGGGGATGGAATGTTCTGGAATGTTCTGCTCTTTGCCCCTTTGCCCCTCCAGCTTTGTTCTATTCCTGGAATCCTGGCTGAGAGTTTTAGAGCAGTCACTTATCAGCCATTTCTCTCTCTCTCTCTCTCTCTCTCTCTCTCCTCTCTCTGTTTGGTTTTGGAGCCACACCCCAAGATCAGGGCTTACTCCTGGCTCTGCACTCGCACTCAGGGACCACCCCTGGAAGTGCTCAGGGATCATGGTGGTGCCAGGGATTTAATCTGGGTTGGCTGTGTGCAAGGCCAGCACCCCCAACCCTCCAAAAATTTTGTATTTTGGGCTGGAGAAAGGCTCAGTGGACTGTAGCCCATACTTTGCATGCAGGAGCCCTGGGCATGATCCACATAACTACCTGGTCCTTTGGAACCACCAGGTATTGCCCCCCCCCCGACCTCCCCCCGCAAACAAAAGCCCACAAGCCCTTGAGCTGCTTGTTCTATCAAGTGAAGAAAGACTTAAAAGACTTATTCCATGATCCGTCTCTGGGCATGTTTGCTAGAGACAGGCAGAGATTGGGGTGGCAGGGGCTCGTGAGAGCACTGGAAAGCTCTCTGTATGCATCTGCCCACACTTGTCCTCAAACCTCCTGGGCCTGGTCACTCTGACAGCCACTGTTTTGTGTCAAGAGGAACTGAGTCCTGGAGCCTGTCCTTAAAGGGTTTGGGGCTTCACTTGGCAGAGCACCTGCTTTACAGGCATAAAGTCCTGGGTTTGAACCCGGCAATCCCCGCCCCCCCCCCAAATTAAAACAGGAAAGTTCCCTTACAGTTTGCCCAATACTAGCGGGGCCCAGACCAGCGTTCAGAAGGGCTGTGCCTTGAGGGTTCAAACCCCTGAACCCCAAAGTTTTCCGAATACAGGGCCAGAGTAGCCCTTCAGTACTGCCAGGTCTACCCCTAGATCTCAGCAAATGAATAAATAGAATGAAGGGGAACTGCCCCAGAGGTGACTCAGAGGAGCACTGGCCTTGCTGCGTGACCCTTGACCAGGCTCCATTGCAGCACAGGGGAAAAATGGGAAATAGGCCAGAGCTAGAGTACAGCAGGCAGGCACTAACCTTGCTGCGGCTGACTTGGGTTCAACCCCCGGAACCCCTACAGTCCCCCAAACCCAATTAGGAGTGATCTCTGAGTGCAGAGCCAGGAGTAAGCCCTGAGCACTGCCGGGTATAGCCCAACATGGTCCCCCCCCCCCCCAATAAAAAGGGTGGGTGGACGGATGGGAAAGCCCTGGAATTCTTTACTTCCCAGCCTATGAATGCAATCTACATACACAAATGAAGCACTTTGGTTATGTGCAGAGCAAGCACGGGATGGGTGGGGTGGGGGTTCCTGACTGTCTGTCTCTTCCACGTCTATCTGCAGCCTAAATATTTTGGGGGGTGGCCACACAGGGTCGTGCTCAGGGTTTACTCTTGGCTTTGTGCTCAGGAATCCTGTGTGTGCCCCACCGCCTGAAACTTCCCACCCATCACGGCATCCATCTGCACACAGAGAGAGAAGCTGAAACGCCTTTTGCACCCCCCCACCCCTAATCACAATGGAATTTGCCTTTAGTAGTCTTGTTCTCACATCTTACCCCCTGACCACTGAGGGGGACCTTTGCTCGACAGCCACGTCCCTCCCGGTGTGAACTTAGCTCCCTGGGTGCTGACCAACTCTATTATTTCGGTGCTGCTGCTAATCACCTCTCAGATTCCACCCCACACCCGGGCTGCCCCAAGTCTCAGCTGAACTTCCTGTTTAGTCATGGTCCGCCTGGCAGAGGCGGGGGAGGGGGTGTTTCCCAATCTCATGCCTCTCAGCAGGTGACACAAAGTCTGACCTGGGCATTATGGAGCTCCTGCCCTGCCCTCGTGTGTGAGGCCCTGGGTTTGATCCCAGACACTGCAGAAAGCCAATGAGCAAAGAAAAGAGATAATAAGGTTAAATTCTTTTTTAAATTTTTATTTTTAATTCTTTTTTTTAGAACGTAGGCGTACTGCTTTTTATTCAGCCATTAACTAAGCTGATTGAATTGGGCATGAACTCCACATTACATTTTTTTTATTCAGAATGTTAATTTCATTTTATTTTATTATTACTTTTCCCACTTTGTATTGAGTCACCATGAGACACAGTTACAAAATTTTCATGTTTGAGCTTAGATCGTATGATCATCAAACACCATCCCTTCACCAGGGCACATTTTCCACCATCAAAATCTCCATTATTCCCTCCCCTCAACCCTGTTCCAACCCTTCCCCTGCCTGTGTGGCAGACAATTTTCCCCATACTCTCTCTCTACTTTGGTTACATTCGATATTTCGACACCAGTTCCACCACCACTCAAATCTGCTGAAAAAGCAATGCTAGATGATTTGTTTTGCATTGCTTGTTATGAATAGAATATAATGTCCAGGACATTCTGCATTGTTCTTTTCTGGGAGCTTTAGTTTATAGACTCTGGATCTTGGCCATTGATGAGATTACATGGCACAGGGGGTGGTTTGTGGGTGTGACTGCCAAGCTACTGGAAAACTGGGGATCTGTGGGGAGAAGGCCCAATCCTGATCCACACGTGTTTGGAGATCTCAATCACGGGTTCCCACTTATCTCCGCGCTACCGGCCCTAACTGAGTCTTTTGATCTTTTTCGAGATGTATGGGTCTCTTAAATCACTTAATCACTTAATCACTTAACTTCCCGTTAGTCGTCGATTTGCTCGAGCGGGCGCCAGTAACGTCTCCATTTGTCCCTGTCGCGTGCTAGTGTAGCCCAATGGCATCTGTTCGCTCTGGGAACATGAAGGGCCTCAAACCGATTGTTCATGATCTTCACGAAGAAGTCTGACCATCTGGTGGGTGGGCGGCCACGCGGTCTTTTGACATCCCGTGGAATCCAGTTGGTAACAGCTCTAGTCCAGCGGTCGTCTTTAAATCTCATTACGTGACCAGCCCATCTGATTTTCGACACCTTGGCAAATGAGACAGCGTCCCTGATTCTTGATCGTCGACGGATGTCGGAACTCCGGATTCTTTCTCTCATTTGAGTGAAACGTGATATTCCGAGCATAGCTCTTTCTATTCTTCTTTGGGAGACCTGAATGCGTTCTCATCTTTGTTTGCGTAGGGCCCAGGTCTCTGAGGCATATGTTAATGCAGGAAGAACAGTGGAATCAAAGAGATGTGCCCGGAGCCGGAGGTTCTTCGTCCTCTTAGCTATTTCTTCGACGTTCTTGAAGGCGTTCCAAGCCGCTCTCTTCCTCCTGCGCAGCTCGGGTGCCAGGTCATTTGTCATGTTGACCTCTCGGTACACATAGCTGTTGCATTCAGAGATGGTCGTTCCATTGAGAGCGAATGGGGTGTCAGGAACAAGGCTGTTTCTCATAAACACTACTTCCACTACCCAGCCGTTGCCACACACTCCAGGACGCTTTCCGGACCCGCGTGGCAGCTCCGGCCGAGACCCACGCACGACTGAAGACCCACAGAACAAGATAAGCGGATCTCTTAAATAAGGCCAATAAATGAGCTTGTATAGCTGAGTCGGAGGTGGTCTGTGGGTGTGGCTCTCACATACCTAACTTTTGGCTGTTTAATTTCTTGGTAAACTTGGTCCCATGTTGTTGGGCTCTGGTTAAAGGTACGGCAGCAATTTTGGGGTATCTGGAAGTCTGAAGGTGCCATCAGGCTGCTGATGCACTCGCCCCGCAGGTACAGGTTGACCTGCTGGCAGCACCATACCCGTAAGGGTTAGATCCTTACATTAGCTGGCAAGCGCATCTCCAGAGACAGGATGAAGAATGGAGAGTTGAGAAGGATGTTTTTTGCTTGGCTCAGTGCCGTTTGAGGCTCCTCCTGGCTGAGGACACCTTTCCATTTCCCTTCTACTTTCCAATAAACCTTTCTATGTCCAACTCTCAAAAAATATATGAATATTGCTGTGGGCCATGGTCTGTGGGCCAGAGGGGCAGCTCCACCACTCACTCTGTGTAGGAAACCTGGACTCCATCCCCAGCAGGGACCCCAAGTACCAAGGGGAGTTAAGTCCCTGAGCACAGCCAGGTGTGGCCCCAAAACAAAATAGAAAGAAAGAAAGAAAGAAAGAAAAAGACATTTACTTTTTATTTATTCCCATTGCAGGGCCTGCCCCCAACCCCCTGCCCCAAGCATTCTACTGCTTAACTACAGCCACAGTCATTGTTTTACATTTCTAATTAAAATGTAAAGTTTTGGCGTTGGAGAGATTGTACAGCAGGTAAGATGCTGGCCTTGCACGTGACTGAACCAGGTTTGATCCTGTATGACCCCTCCCAAGCACCACCAGAAGTATTTTCTGAATGCAGAGCTTGGCGCAAGCTCTGAACATTGCCAGATGTGGCCCCAACCATACTCCCCCAACACACACACACACACACACACACACACACACATAGATACACATATATATGTTACTGGTGCCTGCTTGAGTAAATCGATGAACAATGGGATGACAGTGATACAGTGATCTAATAAAAATTTTAAATGATTTATTTCTTGGTTTTGTAGCCACCACCAGCAGTGCTCAGGGCTTACTCCTGGCCGGTGCTTAAGGGTCACTCCTGGCAGGGATCAGGGAACGCTATGGGGTGCTGGGGATCAGACCTGTGTGCAAGGCCAGGGTCTTTGCCCTTGTACTACCTCTCAGGCCTCAGATAAGTAAGTGTAGGGAGCAGCCAGGAGTTACAGTATGAGCAGAGCAGAGGTCAGCTCTAATTCAGAGCCTCCTGGCGGGATCAATAACCAACGTCCACCAGCTGATGACAGCTTTGTCAGCGCAGAAATAAAGAAAGGGACCTGATGGGCATGAGGTGCATCATCACTAGCTGGTGAAACACAGAAGCAGGTGCCCTGGCGTGCGGCTCGGGGACAGGACAGCGGCCTGTCTTGAAACCGTGAGGCCCAGAGTTGGATCCCTGGCCTAACCCACACTCCGGAGAACTCTGTCCGGCTGGACTTTGTGGCTCCCAGCCCCGAGGGCGCGGGTACCCGACGCTGCCGGTGTGCCCGGCGGCCAGAGACCCACGCCCGAAGCCTCTGGCTAAGAGCACAGAGAAGGAACCGGTCCCCGGAGCGCAGACGACGAGGAAGCACCCGGAAGACGCTCAGAGCCCAGGCGCGGGGCCCGGTTCGCAGGCTCCCCAGGTGCCGGGATTGGGGTGAGCGGGCCGGGCCAGGTGGGGCTGCGGGGTGGGCGGCGCACGCCCCGCCCCGCCCCGAGGCCCCGCCCCTCGTCGAGGCCCCGCCCTCCCTCCCGCGCGGGGCTCCCCGATTGGCTCCCGCGCGGGGTCGCGGCGCCGATTGGCCGCGGGCGGCCGCGCTGACGCAGCGGGGCGGGGCGGGCGGCGCCGCCGAGCCCAGGTCCCCGAGGTCCCCGCGCGGCGCGGCCCTGGGACATGGCGCGGCCGGGCGACGAGGAGCGCGCGGCGGGGGCGCCGGGCGGGGGCCGCCTGGCGGGGCCGGCGGGCGCGGGCGCGGGCGCGGGACCCCCGGGCGAGGACACGCGCGCGCGGCTGCTCCCCGACGCGCAGGGGCCCCGCACGGCGCTGACGCCGCGGCGCTTCGTGGTGCTGCTGCTCTTCAGCCTGTCGTCGCTGGTGAACGCCTTCCAGTGGATCCACTACAGCATCATCAGCAACGTGTTCGAGGGCTTCTACGGCGTGGACGCGCTGCACGTGGACGGGCTCTCGCTGGCCTACATGCTGGCCTACGTGCCGCTCGTGCTGCCGGCCAGCTGGCTGCTGCAGGCGCGCGGGCTGCGGCCGAGCGCGCTGCTGGGCGCGGGCCTCAACTGCCTGGGCGCCTGGGCCAAGTGCGCCAGCGCGCACCCGCGCCGCTTCTGGGTCACCGCGCTGGGCCAGGTCCTGTGCGCCGTGGCGCAGGTCTTCATCCTGGGCCTGCCCTCCCGCCTCGCCTCCGTGTGGTTCGGGCCCAAGGAGGTGTCCACGGCCTGCGCCACCGCCGTGCTGGGCAACCAGGTGAGGGCGGTGGAGGGGCGCGGCGGGCTTGCTTGGGGGCGGCCGGATCTTTCTGCTCTGTTCGGGCGCCGCCGGGCGGGCGCTACTCAGGGGGCTTCTCCAGGCTCTGCCCTCAGAAGTCACTCCCGGGGGTTCCCCAGGGCCCGCCTTTCTAGAAAACTGCCTCCGAAATAAACTCGCACATCCCAGGATGCCCCTGCCACACTCCAGCACCACCAGGGTTGGCCCTCCCAGCAAAACGAAGTCAGGGTTGTCCGTGAGCTGGCAGCTTCCTTTCCTCCTGCATCTCCTGGGCAGGCAGGCAGGGCCCGGTGAGCCCCAGTGAGCCCCAGGTACCTGCTCAGGAGGAAGGAGCTGGAATCTGGGAGGCTTGTTCTGAGCTTGCACGCGGCCGCGCAGTTCCTGGTGAGCAGAGTGCTGGGCTTCCGGAATGGTGCCTGCTGGCAGATGCTTGGCGAATGCTTGGGTGGCAAAGGCCTCCCTGAACCCAGGGCCAGTTTTTTACTGTAAGAAAGTGCCAGACAAATAGAAATCAGTGCTTCTCTCTCTGTCTTTCCCTCCCTCCCTCCCTCCTTCTCTCTGGGGGAGAGGGGCGCACCCAACAGTGCTCAGGAATGACTCCTGGCTCTGCACTTCAGGGATCACTCCTGGCAGGCTCAAGGACCATAGGGAAGCCGGGGTGGAACCCAGGTCAGCCGCTGCGCTCTCTCTCCAGCCCCCCAGAACTCTTCAAAAGACGGCTCAGGAAGCCAGTTCTTCATTAAGATGCCTTCCATATTCCAGTCGCATCAGGAAATAGATTGGCACTGTTACTTTCATTTTTGTCTATTTTGGAGGCCACACTTGTGGTCACTCCAGTCTCTACTCTTGAATCACTCCTGGTGGGCTGTGCTTGGAGGGGAACAAAATACATCATCAAGGGTCAAACACCAGTTGGCCAGATGCAAGGCAAGTGACCTACACACTCTACTATCTCTCCAGCCCCCCCCTTTTTTTTTTTTTGTAAAAATTTTGTCCTTTAGACCACACCTGGTGGTGCTCATGGCTCACTCCTGGCTCTCTGGTCGGGGATCACTCATGGCGGGGCTCAGGAGACCGTGTAGGTGCAGGGATTTTTGCTGGGGCTGGTCCTTTAGCCCTGTAATATTCTCTCCAGCCCAGACTGGGATAGGGTTCTTTTTTTTTTTTTTTTAGCCACATTTGGCTATGCCCTTGCCTTGCATGCAGTCGGCCCCAGCGTGATCTGCATTGTCCCCCCAGCACATCCAGAAGTGATCCCTGAGCACTTAGCCAAAAATAGCTGCTGAGTGTAGCCAGGTGTGGCCCAGACCCTCCACACCGCCCCCCCCCACACCCGCCTTGTCTCCTCCTAGGCACCTGTGCCCTGGCTCTTCAGCCCATATGCAGCTGGCCGGGGCGGGCGCTGGGATCTGGGCACCAGGCTGAGTGTCAAGACAGACGCCACTTCAGCTCTGACTGGGAGGAAACACCTGCCATCCTTGAGAGGCTCAGAAGGGTCAGAGATTCTGTATAAAACCAATCCCGGATCCTGCCTTTCTGATTCTCTCTCCCACGGGGCTGTTCAGCTCGGAGAGCTTTGCAGAAGGCCCTTGCAGACTTGACCGGCATTTCGTGGACTATCAGTCCGTCCGGACCAGGCTATGCGCTCCGCACCCTGTGCTGATGTCCTTCCACCTGCAGTAGGCCTCCAAGGGTCACTCAGTGCTCAGCTACACCCCTTCCATTACTGTTACTTAGCGTTTGGGTATTTATTTTGGTTTGGGGGCCTTACCTGGTGGTGCTCGGGGATCACGCCTGGTGGTACTTGGAGGAACCTGTGTCGTGGTGACAGTCGTGCCTGGGCTGGCCAGGTCCCTGCTGGCCTTTCATCTCTCTGGCCCTCCTCGGTTGTTTCCAGGTCCAGATGGCTGTGCTCACCCCACAGCTGAGGGTGAAGATGTTGTTACCAGTTTCCCTTTGACAGTCATGATAGTGAGGAAGCAGTCGGGGACCAGAGGTGTCAGCGCAGGTGTTTCTGAGCGCGGGCTGGCCTGAGTCTCCGCGCTTGGTGATGTGTCATTTCCGCTTGATGACCACAGTGTTCATTGGACTCTTAGCTCGGGACTGCAATCGGCTTTTTGCTGCCTCCAGTCTTGGTGCCCAACACGCAAAATGACACAGAGCTCCTGGCTTCCAACATCAGCACCATGTTCTACGGGACTGCGGCGGTCTCCACCTTCCTGTTTATCCTAACAGTGATCGGTGAGTCTTTTCCTTCCCCTGTTGCCCAGACAGAGGCTGGATGAGCAAATGAAAAGAAAAAGTCAAGCCCGGACATGGCTTGGCTTTTGTTCCATGGCTAGTGTGGGGGATGCTATGTGCTCGTGTGGTCTCACCCTACTGGGGAACTGGGACTGGCCATGGGTCAAGGTGACCCAAGACACAAGAAGGACTGGCCGTGGGTCAGGGTGACCCCAGGTGGTCAGAGGAGGGACCGGCCGTGGGTCAAGGTGACCCCAGACAGAGGAGGGATGGCCAGGTAACTAGGTGTTCCTGTGCGGCTGGAGGCAGGCAGGGTGGTTTCCGGGTGTCATCGGTGCTCAGCATGTGGAGCTGGAAGAACTTGGACCCACGGAGCAGCGGGAAGGCCGTGCTGCAGGGCGGTCTGCTTTACTTTTCTAGCTCTGCTGGGAGCGTGGCTGTGAGTAGCCTGTGCTCCTCGGAACTCAGGCTGGCCCCATTGAGCCGGTCCCCATGGTCTTCCACCTGGTTTCAGGGCCTGCTGTGTCTCTGATAGCCCGTAGGGCATTTGCCTTGCACACGGCCAACATGGCCAACTCCGAGTGCAATTCCTCCGCCCCTCTCAGAGACCCCAGCAAGCTACTGAGAGTATCTCACCTGCACGGCAAAGCCTGGCAAGCTACCCGTGACGTATTCTATGTGCCAAACACAGTAACAACAAGTCTCACAATGTTACTGGGCCCGCTCGAGCAAATCAATGAACAACGGGAGAACAGTGACAGTGATAATTCTTATGTTCTGCCGGGAGGTTCTGGTGAGTCCAGACTGCTACAATTTCAGAATTCCTGTGTGAGCCCACTCCAAGCCGGGCCCGTGAGAAGGGCCCTGCCCAGAAAGGCAGCCTTCCCTACGGATGACAGTCCAGGCAACGGGGAGGGCATTTGTCCTGCACATGGCTGACCCTAGTTCAATCCCTGGTGCCCCATATGTGGTCCCCTGAGCCCTGCCAGAAGTGATCCATGAGCACTGAACCAAGAGTAAACCCTGAGCACTGCTGGGTGTTACCCAATTTGAGAAAAAAATTGTTGCTTTCGCTGCTAGAGTGATAGCTCAGTGGGTTGGGCACTTGGCAATGACTCACTAGCATAGGTCATAGCACTGGTGTCCGAGCGTCGTGGCTGTGGGCTGAGCCTTCGTGTGACGGCAGAGCTGTGCTGTAACAGCGTTCCCTGTGTGTCGTGTCCTCAGCTTTCAAAGAGAAGCCGCGATACCCTCCGAGCCAGGCACAGGCCGCCCTCCAGAACAGCCCCCCAGAGTCGTTCTCGTACGCACAGTCCATCCGGAGCCTGTTCAGAAATGCGCCTTTCGTCCTGCTGCTGGTCAGTTACGGTGAGTGCTTCTCTCTGCCTCGAGGCGTCTTCATTTCACCCCGTGGCCGGAACTTTAATGCAGGAAGAGTCCTGGGGCCGGAGAGCAAGTGCAGCAGAAGGCCCTGATTAGGTCTGGACACAGAGGTGGGTCACACCCTGAGCACTGTTGAGTGAGTCTCCCCTGGAATCAACATAGTCTTCACTTTGATTTTGAGTGAAAAGCAAGAGCTCTGGGACAGATTTCCCTCCACACTGTCACAGCATGAACCCGGTGCACACTTAGGGGCTCCCCTGGGCCCTCTCAGGCTGTCAGTTCCTGTGCTGACGGCAGCTGTTGGGATGTGGGCAATATTACCTGCCTGGCCCAGCACTGAGACAGATGCTCGTGCCCTTGCCCTGCCCGATGGCTGGCAGTGTCTCCTGGGCTCGTCCTCTGCTCTGCTGTGACGCCCGCATCCTGGGCCCCTCTGCACTGGGGCCTCTTTTTCTGGCAGCTGGGCTGGGGGTGCCTGGCGTCTGCCTTCTTCCGTGCCCAACGCCCCGGGCTTCCAGCCCTGACCCCTCAAGGACAGCCACAGCAACAGTTTCCTGGCCACTTATTTCTTGTTCTTGGGACTCAGGCTGTTTATTTGTTTGTTTGTCTGTTTATTTATTTTGGCCTTTTGGGTCGCACCTGACAGTGCTCAGGGGTTACTCTTGGCTCTGCATACAGGAATCACTCCTGGCATTGCTCGAGGGACCGTATGGGATGCTGGGGATCGAACCCAGGTCGGCTGCATGCAACGCAGACATCCTACCCGCTATGCTATCCTAGCCCTAGGCTTTGTAAGCTCACCACTGCTGTTGTCCCTAATCTCCTGAACAGCCTTCAGGACTCCCTCCCTGCTGGCTCCTGACTGACCCTGGCTCTGTGGCGGATGCCCGAGTGTACAGCCCTCACACGAGCAGCTTGTGCCATGAGCCCTGACCTCTGACCTGCTCCCTTTCCTGTCTCTGTCTCTGTCTAAAGAGCCGGGGGGCAGGGTTTTTTTTTTTTTTAAGTGGAAACTGCTCCAGCAAAGTAGATCGTGGGCTCTTAAGAATTCCTGCTCATGCCAGAACACGGAACCTATCCTACTTCATTCTTACCCCACGGACCTCCCTTTTTGGCTGATTCTGCTGTCTCACTCTGCCCTAGGATATTTCAAAGCAAAGCCCGCACTGTCTTAACGTTAACCCCCTCTCTCTGTGGAATACGGAGATCGCCAGTCGCCACTGGTGGCTCGAACCTGAAACTCATAACTTGGAAGGAGAAAAACGTACAGCGGTTCCCAATGATCTGTTAGAGCAAATTCTTTTCTTTGTTCTCTCCTTTACTCCTACATTATTTTATTCTGGGCCCTTGTTTCTTTCACCTGAATGTGCTCCCTTTACCTTTAAGCAGACCTGCAATGGTAAGCTGAATGTTTAACTCACTTTTTGCACATTGCTAGTTTGACAGTGCTTCCCAGACCCAGCTTGATTTTCGAGGAACGCAGCTCGCTCTGTGCTTGGGCTCCTGAGGCCTCATCTGCTGAGAGGAGGTGCGAGAAGCGTCTGCCCGGGTTAGAGCTAAGGCAGGGGGGGAGCGATGGGGCCACAGGCACCTGGACAGGCAGGGCCGAGGTCTCTGCCAGGCTTCACACCGTCTGTGTTCCCGTGGGCTCCTGTCCACACCACGCCCCTTGGTACGTGATCAGGCAGAATCAGCCAGGCTCAAAGGGGCTGAAGAGTCTGTGCAGTAGGGTGATGCTCACCTTGGCGTGGCCGACCCAGGTGCTGTCCCATCCCCAGGTGGATGCCAGGAGGAATCTCTGAATGCGGAGCTTGGCATGTGCCATGAGCATTGCTGGGTGTGGCCCCAAGCATCACAGCTATTTTTTTATTTTTATTTTTTATGGGTCACACCCGGCGATGCTCAGGGGTTACTCCTGGCTCTGCACTCAGGAGTTACTCCTGGCGGTGCTCAGGGGACCATATGGGATGCTGGGAATCGAACCTGGGTTGGCCGCGTGCAAGGCAAACGCTCTACCCGCTATGCTATTGCTCCAGCCCCACACCACAGCTATTTTAAAATGTGCTTCCTTGTTTGAAACTTTAAGGGATCCCTGTGTGTTATATTTCATTTATTCCTTGAGATAAAAGGGCTCTTCTTTCTCTGTGAATAATCTGCCTTTTTAATGTAAGTAATCTGCCTTTTCCCTTTAGTTGTGATGCAGGCGGAGGGTTCCCAGTAACTTAGGTGAAGTGGGAAGGAGAGAAGTGGCAGCCTCAATGAGAGAATCTACCACTTTTTTGTTAGTTTTAGGCTTACACCCAGCAATGCCTAGGGGTTACTCCTGGCTCTGCACTCGGGAGTGACTTCTGGTGGTGCTCAGGGACCATATCGGATACTGGGGATCGAATTCGGGTGCTCATGCATGGCAAACATCCCACCCACTGTACTATATCGCTTCTGCCCTGGCGATCTGTGTGTGTGTGTGTGTGTGTGTGTGTGTGTGTGTGTGTGTGTGTGTGTGTGAAGGAAGAAAGATTTCATTGAAACTTATTTAGAAAGATGTGACGGGAGAGAAAGAGAGAAACATGTTTGAGAGAGACATGGGCTTCTCCAGAGTGGACCTGGGCTAGCAGAGAGACACACACAAGTGAGTGGGAGACAGGTTCAGGGAGAAACATGCTTGGAGAGGGTGCAGCCTGCTGCCCTCTGCCCTCTGCCCCCAGGAAGGTGGGGAATTCCAGGCTGATAAGCCTGTGCTGGGTCCGTCTCAGCACAGACCCTGGCAAGTTGCACTTGATGTCCATTTAATTTGTGTAGTGAGAGTTGATCCCAATCATCCAGTTTCTCCAGGCTGGACTGGGGAATTGCACTTTGCGGAAAAGAAACCAGTCTTAAGCCTTTCGGTTCCTCACAGAAAAGAACTCACAGGACATACCCTGGGTGCTGGGAGTCCAGCCCGGGCTCCTCATGCAAAACCTGTGTTCAGGGACCAGGGGAGGTGGTACAGCAGGTCAGGTGCTTTGCACCCCATGTGACTCCCGAACCCACCAGGAGCCAGGATCAGCCCTAAGCACCGCCAGTTGTGCCCCCTGCCCCTCTCCCCAGGAGAAACCCCCTTCCCGTCAAGGGGCCCCTGCCTGAACCAGTCATGGTCATGGAGACGAGGAGACTCTGAGAAAGTGTCTCTGTGGGGGCGGGGGAGGGGAGGAGGGTGTCAAAAGTGCTGCTTGAATGTGCATGTGCCCCCGTGTGGTCTCCCGAGGCCCCGTCCCAGTGGGGTACCCAGAGGCAGTCAGCCTCAGGACACAGGCGTTTGGCATCTCCTCAGAGCGCTGCATGAGTTGGAAGACCGATCTGGCTTCTCCCAAAGGCCCTGCTTAGGCCATACATGTCATGAAGCCCATTCGTATGTAAGAAAATGCACATGTTTGCTGCAAATACTGTTTTCACTAGTGAAAAACTGGGGGATGCAAGACAGAGGTAATTGAAGTCTATTCTCAGAGGGTGTTCGCAGCGAGACATTAAATGTTTGACAGGCTGTGAGTCGGGGCCCTGTCAGGTCTTGCTGTTGTGTGTTGAACTACTTGGTAACGACGCACAGTAGAGCAGAGATCACTCAGCAAGGCCCACCATGTGGAGGCGCCCCAGGGCTCAAGCCTGATAAACAACTGTTGGAAGTTTTCTGTCCTTCAGCATTTTTTAGTTAAAACTGTCTTGGAGGGGCTGGAGCAATGGCACAGCGGGTAGGGCGTTTGCCTTGCACGCAGCCAACATAGCTGACACAGGTTCGATTCCCAGCATCCCATATGGTCCCCCGAGCACCACCAGGAGTGATTCCTGAGTGCATGAGCCAGGAGTAACCCCTGAGCATCACCGGGTGTGACCCAAAAAGCAAAAAAAAAAAACTGTCATGGGGGCAGAGAACTAGGTCGTCTTGCACACAGCTCACCCAGTCGGGCCACAGAACACTGTCTTCTGTTTGCCCTGTCCCTGCCAGCAGGGTCCGCTCTGGCTTGTGCGCACTTTGGGGGCCCGTCGGTCTGAGCAGAGGCTTGGGGTGTGGAGTGTGGCCGGGGTCCGGTGCCCCGCAGTCCCGGGAGGGGGTGACCCTTATGGCCCCTAGCGCCAGGGCCCGCTATGCCCCCCCCCCCCCCCCACTCCACAGGAGGCTGCCCAAGCCCCGTCTTGGCTCTGGATCACACGCCCCTTCCAGCCGGCGCGGGACCCTCACGGCTCTCTCTGTTGCAGGCATCATGACCGGCGCCTTCTACTCCGTGTCTACGTTACTGAATCAGATGATCCTGACCTACTACAAGGTGAGCCGCTGCCACTGGGCAGCATCTCCTGGGCGCAGGCAGGCCCGGTGCAGGGACCGTGTTGCTGGAAAGATGCGTTTAGGGCTGGAGAGAAGCTGCAGGGAGAATGCACTTGTCTTGCATGCAGCCAACCCGTTTGGTCTCCTGAGCTCAGCCAGCAGCAAGCCCTGAGCACTGCTGGGTGACCCTAGAATAAGGAATACAAGGTCAAGTAGGATGCCCTGTGCCGGCTTCTGCCTCCTGCCCCCTTCTCCCACACCCTGAATTTCCCTGCCGCCCCGCAGTCTCGCAGACTCAGGACAGGTGGGGCCGTCTCAGATCGTGGAATTACAGCCATGCTCCTCTGCGTCCCAGGGCCAAGAAGTGAACGCCGGGAGGATCGGGCTGACGCTGGTTGTGGCGGGCATGGTGGGCTCTATTCTCTGCGGTCTGTGGCTGGATCACACCAAAACCTACAAGTAAGTCGGAGTGGATGGAGATGTGCGCCTCCGTCATTCAGAGGAGCCTGAAGGAATGTCACGGGGCCCGAGCGTTAACTGCACGTGGGGGTCTCGGCGTCCGCCTTCAGCGATGTCAGGGATTCGCCTCCAGCCGGGGTGGCCCAAACACAAAACGGGAAAAAGAGAGAAATGTCAAAAGAATTGCTGCTCGGAGGCTTAGGTTTCATCCACTCCCGCGCTCCTCTCTCGGGAATGTTTTGTTGTTGATGACTGATGAAGCAGTGAATGGTACCAGAGGTGGAGGTGGAGGAGAAGGGGGTTCAGAGGGAGCGCCCCGTCTTCCGCTGCTGGGACCCTTCAGGCCTTCAGAGCAGAGTGTGTTTTTACGGACAGAAATATGCCAAGGTACTGGGGGGGGGGGGGGGGAGTGGCAGGACCTGGGCCAGTGCCCCTCTCCAGCCCCAGGACGTCACAGTGCCACGGGGTCCATCCTCCAGCAGCCCAGGGGGGCTGCCAGGTTCCTGTCAGGAAAGGTCAGCCATGAGACAATGGAAAAACGCTTTGAAGGGGGAGCAGTGAGCCGGGTCTGAGGACAGCCTGAAGGGGCCTGTCCCGTGGGGAGAGGGTGTTTCTTGAATGTTTCAACATTGGGCAGGGTAGGGGGGTGGGGTGCCGTTTCCCACTGTCAGGTCTTAAATTTAAGCTTTAACTTCAAGTCCATGGGGCCAGAGAGATGGTACCAAGGGAAGGGCCCCTGCCTTGAATGTGGCTGACTCGAGTTTCGTCTCCAGCATCCTGTACGGCTCCCTGAGCACCACCAAATGCGGCCCGAAAATCAAACCAAGCCCAAACGACACGAGTCACCTTTTTTGTCCGAAAGGTGGTGGGGAGGAGGAGAGAGAAGTAGCACAGAGCTGGACACACGCGTGTCCTTACATGTATGGGACAAGCCCTGTCCAAGTCATGTGTGTCCTTATGTGTATGGGTCTAAACCAGGCACACACGTGTCCTTACACGTATGGGACCCCATCCAAGCCAGGTACACGTGTACACGTGTATCCTTACATGTACGGGACCCTGTCCAAGCCTGGCACACAGGTGTCCTCATGAGCACGGGATCCCAGCCAGGCGCTAATGGCTTCGTGCTGTTCTCATCCCAGGCAGACCACTCTGACTGTCTACATCTTGTCCTTCGCTGGGATGCTGGTCTTCACCTTCACCTTGAACCTGGGCTGCTCCATAGCTGTGGTGTTCGTGACTGGAGGGGTGCTGGGGTGAGCCTGCAGGGGGCAGGGGAGGCCCTGGTCCTCTGGCTGTTGACCGTAAGTGTTCCCAGAGGCTCTTCCATGACTCACATTCCGGGTCTGTCCTGTGCTCATAAAGTACGAGCCTTTTAATTCGAAGACAGTTTTCAAATGTGGCTCTGCCTTGCACGCAGCCCACCCGGGTTTGATCCTCAGCATCTCATATGGTCCTCTGAGCACCACCAGGAGTAATTCCTGAGTGCAGAGCCAGAGTAAGCCCTGAGCATCGCCGGGCGGGTGGCCCAGAACAAAACAGTAAAAACCACCACCACCGCCACCAACAGCAACAAAAACAAAACCCACAGGCACTTGGCGTAGAGGTGAGTCAGGCTCCGAAAGCAGAGATGAGAAAGCACTGAAGGACGATGGTACAGGGGTCAAGCGCTCGCCCCCCCCCCCCCCCACACACACACACACAGCCCACCTCTGGTGTGGCCCAAAGACCAAGAAGGAAGGGAGGGAAGGAAGGAGGGAGAGATGGGGGTTGGAGCGACGGTCCAGGGGCGGCACACTTGGCTTGTACAGAGTCAGCGCAGGTTTGGTTCCGGCACACGTGTCGTCCCAGGCCCCAGGGTATGCTGGGTCCCTCCTTCCACGGAAAGCACACGTCACAGGATTGTTCTTGCATGACCAGGACTGAGTAACCTTGGAACCCCTCCCGGAAGGCCACCTTTAGGGTCCCCCCAGAGGCCCTCGAAAGTAGACCCATGGCCCCTGGCCTGCCAGTCTTGCTATAATTTGGATTTATTTCCCAGTTTCTTCATGACAGGTTACCTCCCGCTGGGCTTTGAGTTTGCCGTGGAAATCACTTACCCAGAACCCGAGGGCACCTCCTCTGGCCTGCTCAACGCTGCTGCCCAGGTATTGGCTTTCAGGTCCAGAGGGCGGGTTGGCAGAAGGCTCCAGAGCAGAGCGCCTCAGGCTTACGTTAGTGCCTCCCTGGAAATAAATCTGCCTCCTTTCTTATCGTCATTATTATTACTGTGGTGAAGCTAGGTAGTTTCTATTGAGTGAAGCTTGCTGAGGAAGATGTGAGCGGGGGGAGAGAGAGAGAGAGAGAGAGAGAGGAGAGAGACAAAGGACACAGACAGACAGACATGGGCTGGAGCCCGAGGGAAACAGGCAGGCATTTGCCTGGCATGGGGTGGCCCAGGCTCCATCCCCAGCGCCCCATATGGTCCCCTGAGCACCACAGGGTGTGGCCCAAAACGAAGCCGAAATACAGAGACAGACCGGGAAGCACAGGCCTCTCCAGAGTGGAAGTAGGCAGCAAAGCGCCAACAGCGAACAAGCGAGGTACATTTTCCAGGAGAACACGAGCTCGAAGGACAAACCCAAATCTACCTCCTTTAAGCACACAGTGCTCCCGACACTCAAATGCTTACGAACTTCTGCTGCCATCTCACTGTAGTACTGGCCACTCTGGATGCCAGTCTGGGTTGCAGACTTGTTTGAATCCTACCTTTGACGTGTGTGTTTCAAAACCAAATGATAGAGTAGACTGTGAGGACATTTGTGGACAGGCTGGGACGTGGCTCAGTTGGAGTGTCAGAGTTGCCTGCACCCAAGGTGCTGGCTTTTCTCCTCGGCCCCAAGCTGTCACTCAAAGAAAGGCCAGTCTGGGGATTCCCGACGCCCGTTCCCAGGGGATCTGAATGTCCTCCTGTGTTGTCGTAGGTCTTCGGGATCTTGTTTACCTTGGCCCAGGGGAAGCTCACGACCACCTACAACCCTCAGGTTGGGAACATTTTCCTGTGTGCCTGGATTTTCGTGGGCGTCATCCTGACGGGTAAGCAGGACCTGCGCTTAGCTCAGCTCGGGACCTCAGCTCACACCCAGACACACAGAAGCTGCTTGTCCCCTGCCAGGACATGGTGACTTTCCTCAGGAAGCCCTGAGCATGGCCAGGGTTTGTCCCCAAGTGAAACCAAACAAAGTAGGAGTGCAGCAAGTGGTCAGCGGTGCTGCCCCCTGGCCAGGGTCTCCATCACCTGCCCCAGTGGACAGCCTGACCTCTGTTGCAATCTCAGGGCTTTCTCTCAGAACCGGCCTGCTTACTGTTCCTGCACACAGGGTGGGGTCACCTCCTTGGCCACCTCCTGCTCCAGACAGCGGGCAGTGAGTTTGTCGGCTCTGCGTGTCTGCCGCATGCCGTGTCTGTGCCTCTGGAATGGCTCTTAGCTCGTGTCCAGAGCTTGGCTGCTGCTCGTCTGTCAGTCCGCATGCCCCGGAGCTTCAGGGTCACGTCACGTGGCAGGCAGGCACATGCCCGCGGTAACCCCAAATCTCTCTCCTAGCGCTAATCAAGTCTGACCTGAGAAGACACAACATAAATGTCGGGGTCCCAAACGGCGACGTGAAGGCGGTGAGTTGCCCTAGTCCTCAGGAGACCTCATGCTCTTCAGGACTGTGCAGGGAACCTTGCGACCCCGCCCCATCCTGCCAGTTGTGTTTTACTCCCGAGCGGTTGTTGTATTGTAGGGGAGCCAGTGTCAGGACGTGGACAAAGGCCGCTCCCCTCTGAAGTGCATGTGCCACTGCCGTGACACGTCCTTGGCCTTGGCGTTTGGGAGAACGCTTAAGTCCTAGGTTCTTACTGTAGACACGGATAAAGGGTCAGCATTGCTGGCTGGAGGCCCTGTATTTTTTTTTTTCTCTTTTTGGGTCACACCTGGCGATGCACAGGGGTTACTACTGGCTCTGCACTCAGGAGTTACTCCTGGAGGTGCTTAGGGGACCATATGGGATGCTGGGAATCGAACCTGGGTCGGCCGCATGCATGACAAATGCCCTACCCGCTGTGCTCTCTCTCCAGCCCCCCTGTATTTTTTTATTCGTCGATTGCCTCGAGCAGGCCCCAGTAACGTCTCCTTCATCCTAGCCCTGAGATTATATTCAAGGCTCTTTAGGAGAATGAGACCCATCATTGTTACTGGTATTTGGCATATTGGGTACGACACAGGGAGTTTGCCAGACTCTGCCGTGTGGGCAGGTTATATTCGGGAGCCTGCCAGTTTGTCAAAGTAGGAATGAGATGTCATAATAAAATGTCGGGCGGCCGCAAATGCGGCCGTGCGGTTCCAGGATCTGGTTTTTATAGATAAAAAAAGATTTTTAAAGATAAAAAAATAGAAATATATGGAAGAATCATATTACATGTCACATACTGAAGAGAAAATCATTTTTAAGATTTTTTTAATTTGGGGGCAGGAGTTGGTGCTCAGGGCTGACTCCTGGCTCTGTGCTCAGGAATGACTCCTGGCTCTGTGCTCAGGGTCACTTCTGGCTGTGTGATCAGGGCCTACTCCTTACTCTGTGCTCAGGGATGACTCCTGGCAGTCCTGGTGGACTTTATCTGCTGCTGGGGATAAGACCAGGGTTGACCATGTCCAGGATTAGCATTTTAGCCCCTGGACTCTCTCTCTCTGGCCCCATTGAATTTCCCTTATTTCCTTTTGGGCCATTTTGGGCCATACCCAGTGGTGCTCAGGGAATATCCAGCTCTGTGTTTGGGGGTTGCTGCTGGTGGTGCTCAGGAGACCTTGTGGTACTAGAGATCTGCTCAGCATATCCCCAGCCCACTGGGCGCTGTCTGTGGACCCTATGATTTGTTTCTTTTTGAAAAAATTTTGGCTATACCCAGCAATCTTGGAGCTTACTCCTGACACTGCGCTCAGGAATTATTCTTGGTGGTATTTTGGGAAGTATATGGGATGCCAGGGACCGACCCTGTGTCAGCCTCATGCAAGACAACTCTTCCCACTGTTGATGTCTCTGGCCCCACTGATGTACTTCCTATACACATTTTATACATCTTGATTTTTCACTGATAGCATCCTCTAACAGACTTTTTTTTTGCGTGTGTGTGCTCCTTTTTTTTTTTTTTTGCTTTTTGGGTCACACTCGACAATGCACAGGGGTTACTCCTGGTTCTGCACTCAGGAATTACCTCTGGCAGTGCTCGGGGGACCATATGGGATGCTGGGAATCGAACCCGGGTCGGCCGCGTGCAAGGCAAACACCCTACCCGCTATGCTATTGCTCCAGCCCCCATGTGCTCCTTTTTTAAGTATTAAACAGTTTTGTATCTGGGCTGGAGTGATAGCACAGCGGTAGGGCATTTGCCTTGCGCGCAGCCGGCCCGGCTGAGCTGGGTTCGATTCCTCCACCCCTCTCAGAGAGCCCGGCAAGCTACCAAGAGTATCTCGCCCGCACAGCAAAGCCTGACGTATTCAGTATGCCAAACACAGTAACAACAAGTCTCACGATGGAGACATTACTGGGCCTGCTCGAGCAAATCAATGAACAATGGGAGCACTGTGACAATGACAGTGACAGTTTTATATCTGATAAAAGTTGATTTAAATTGGTCCTTACAGGGCCAGGGTTATGGTGCGCATCCAGAGCACTGAAGCCCAGGTTTTGCATACGGGAAGCTGCGTTTAATCCCCCGAGCACCAAGCTAGGAGTAGCCCTGAGCTCTGCCAGGTATCACCCAAAGAGCAGCCCGGGAAAGGCGCTCACGCCGCCGCTGGCTTCCGCACCTTCCCGTGGCCACTTCCACCCGATCACTCTTGGGTTTTCAAATCCTGCATGGCTGAAAGAACTGTGATTTACAGAGTTGTCGATAGTTGAGTTTTGGTGTCATATGCTACTTCAACCCTAGTCCCATTACCAGTGTCCCCACATTCCCTCCGCGCCCCAGCCCACAGCCACCCCTGCTGCTCCCTTGACAGACGCATCAGTCCTGTGGTGCCGCCGAGCTCTCAGGCTCCCAGTGCTGCTGTCACTGCCCGGCCCTGGCCACTCGGCCCTTCAGTCCTGTTCTTCTCCCACAGGTTCCAGTGGACAGCCCCTCAGAGCCCGAGCCCGTGGTGAAGCCCAAGCCCGTGGTGAAGCCCGAGCAGGTGGAAGCCACGGTGTGAGGGGGACGAGAAGCCAGGGGCCCGCGGGAGTCCCGTGCTGGGGCGTTGCCATCGCCAGCAGGGCCTCGCTCCTGCCACTGCCACGTTCTTCCTCTCGGGTGCCCCCTTGGGGGGTGACTGGGGGCAGAGAGATCATGCAGTAGGGAGGGCTGGCCTAGCATAGGACCGACCGGGATTCAGTCCCCAGCACCACACAGGGGGCCCTGAGCACGGAGCCAGGGATCGACCCAGACCATCACTGCGTGTGGCCCCAAGACAAATGAGAAGTGAAGCTGGCGCTCGGGAGATGAGCTCTGGGTGCACACCGCTGAGAGACTGGCGCATGGAGCCTCACGCAGGCCTTTTCTCCCCACCTCTCCTGGGGCAGGCGTTCCTGTGTGGATGCACCCCAGGCCCCGAGCAGTGCCCCCCACTTTGCTCTGACACCTGCCCGTTCCCCCCATTTCCTGACCAGGCTGTGAGCTGAAGGACGGGTAGCATTTGGCTCCCCAAACAGTCCCCATGGGCTTCCTGGTACCTGGTACCAATGGCGTTCACACCAGTAGGCCACCTCCATGACATCGGCCCTGGACGTCAGATCAGCTAAGGGACAGGCCCTGAATTCATCCCGTGTCCTTCCCGTCACAATCTAACACTTTTTCCACTCTAACTTAGAACTGAGTCTTCTTGTACCCATGCCTGACAGAGAACCTTCTAGTAAGAGAGTGGCATCCCTGCTGGCAGGCCTGTTGCCTCATACTCTCTGGCCTGGAAGATTCCTGAGCTCACGGATCTCAGCACCCAAGTCTGGGTGTCTGGAGCTGCCACCTCTGGAGCAAGGGCACCCTCCACCTGGTGCCCACTGTCCCCCTGCTGGGTGTGTCTGCACAGTGCCTCCCTGGACATCTAGACCCTAACTGTCCCCGGCCCTGTCCCCAGTGGCAGCTCTGATAGTGCATCCCAAACATAAGAACAGCCTGGCAGGTGTTCTTCAGAATAGCCCTGGCATGGTTCTGCTTGGGACTAGGATGTGCCTTGATTTACCTGGAATTGCTATGTTCCCTGCAATACCATGGCTTGTCAGGACTCTGTGGGGAACCAGGGCCAGGCTGCCTAGTGCCCAGAGAAGTTTTCTGCTGTCCCTCCAGCTGCCACTTTTGTCCCCGTTCATGTGGTTCCATTTGGCCTCAGACAGCCTTTCCGGATCTTCAGTGTGTCCAGCCTAGACTGGCCCAAACACCCAGCCCAGCTTTGGACACTGGCACCTGGCCTGAGGACATGTCCACTCAGCTAGGAAGCCTCCATAGCTGTCCTTGTGTGGACATGGCCTTTTCAGTCTTTCTCATTTTTTTTTTTTAAGTTTTTTGTGTATGTGTGGGTGGGGTAGTAGTCACACCCGGCGACGCTCAGGGTTACTCCTGGCTCTGCACTCAGGAATCACTCCTGATATTGCTCAGGGGACCATATGGGATGCTGGGGATCGAACCCGGGTCAGGCGTGTGCGAGGCAAACGCCCTACCTGCTGTACTATTGCCCTGGCCCATTTTTAGCCTCTTACTTTCAGATGGATCATGCTCAATCACTGATTCCTTTATTTATTTTCATCCTAAGTTTTTTGGGCCAAAAAGAAAAATGTTAAGGTTCCTTCTCTATAGTCTCTCAGTATGTGTACTTTATTTTTTTAAACTGTCTGTGTTATTTAAAATAATTATGTGCCGTAAGTCCCTGTGGCTTGAACAGATCATGGGTGCGGGTTGGAGCTTTAGTTCTGAGAAGCACACGCAAGTGTGCCCTGTGCGTTTCCCAGTGTTGGAAGTGTGAACATGATGAACACATGGCGAGCTGGGAGGTCTGCTTGTGCTGACGGCGTGCCTGCAGGTGCAGTGTGAGCAGAGCTGTCACTTCCTGGGGCTGCACCCTGGGGAGCTTGGGGCCCAGGTGGTGCCGGGGATCACACCTGGTTCTGTCCTTGGGCCACGTCGCTGGCCTCTGCCCGTGTGGTTTCTGATCTGATGACTTAGAGGGGAACTGCTGTCCCCCAGGCGCTGCATTTGCTGGCACTGCAGCTCCAGCTTCGCTGGTGGATGCCAGAGGAAACGCCTTTCAAACTGTGTCTGGGTGTCGTTTTGCCAGGGTGCATGTGTCAGTCTTTGTGTTCTGATTTTGATTCTTTGTACTGTTTATCTGCTTGGTCTTCAGACTTGAAATAAATTTATTTTTTTATGTTCATTTTGTATGGCTTGAAAAATATTGAAGCAGTATGGTTTACAAAACAGTTACCAGCATGATTTGCTACATAAATATCCTAGCCACACTCCCGCCACCAGGGTGGATGGCTTTGGGGTTCTTCTGGGGGTGCCAAGGGGTAGGGATATGGGTCCTGGAACAAGCTCCCAGCCCCCTGCACTCTGGGGTCTCCGGTCCCTCTCTCAGTGGTGGGAGTCAGGCTGAAGCCCAGGAGGGACCAGCTAGCCCTGGTACCCGAATCTTGCCCCAACTTTCTCCTTCCTGAGCCCCTTGCGACCCAGGCTGAGTGCTTCCTGGAGAGCCACTGGCCCCTAAATGAGGAGATGCCCCCTAGCTGGTCATTTCTCAAACTACTTCACACAGGGCGGAAACCACCCTCAGATCAGTCTTCTTTTCCTTTATTTCTTTTTGTTTTGGGGGTCCATCTGGTGGTGCTCAGAGCTTACTCCTGGTGGGTGGGACCAGACGGGGTGCTTGAGACCAAATCCGGGTCAGTTGTGTGCAAGGCATCCCCCCGCAGTGCTCCGGGCCCAGGGGGCGGAGGTGGGTCCAGGGAGGTACGCCACTGGGTTACAGGCAACTTCAGGGAGTAACCCAGAAGCGCCTCCACAAGATGCCCCCTGGCTGCCCCCCAAGCACTTCCCTGAAGGAGAGGAGAATCAGCAGCTCAGCACGGAGTGAGGGGTTTGGGCTGGACATGGGCTCCCTCCGGAGGACCCCACTTGGCATGGATTTGAGGGGTGCAGGGGCCTCTGGGGGAAACATCCTAAGATGGGGAACCAAGGCCTCCAGGTGGCTGTAGGCCTGACGTCAGCCTGAGGCGGCCCCGTCTCTGTATGGGAGCACTGGAGAGGGATGGGGTTCCTGGGGCTCCAGCCCAGCCCGACCATGAGAACCCTCCTGCATCGCAGGAGCTCCTGCTCTCCCTCTGCGCTCTGTTCCCCAAGCCCCCGACTGCCCGATGGGGTCTCCAGCTCACCTGTCATGGCCCACCCTGCAGAGACAGGCTAACACTTCCCTCTGCCCATCCGCAGACCCCACCTCAAGGGGCTGTGACGGAGGACCCCCCTTCGTGCGGGCGCAGGCTAGGAATGACTGGGCCTCCTATCCCTGTGCTCGCTAAGAACCCTGGCCTGCCCACCTGCTGTGCCCAGGATGGGAAGAGGAAGTTCCTGCCCCACCCCCCAACTTTCTGTGGGCAGGGGCTGCTGGTCCAGCAGGGGTAGGAGAAACAGGGCCCAGGGGCAAGGACAGCCTCAGGCCCCCAGCTGGAGGGCAGACGGTGAGTGGGGGCTCCCCAGTACCCTTCCTGCTCACGGCAGCCCTTTGCTGTCCACCTCCCACTGCTGGACAGGTCTGGCCCGAGCAGAGACAGTGCTGAGGGTCATTCCCCGGGGTGGCCCCACAGGGCCAGCAGCAAGAGCATACATGGGACGCGTGGCCAGGGTCTGGAATCTGGGAGAAATAGGCTACCGGATCCCACATCCAGAACCGAACACTGAGTCCAGGTCATTGCCAGCCTGGGCCTCCACCTCCCCACTTCCAGAGGGGTTCAGGGGACATGGAGCCGCCCAGCCTGGGTTTGAGCTTGGCTGTGGCTGGCCCTGCGTGCAGATGAAACACCCAAACCATTCCTGCAGACTCGGGGCACCTGGCTTGCGCCCAGTGGTTGGCGGGGGGGGGGGGGGGGGGGGCGGAATGGGCCCGTTTTACCACCCTCCAGCCTCCTGGGCAGATGACTCCTGCCCAGCGCCCCCCACCCCCGCTCTGCTGTTGCCCTGCCTCCTCCCTCACCTGGCCCTATACGCGTCCCCAGTGAGCTGCTCCCCCCACAGGGCTTGCAAGTGAGTTTTCTCCCTTTACCGGTTTCTCCTTGGTGGGGTTCCCATCCAGTTCTGCAGCCAGCAGCCGAATCCACAAACCAGCGGCCCAGGGTGGAGCTTGTGAGCAGGGCCGACTCCCAGGCCAAGGGAAGGTCTCCGAGTGGGGGGAGCACGGAGCTCAGGTCCTCCCTGAACTCTGGCCAAAAATGGAACTTTTGTTTTGGGGCCATCCTCAGCTGTGCTCAGGGATCACTCCTGGCAGATTTGGGGGACCATATGGGATGCCAGGGATCATACCCAGGGTGGTCGCATGCCAGGCAAGTGCCCCATCCCTGTACTACTCTCACGGCCCCGTCCCTGCAGACCGCACATCCCAGGCCCAGTGCAGCAGCACGGCCGTGGCAGCAAACCCTAATCACACCTGCCAGCACCTGGCAAGCAGCAGAGCTGAGACCCTCCCCGCTTGCCTGTGGCAGCTCCTCCGCGTAGCAGTCTCTCCTCTCTGCTGTCTCTGTTTGTGCAGGAACACCCAGACTCCGGTTGGCTGGGGCGCAGACACGCTGCACTACTAGCAGATGCCTCTAGCTGCGCGTCTCAGGCACTCCTGGAAGCTGGTTCCTCCCACCCATCTGGGGCCCTTTTCCTGTTCACCCTCCCCCCACCCCCCACGGGCAACACTGTTCTATGCAACCTTTTCTGCTGTTAGTGACTTGACTTTGCTGCTTCGTCTTTCTGCATAGGCGTGAAATCCTGTTCTCCAACTATTTCACAAGAACAGTCTGCACTAGATCCACCCGTGCAGTCAAAAATGCAGGGGGCCGCGGGGCTGAAACTACAGCACAGTCAGGAGGGCTCCTGATGGCTCTCGAGTTTGATCCCGGGTTTGATCCCCGGCACCCCGTAGAGTTCCCTGAGCCTGCCAGGAGTGATCCCAGAGTGCAAGCCAGGATTAACCCCTGAGTGCTGCCGGGTGTGACCCCAAAAACCAAAACTATGCAGGGGTTCGGGAGAGCTCCAAAGCCAGGCACAGGCTCGGCATGCGGCGACCCAGGACCATCCCAGCTGCTACACGGCCTTCGGGCGCCACTGGAGCAAAGCCCTGAGCATACTTCAGAAGTAACCCTCCCTGCCCAGCACTGCTGGGTGTGCCCCCACAAAAGCTGCAGTCCTGCTTTAGGGTACCCAAAGCGTGTGCTCAAAGGTTTCTCAGTCTCAGCACCATCACTCCAGGCTTTCCATCCTCAGCCAGGAAATCCAGGGTCCCACAGAAGGGACTCAGATATCCCGAGACATGGAGCAGAGCCCGGGACCCACCACACCTAACACCCCACACCACAGTGAGGGGCACAGGAGACTGGTTCGGGGGTGCGCGTTGGCCTTGTCTGCACAGTGCCCTTTGGACCCAGTGGGTCTTACATATTAAGGATCGTGACCTTCCTTAATGACCTTCCTTAATGAAGGTGGGGCTGCACCCAGGAACCTCTTCCAAGGCAGCACCTTATGTCCGGGGAGGGCAGGGGGCTGGGCCTACAGAGCACCCAGCCCTGCCCACAGCAGCAGGCCCCTCTGGTGTTCTTGTGGATGCCTCTGAATCCCACTGGCCTCCTCTGCCTCCTCGTGGACCCGCCCGTGTCCTCATGACCCTGCCGGCATCCTTGTGGGTCCCACTCATCTTTTCCACAACCTCATGGCGCTATCTGCATCCTCCTGAGCCCCACTCGGGTCCTTGGGGCCCTGAATCCTAGTGGGCCCCCATCTCCAGATCTGCATCCACGTGACCCAACCAACATTCTTGAAGCCCAGCGTTGCCTCCCGGGCCCCACCCATGCCCTCCAAAGCCCACCCGCAGCTTCCAGGCCGCCCATGTTCTTCCAGGCCCTGCGGCCCCGTCAGGCCGTGCTTCCTCTGGCCCCAATGGATCAGCTGTTGACAGCATGACAAGGCCAGACATTGTTCACAGCAGTGCAGGCAGCCCAGTTGTTCTTGAGAAACTTCATGAAGAATGCCGGCCACTGGGCCACGCATGCGGCAGCTGCGTCCATCAAAGGAGCTGCCCCAGCACCCATCATCTGAGTCCTGCCTGGGCTCTGATGGGTCCCCAGTTGCCTGAAGTAAGAGGAATGCAGGGCCCGAGAGGGCAGAGACCCAGACCAGAGTCCAGGGAGACAGGCCAGGCTTCAGCTCACGTGAGGCTGCGATGCTGGCGTCTGGGGACAGGAACCTTTAGTGGGTGTGTGTCTGTCATTTGCAAGGCCCCGAGTTCGAATCCAGCCACCACCTGTGGTCTCGGTAGCCTCCGTGCCTTGAACATGTGCTTGGTGGCCTTGGGGCGTTGAGAATGAATCACTGGGTGTGCAAGAAGCACTGCCCACAGAGACGGATGAGCAGTGGGGATCTTGCACCCCCGAGAAGGGCAGGGCTCCGGCCTGAGGAGCAGCACCTACAGCAAGTAACTGGAATTGAAGACAGTCTTAAGTTTCTGCATCCTCCTCCAGCTGTCCCCGGAGCACCTGGGAATCCCCCTTGCAGCAGGGCCTGAGGTCCAGGCCGCCAGAGCCTCACCGTGCTCGGCCCTGGGGTTGTTGCTCCTTCCCGGGCCATGTGGTCTCTTACTCTTCTCCGACCCCCTTTTCCCCAGGCAGGTTAGAAAGCAGAGAAACCTGTTGCCTAGGAGCAGGAGGACATCTAGGAATCACCTGGGCTGACCCCGAAGTGTCCGTCCCTCATGCGGTTAGAGAAAGAAAAGGGAGGAAAGAGGAGACCTGGGCTCAGCACCCAGCCCGATTCGGCTCCGGTGCCCGCTCCTGCCCTGCTGCCCCCGCGGTGAAAGGCTGCTGTTGTTTTTTTGGAAAGTGGGAATAATTGTGCCTGTGATCACTCAGGGCTGTTAACATAGAACTTGTGTTTCCAGTTTTGTCAGTGCCCCCTTTAACGTTTTCTTTACTTGGTAGCAATTTCAGATGTCAGAGGAAAGTGGCAGGAGTGAAGCCCTGTAGACCACCCTGCCCCAATTCATTCTGAACACACCTTGACCTGATTAGTGTGATCATGTTCTTTCTTTTTTCCTTTGTTTTTTTTTTTTTGAACCACACCTGGTGATGCTCAGGGGACCATTTGTGGGGCAGGATTTAAACCAGGATCGTGGCTACAGCCACATTCTAGGCAAGAACCTTAACTTTTGTTTGTTTGTGGAGGGAGCACCTGGCAGTGCTCAGGGTTTTCTCCTGGCTCTGTGCTCAGGAATCATTCCTGGAGGGCTCAGGGAGAACCACGTGTTGTGCCGAGAACTGAACCCAAGTCAGCTGTGTGCGAGGCAAGCACCCTACCCGCTGCCCTTTTGCTCCAGTCCCGAGACCTTAACCTTTATTATAACCTCTGCCCTCCCCACTAATCATTATCTGCACATACATACACACGTGCGTGCACACACACCCCTGTATGCGCTCACACACATACACATAGTGCACGGACTAGAGAGATAGCACGGTGGGGAGGCCTCTTGCCTTGTACATAGCCAAGCCAGTTTGATCTCCGGCATCCCATATGGTCTCCTAAGAACTGCCAATGAGTGATTCCTGAGTTCAGAGCCAGGAGAAAGCCCTGAGCATCACCAGATGTGACCCCCAAACCAAACAAAGAACAAACATGCATGTAGTATAGATGTACATGTGCACATGTACACAGACACATTCACACTCACACTCATACAGATAAGCATGTTCACATGCATACACCAGCACCCACACACAGACCCACACATGCGCACACAACACTTTTCTTCTTGCACAAAGTATGCACTTGTAGTTCTTATAGCCTTTGCCCCACCAGCCCTGGGCTAGACTTCTTACTTTTTTTTCCCTTTTTATGGGGGGTTGCTTTTTTGGGTCACATCCAGCAACTACTCCTGGGTCTGCACTCAGGAATTACTCCTGGCATGCTTGGGGGGCCATATGGGAAGCTGGGAATCAATCGGGTCAGCAAATGCCCTACCCACTGTACTATCACTCTGGTTCCCCTAGATTTCTGGAGAGAGAACGTTCTAGCACAGCTTCTGTGCTCATTGCCTCTGTAATGCTGCTACAGACACTAACTTGAAACCCATGTTGAGAAGGACTGGGGGCTTCTTAAGAGACAGTACATGGGTAGGGCAGCCTTGCACATACTGGACCTGGGTTTGATCCCCAGCACTCCATAGGGTTTTCGAAGCTTTTTAAGAGTGGCCCCTGGACACTGCCAGGTGTGGCCCCCAAATAAGATGCTTGGCTTACAGCACTGCCGGGCATCCAGTTCATTCCTTACCCTACCCCGTGAGTGTAAGCTTCTGTGTTGGCTTGGAACAGGCGATAGTGGAAGCCAGGCGTCAGTGAGGCACCCAGCACACTACACACTGTTGCCAACCCCGAAACTCCGTGTTATCTATACGTGTCCCCAAATCAGGGACTTGTCCCCAGTCACTGACACTACGACACCAGTTCTCACTCCAAACTTTCCTGTGGTCATAGACTGTCCTCCATGGAGGAAGGGCGGCTGCCCTAGGTCCAGGGGCTCCCCTCTGTGTGCCCCTAGCCACAGAAGAGTCAGGGGCCTTGGGTGGGCACTGATGGTGAATCAGTCTGACACCCCAAACTTTACAAACGCAGCTGTCCTGTCCTGTGCCCACTGGACTTTGATCTTGAGAGCCTCAGCACACAAGCCATGGAAGCAGATGGCTGCTCCTCCCCGAAGTTAACTCCACTATGTCGTCACTGGGGCACTCTCGCAGGCCCCAATGCCTTGTGTGAGTGCCCCTGAAGCTCCAAGACAGACACGGCAAACCCTCTGCCAGGACTGTCCAGAGCCCCACCACTCAGGGCCCTCGCCCCATGCCCACGGCGGTCCCCCGCCCCATGGCCAAGGGGAACACAAGGGAAGGGAGGGCAAGGCTGACTGTCCCTCTGTGGGGGTGAGGACAGAGGCACAGGGAGGACTGGATCACACCATGTCGCCCGCCTGAGCTGGAATGACTGGGACAGTTGTCTCTGGGGGAAGCGACCGGCCCCGGGCTCAGCAGCTCTGCCTGGTGGCCCACCCTGTCAGGGGCGCTCCTGGGCCTGGACCCAGACATTTGAGGGGGGCATATTGGAGGGGGCTCCTTCCAGCCACTGTGTGGTTCCGCATCAGAAATACTCCCAGGGGCTGAAGCGATAGCACAGCGGGTAGGGCGTTTGCCTTGCACGCAGCCAACATGGCCGACACAGGTTTGATTCCCAGCATCCCATATGGTCCTCTGAGCACCGCCAGGAGCAATTCCTGAGTGCATGAGCCAGGAGTAACCCCTGAGCATCACCGGGTGTGACCCAAAAAGCAAAAAAAAAAAACCCACCCCAACTGTGGTTCTCTGCCTGTTCCCCCCCCCCCCCGCGCCCCGCTCCCGCCCCTCCCCCCCTCCAGGCCCTCCTTGCTCTCTGGTGCTGCACAGCTGGGAATGCAGACTGTATCCCCCAGGAGAGACGCCAGCAGGCACGGGGAATCAGCCCTGGGGAATGGGGTCCGCCCGGCTCTGCTCAGAGGGAAGACGGGAGCAGCAGGCCAGCTCATGGCTTCTCCCGGTTCAACTTTATTTGTTTGGGGGCCTCACTTGACAGTGCTCAGGGCTTACTCCTGGCTCTGTGCTCAGTATCACTCCTGGCAGGGCTATGGGAACCACACGGGATGCCGGGAATTGAACCTATGTGCAAAGCTAAACCACAGTACTATCACTCCACCCCCTGAAAATATTATTTTGGTTTTTGAGCCACTCAGCTCAGGGCTTACTTCTGGTTCTCTGCTCAGGCATCCCTCTTGGAAAGGCTCAGGGGACTTCATGGAATGCCAGTGATTGAACCCGGGTCAGACGCAGGCAAGGCAAGCACTCTCCCTTCGGAGGGGACCCAGGAGGGTCCAGATGCTCCAGCCCTCTTTCACAATTTTGGTTTCTGGACCACACCCAGCGGTGCTCAGGCCTTACTTCTGGCTCTGGGATTATTCCTGGACGGCTCAGGGAACCATATGTATGCTGGGGATTGAACCTGGGTCTGCTGTGTGCAAGGCAAGCACTCTACTTGCTGTTCTATTCGTCACTCAGCCCTGGCTCACTTTTTTCAAGATAGGGCCTGTCCCAAGCCCTGCAGTCCTGGGGGTCACTGGGTCTGGGCAGGGAGTCCTGGGGTGAGTGACAGAATCAGGGCCCACACAGGCCGGATGGGCTCTTTCCCCTCTGGCTTATAGTTGGACTTGGAACTGCCCACTCCGCCTCTACTCAGGCAGTGCCCGGAGCCCTGATCACCCCAGCATCTGCCAGGTAGTGCCCTGGAACCAGCTGTCCCAGCGCCCAGCAATAGGGCAGGAGAGTTCTGTGCAGGATGGAACAACGACAGGGAGCTGGAGGCCCGCTGGGTGGCAAGGCCTGTGGAAAGGGGTGAACTCAGGTCTCTGTGTGCAAGGCATGAGCCGCTGCCCACCCCCAGCTACTCTCCTATCTGCCCTTTTCTTTCTTAAAGGAAAATGCCTCCACGAGGAAAGAGCTTTGGGGTAGAGTGGAAGACCCCCTTTCTTCACCAGGCGTTTTGCACTCTCTCTCCACCACCCCTGGGCTGGGCAGCGGTTAGAGCCGGCAGAGCCTGGCTGCGTTACAAGGTCCAGGGACCGGGCCGAGCCCACTCGTCGGCTTTGGGGAGAGGGACGGAAGCGCGATCCCGGGAGGAAGCGTCGCTCTTCGGCCCCTCGTGGACAGCCCCTCTTCTCCAGCACCGCTCCGGGGGGCGGCCCCGCCCCGCGGCGGGCGCGCGAGCCCCGGGGAACCGGGCTGGGCCCAGGAGCCGGCGCTCCCCGGTGGGGTCCCTCCGGCCGGCCCGCAGCCAATCAGGACCCCGGGCCCCGCCCCTCTTTGTTGCGGCGGCCAATGGGCGTCTCCGGGGCCCGGACGGCCGCCGGGTGACTCGCTGTCTGTCGCCGGTCGCGCTCCGGGATGGGACCGGGGAGGCGGCGCCGCCCCCCGCCCCGCGACAGGTGAGCCCCGAGCGTCCCCGCGGCCCGGGCCCGAGGGGCGTCCTGGCAGCCGCGGCCGGGGCCAGTCGGACGCCCGCCCGGCGCGCACCCGCCCCTCCCGCGGCCCCGGGGCTTGTTTGCCCGTGGGGGGCGTGAGGAGCGCGGCGGGAGGACGACCTGCAAGCCCCCGGGCTGACGGGGCTGGGCGGGTGGGGGGGGGGGGTCGCTGTCCCGGGCGGGGGTCGCTGTCCCGGGCGGGGGTCGCTGTCTCGGGCGGGGGTCGCTGTCCCGGGCGGGGGTCGCTGTCCCGGGCGGGGGGTCGCTGTCCCGGGCGGGGGGGCTGTCCCGGGCGGGGGTCGCTGTCCCGGGCGGGGGTCGCTGTCCCGGGCGGGGGGGCTGTCCCGGGCGGGGGTCGCTGTCCCGGGCGGGGGTCCGTCCCAGGCGGGGGAGCTGTCCCGGGCGGGGGCGCTGCGGGGGGGCGCTGTCCCGGCCGTGCCCCCGCCTGGCTGAGCCCGCGCCGCTCGGCCCCGCAGGCCCGGCCCGTGAGCGCCGCGCCCGGCCCCCGCCCGCGCCCCCCGCGCCCCCCAGGCATGGAGCAGGCGGCGCCCGCGGGCCGCTGACGCGCGCCCCCGCACCATGACGGGCTCAGCGGCCGGCGCCCAGCGCTGCCCCCACGCCAAGGGCGCCAGAGGCGCGCGGTCCCGGAGCAGCCACGCGCGGCCCGTGCGCCCGGCCACCGGCGGGGGCTCCGAGGAGGAGGACAAAGACGGCGGCGCGCTGTTCCGCGTGAACAAGGGCGGCTTCCCCATCGACAGCCACACCTGGGAGCGCATGTGGATGCACGTGGCCAGGGTGCACCCCCAGGGGGGCGAGGTGGTGGGCGCCATCCGCAACGCCACCTTCCTGGCAAAGGTCAGTGCGGCTCCGGGGGGGGACCCCCACCCTGGGTGGGGACACCTGGGGCCGGTCGTGGGCACCCCGAAGCAGCCCTGGCTTCCCCGGAGACCCCGCTCCCCGCTCGGAGACCTTGGGCATCAGGGCAGGGCTGGGCAGTGGTGCTGGGGGGTTGTGCCCGGGCTGCTTGGAGCCTCCAGCCCAATTCTGCCTTGCAGCTCACACACACACCCTGCAGGCAGGGAGAGGGGCCTCTGGTGCTCCGGCTCCCACTGCTTCGTTCCCCCTGGCCTTGAGTGAATGGGGCACCCTTCCACACCAGCTGCCGAAGACCTCTGTAAAGGACAGTGACTGTCACCCCTGAGACCCGCAAGCCTCAGCCTGTGTCTTTCCCACCTGCCTGGCCTCAGGGGGTTGTAGGGGAGGGCTTCAGAGGGGTTAGCCCCATCCGACAGAAGGGCTGGGCCCAGGAAGGACAGACAGAGCAGGGTCACACGCCCCACCCTGATTCAAACGGGGTGGGGTGCCCAGCACCTGGCCCCTGGCTGTCCTGGGGAAGTTGGTATGTTGGAGAGGACTCCTGGGCTATGTCAGCTGTGCCCGGCATCCAGGCCACTGGCCAGCAGCTGGGCCCCTACAGGCCAGACGCTCTGACTGCCCTGGCGCCCAAGTGAATCTGGAAGCTTCCCCCTGCCCTTGGGTATGGGGTCATTCCTGTGCTGTCCTGCCAGGTCTGAGCCCTTGGGCCCCTTGCTGAGTTCTTCTTGGGCCTGACCTGGCCTGCAGCTTCCAGAATTTCCCGGGAACAAAGGAGCCATTCTCCAGCGAATGGAGCTGGTGGAGGAGCAGTGAGCACAGCTTACCTGGCTCCGTCCCGAACACCCATATGCCCCTCAGTCTACCGGGAATGATCCTGAGCTCAGAGTCAGGGCCCACCCTGAGTATAGTTGCATGTGACCCAAAGCAAAAATAAGTAAAGGGAAGGCGGCACCATGGGCCCCAGAGCTGGCCATCCTGGTCACCTGACCCCCACTTCAGCCCCTTGGCACTCACCCTGGTTCTAACTGCGGCTGCCCCCCAGCCTGTGGGGAGGGTCCCCTGCTCTCTGGGAGTTCAGGGATGTCAGTGGAAGTGCCACCCGGGGAGTGGGGACCAGTCTTGGCTTCTGTTTGGGGATCACCTTTTGGATGACTATGAACCTCTTTATCCGGGGAAGCAATTCACCTCCAGTGGTCCTGCCCGCCTGCCTGAGGGTGTGGGCCACAGCAGAGGCTGTGCGGGCAGGACCCCCTCCCCCCCGCCCACTCCCAGCCCTGCAGAGCCTCCCCGCTAGGCTGCCCTACCATCTGTATCAGGCCACGTGCATGGGTTTCGGGATGACTGCCCTGTAGGAAACCCATCCTGTGCCCCTGGAGGGAGTCCCAAGCTGCTTGTCTGTTGCAGAGAAGGTTCTGGGCTCTTTCAAGCACTGGGTATTCTGGAGCACTTGTTAGAGCGGGAAGGCGAGGGTCTTGGAGGAAGGACAAAACTGCCCCTGCCCATCCCCGCTGCCTCCCTGGCCTCCTGCCGCTCAGGCCCAAGGGTGCAGGACACGCATGTGTTCTTGTTTCCTCACAAGTGACTCTCTGGTGCCAGACTCCTGCCACCGAGTTCCTCCTAGACAGCATCATCTGTGCACCCCACCCCAGGGCCCACCCCCTGGTAGTGTCTGCACACAGAGGTGGGGTGACCTCTCCCAGTTGGCCATGCTTGGGGGTTGACTGCAGGCAGCAGGAGGGTCGCTCCCGGAGAACTGAGGCTGGAGTTTGGGAAAACACAGAAAAGCTGCGGGTGGCGGGGCCCGGGTCCCAAATGAGGGAGGAGGATAAGGACTTCTCATGGGCACTGCGTCCGGTCACCCTGACACAGGCCCAGCGGCCCCTCAGAGTCACGCTTGATGGTGCTCGGGGCCCAGAAATGCAGGCGCAGAACTCAGGGTCTGCTCAGCCACTGCGCCTCTCTGTCCCGCCTGGCCTTTCTGCGGAGGGGCCTCGGCTGGCCCCGAGGCCAGAGGGGAGTCTGCATGGACAGTGAAACCGGGTGGGGGGGTGGGGTGGGGGGTGGTGGTGCTGGGTTCCTGCTGGGAAAAGGAGGACTGGAGTTCTCTGCTAGCGTGCTTCCTGTTTTCAGTCCATCAGCCCCTTCCTGCCCCTCTGGTAATGATTGTCACCTTGTCCTTGCCGATGTCACTTTCATTGTCTTTGTCACGGACACCCGTGGACCCACCCGTGACTGTGCTGGGACCCGGCACGTAGGGCCTGGGGCAGGGGCTTCTCTCCCGCCGTCCCGGACACTAGGGCCCAGTGGCTAGGTGGCCTCCCCCTCCAGAGCCTCTTCCCCCACCACCTGTCTCCAGGCTGGGGGCAGGAATGTGGGTGCAGCCCTGCAGCTGTCTCCATGAGCCTCTGGGCGCCAGCTGTCCCGACCCCACCCTCGCCTGGCTCCTGTCAGCTCTTGACTCCGGGGCAGGGGAATGGCAGGTGGTGTGAGGTGGCTTGGGTGTGTCTCCTCAGCCAGGACTTGGCGGACGCCTCGGCACGTCCACCCCACCCCCATCCTCCGAAGCCCCTCCACGTTCTGTGTGTCACTCTCCCTTTCCTGAGATCCAGGGGTCCCGCTCTCGGCTGCAGTAGCCAGTGTGTGGGGTGCTCCCGCCTCGCCCTGGGGCCCTTGCACAAGCTCTCACCCATACACTCAGACCCAGGGCTGGGCGGGCGAGCATGCATGGGTATGATGGGCCCTGCTCGACACCCCGTGTCTGCGCTGCTCCCCGGAGGATTCTGCTCAGGAGTCTGGTCTGGGAGAGAGTGAGCAGGAGGCCAGGCACAGGCCTGTTTGGATCCCGGGTGCGTGAGCACAGCTGAGCTGGACACTTCTGTACCGCCGGCCGTGCCAGTCCCAGCCCAACCCTGAGAGAGACGGGCGCGTGACCGGAGGTCCGAGTCCTCAGTAGTGTGTCACTCGGGGGCGTGGCTTGAGGTCCTGGTCAGTAGTGGGTGCTCAGTGGTCTGCGCCCGCACTCTCTGCTGGCTTTTATAAAGAACCTTTTCCTGGATAAGGGAGACCAGAGCCCAGGCAGGAGAGAAATACCTGTTTTCCTTTGATTTGGGGGGAGGGGTTGCACCTGGCAGTGGAGCTCAGGGGTCCCTCATGGCGATGCTCAGGGACAGTTTGTGGGGACTCCAACCAGCGCCTGACCCCATACCAGCTCTCTGGCCCCAGCTTTGGGTCTTTGGTCTCCGCAGTGCAGAGCCCCTCCCAGTGGGCATGGGCGTGGCGGCAAGCCCCTCCCCAGGCCCAGGTCACAGCCCAGGACAAAGGCTGTATGAAGGCTGCGGGTCCCTGCCCCTGGATGGGCCCCTCCATTCCCCAGACCCAGGAAGCTACCCGGGGCAGCACCCATGGCCACTTGGGGACGCCCTTCCTTCCACAAGCAGGCACCCAGGCTGTCCCTGTCCCTGAGGTGCAGCGCCGGTGCCCGGCTGCCTCCCACTACTCAGGCCCAGCCCAGCAGCCTGCACTGTCCCCAGCCGCACCCCGGAGGCCATCCTGGGGCCCTGAACGGGGGGGGGGGGGAGGCCGTGCTGGGGCCCCCTGACCCTCCTCTGCCTCTCTCCTCTGTCCCTCTCGTCTCTTTCCCTCCCTCCTCCTCTCCCTCGTTCCTTCCCTCTCCCCCACTCCCCCGCGGCCCCGCCCCCAGCCTTCCATCCCACAGGTCCCTGACTACAGGCTGTCCATGAGCATTCCCGACTGGCTGCAGGCCGTCCAGAGCTACATGAAGACGCTGCAGTATCCTCGGGGAAGGGCGCTGCCCCCGCCCTGTCCTGGCCCCCTGCCGTGCACCCCCCAGCTCTGCCTGGGGTCCACCCCGAGCGCAGCAGCCCCGGGCAGCACTTTGTCCAGCGTCACCCTTGGCTGTCAGTGTGCACGTCAGCCTGGCAGGAAATGACTTCGGTGCCCGCCCCGCTGCGTTCATTCTTACCACCCACCTCTCCCCCCATCACTTGTTTTTTTTTTTTTTCTTTTTTTATTAGTGAAAAACCATGAGGTACAGTTATAGGCTTACAAATTTTGTGCTTGGGTTTCAGTTATACAATGATCAAGTGCCCATCCCTCCACCAGTGCCCGTCATCCATCCCCATGGGTCCCAGCATCCCCCCCCCTCATCCCCCACCCCCCCCCTTCCCATCCTGCCTCTGTGGCAGGGTATTCCCCCTTGTTCTCTCTCTCTTCTTTTGGGTACTGTGTTTTGCAAGAGAGGCTTTGAGTGGCAATCATGTTTGGTCTATCGACTACTTTTAGCATGCTTCTCCCACCCTGGGAGGACCCTCACAACACCCTTCATTTGGTACTCTCTTCTCTATCTGAGCTTCCTTTTCACCTAGAGCCTGTGGCTGGCCTTCCATTCATGGAGCAAAAGTCCTGGTACTAATCTCAGCCATTCCTGGGTGTTACTCTCCCTCCCCATCACTTGTTTTTCTTCTTCCATCCACCTCCCTTCATCCCACCTGCTGCCTGCCCCTCTGCCTGCCCCTCCTCCGGCTGTCCTTCTGTCCTGCCTGCCCCCATGGCCCACTTGCTAACAGATACGCGGCCTCCACGCTGCCTTCCTGGTCTCAGCCCTGACCCTTGGCTCCTGGTGGCTCAAGGGCACGGCCCAGCGCAGGCTCAGACGTGGCTGCCTTATACAGCCCAGGAGCTTCAGGGCTGCTTCGACGGGCTCCCAGGGGCGGGGCACGGCCCTCTGTGCGACCACCCTTGGGCCAATGGTAGCCCTGGGAAGGGGCCGGGTGCCCATGCCCAAACTCATCTAGGGCCGGCTTCTGTCATGCTTCCTTAACGGCTGCCACAGATACAACCACACTGGGACCCAGTTCTTTGAAATTCGGAAGATGAGACCTCTGAGCGGGTGAGTCGGGCATGTCCCGGGGCCTGGGAGTTCACCCTCCTCCCTTGCCTCCCCCCGCCCCCCACCCCAGTAGCATCCCCATGCTGGAATGTGCTGGAATGTGCAGGTCTGGAGGGCACTCATGCTCTCAGGGCTGTAGGGAAGGAGAGCCTGGAATTGCTGTTGGGGTCTCCTCCCTGGCTGCTTACTGAAGACCCTTGTCCTGGGCCCGGGGGGCCCCCGCAACTCTGGCCCTCCCTGCCACCAGCAAGGCTGCAGCCGGGATGAGGAAGATGGGGCGGGGCCCAGGGTGCTCCCAAGTGGGTGCTGAGCTGTGCCCCGTCCCGCAGGCTGATGGAGACTGCCCGGGAGATGACCCGCGAGTCCCTGCCCATCAAATGCCTGGAGGCCGTCATCCTGGCCATGTATCCTGGCGGGACGCTGGGGTAGCGCCGCTCCTGGCAGTGGGGGTGGGGGGAGAGCAGGAGGCTCGCTACTGGAGGGGACCACGAGGCAGGACCCTTGTTCTGGGGAGGTTGTGGGACTGGGACGCAGGCCAGCTGGGCCCCAGTGGGGTGTCCTGGTGCCTGCAGGCCCCGGCAGATGGAAACTTGCTGTCCTGGGGCCCCTGTCCTTGCAAAGACCCTGTTACGGGGGAGGGAGCAGATGGAGGGCTCCCTGGAGGAACAGGCGGAGACAGCTCCTGGGGATTTGCCAGCGGGGCTGAGGGAGGAACTGGACACCGGCCCCCTGTGGCTGCGTACACCATCACCAGATGGGTCTGGGGGTTCTCTGCACAGTGGCCATCTTGGCCTTGTTCAGGCTCAGTGGCCAGCATCCGCCCTGCAGGCAGCTGGACACTGCCACCCCGTGGCCATCCTCCCGGCCCCCCCGGCGGGGGTGCTCATTCCCACGCTGTGACACTCTGGGGCCGTGCAGGGCGCGTTGCACAGGATACGGACACAGATGCTGCTCCCCTGGGGCCAGAGAGACACGGTGTGGGCCCTGAGGCACGGGGGGGGCGGCATCCCCCTGTCCCCCCCCCCTCTGAGCTCAGGGCCAGCAGGCTGCTCGAGTCCCAGGTATTTATGTTGCTTTTGTTGGTCCCTAGGGTCCTGCACGGTGGTGCTCAGGGTGACCCCTGAGGGAGCTTGGGGAGCCCTCTGTGTTGTGGGGTTGGAACTGGGGCAGCCACAGGGCAAGCAGTGACCTCCGAGTCTTGCTCTGTAGGGCAGATGGGGGTCACCTGCCGGCCGTGTGTCCCAGCTCCCCCGGGTGGCTGGGCAGTTGTCCCGGAGATGAGCGGGGTGGGAGCCTGTCTGTGGGCTTCTCAAAAACAGGTGGCTGAGAGGGGCAGGGGCCATGCACACCTTACAGATGGGCCTGGACGGCCCGCCCCTCCTTGCTGCCCCCAGCACCCTAGAACCCAGGTGGGCCGCTGTACCCTTAAGGCCTGGCCATCAGACACCCCCCACTTCCCTTGGGGGCATCATTTCGGTGCCTCGACAGCGACAGCGAGGCCAGCTCTCGGTCCCCCAGGCCAACTAGTGGGACGCTGGACTCAGGGTCCCGGCTGGTCCCCAAGGCTGTGGGCTTGCGTGTGAGGGACAGGCAGGCACCCGCCCCAGAGCCCCAGTGCCTCGCTGCTGCTCTGCCTGTGTCAGCAGCCGCGGGATGGTACAGTGTGGCCTGGGCTGCAGGTGGTGTCCCTGCCCTGGCAGGGGTCTCGGGCGCTGTGGCAGGGCAGGTGGTGAGTCCCACCGCCGGGGGCTGCCTGCCAGGCCCCGCATGGCCCCACGTCTCGCCCTTCCTTGACGCCGCCCGCTGAGATACCTGACCAACGGCCAGCCCAGCGTGGAGCGCTTCCCCATCAGCTTCAAGACCTACTTCTCAGGGAGCCACTTCCACCACGTGGTGCTCGGCATTTACTGCAACGGCCGCTACGGCTCGCTGGGCATGAGCCGCAGGGCCGAGCTGATGGACAAGCCGCTGGCCTTCCGCACGCTCAGCGACCTGGTGTTCGACTTCGAGGACTCCTACCGCAAGTACCTGCACACGCTGAAGAAGGTGAAGGTCGGCCTGTACGTGCCGCACGAGCCGCACAGCTTCCAGCCCATCGAGTGGAAGCAGCTGGTGCTCAACGTGCCCAAGATGCTGCGGGCCGACCTGCGCAAGGAGCTGGAGCGGCACGCGCGGGACATGCGCATGAAGGTGCGGGTGGGCGTGGGACCCAGAGGAAGGGGCAGGGTCGGGGGTGCGTGCGGGGGTGGGGGCGGGAGACACAGGGTGGCGGGGGAAGGTGGGCGCAGGACACACGGGGGAAGGGGCGGGGTGGGTGCGTGGGGGTCGGAGGAAGGCGAGGGGGGGCGCAGGGCATGCCCAGGGAGGGGTGGGTGTAGTGAGGTGTGTGGGCTTCGGTGAGGGGTGGGGTGGGCGCCGTGGGCCCCTGCTGGTCTCCCTGTCCTTGGTCCACTTTCTGTGGTGCTCAGAAGTGACGGAAGGTCCCCCTGCTTTGGCTCACTTGGTAAAGCAAACGGTCGGGATGGAGAGATTGGACAGGCGAGAGGGTGCTGGCCGTGCATGCGGCTGACGGGCGCCAGCCGGCACTGCTTGGGTCCCCTGAGCACTGCTAGGAGCGACACTTGTGTGCAGAGCCGGGAGGAAGCCCTGAGCACCACCAGACGTGGCCGACCCCCTCCCCCAGTTGGATAAGGGCTGGGGAGACAACAGTGTGGGAAGGGGGAAGGTGCTTGCCTCCTGCGTGGCGGAGCCCGTCTGGTGTACAGCATCAGGCACTGGGGCCACCTTGGGGTGGGTGTCGGGGTGCCGAGACCCTCCTGAGAACAGTCAGGAGGAAGCCCGCCCAGTCTGGCCCAGGGGCCGGGCATCCACACCTTTTGTAAGAAGCCCCCACCACATGGGCCCAACTCGGCTCAGCTGTCGGCTGCTCTGCCCTTGCTCTGCCCCCCCAACCCTCCAAGGGTTGTGGCTCCATCTCAGAGACAGAGCAGACCCTTTGCACTTGCACTGGGGACCTTGGGTCTCCCTCCCTTGGGTCTCCCCTCCCGGGAGGGGAGGTTCTGGCTGAAGTGACTCCACCAGGAGAGGAGCAGCTGCTTCTGGAGGAGGGTGGGCTCCCACAGAAACGGGGGCGTGTTGGCATCCGAGGGCCCTTGGGGGAGGGGCTCCCCAGCTTCCCGCCTCTGTAGCAGCTCCTGGGTCCCCAGCTCCTCCGTGACTCTTCCAGCAGGCCGGGCTGGGGGATCTACCGGGGGTGGGTGCTGTTAGGCTCCACGGGGCTGACCTTCTGCTTCTCTTCCAGATCCTGAAGCCCAGCACCCAGTCTCTAAGCCAAGTGAGAATCCGGGGCAAGTCCCTCTCCCCCCGGAGGAGGCAGGGCAGCCCCACACGCAGGTCGGGCCGGAGAGACAAGCCGTGAGTACCAGGGGCCCTGGGAGCTGGGCCAGTGGGCCCTGTCCGTGTACCTGCCCGTCCCTCCGAGGACACATGCTGGCGGGGCCTTGTCCTTGGGAAGACCGGGCCGCGTCCCCGGCAGGCCAGCTCTCTCGGGTCCGAAAGCTGGGGACGGGGGCCCTGTGTGGCATGTCTCCAGGTTGGGTTTTTGTGACTTCATGGACACAACATCCAGCCTGGTGAGTGATTTCTTAGCACAGGGTCTGTGTCCCGTGGGACTCATGACTCAGGTGCCAGAGCTGTAAGACTCTGCCTCAAGGTGTGAAAGGCCCACGTGGGACTCAGGCGTCTCAGGTGTGATGCTCAGGAGGAGTCTGGACTGCAGGAGGGTGTTCGTTCCTCTGCATGTCAGTGCCCAGACTGGAGCTGGGAATGGCATGGCCTGAAGACATTCCCCAGTCCCTTTCTCTCCTCCCTCCCTCCCTCCCTCCCTCCCTCCCTCCCTCCCTCCCTCCCTCCCTCCCTCCCTCCCTCAGGAACCCTGGAACCTGGATCCAAGTGGCTTTTGCTCCCTTGCTTGTTTGGACCAGGAGGGGGTCAGGGTCGTCAGTCCATCTAGAACAACTCCTGGTATGATGAGAGAGGTTGCAGCAAATGTAACCGCAGCAGAGTCATCTGCTGCTGTGTTTGAAAAAACCCCACGTGTGGTAGGGCATTTGCCTTGCACACGGCTGACTTGGGTTCAATCTCCTGCATCTCATATGATGGTCTCCCGAGCACTGATAGGAGTAATTCCTGAATTACTCCTATCACTGAATGCGGAGCCAGGGGTAACCCCTGAGCATCTCTGGGTATGACCCAAAAAGCAAAAAAAAAAAAAAAAAACAAAAACAAGGGGCTGGAGCAATAGCACAGTGGGGAGGGCATTTGCCTTGCACGCGGCCGACCCAGGTTCAATTCCCAGCATCCCATATGGTCCCCTGAGCACCGCCAGGGGTAATTCCTGTGCATCGCCGGGTGTGACCCAAAAAGCAAAAAAACCAACCAAACAAAACCCAACAACAACAAAACCAAAAGACAAAAAAAAATTCGTGTGATCGTGTGTTCTAACTATAGACGGGCCCCAAGGGTTCCCTCCATCCTGACACGGTGGAGGTGGGGATGGACGGTAGACCTACGGCCATTGTGAGCACTGCCTTGACCTCGGCCAGCTCATTGGTTTCTTCTCCCCAGGAGATGCCACTCATCTTCTGCCAGTATCTGCCCTTCCCTGAGGGTGGCAGGAGGGGGTGACTTGGAAGAGGGGGCCCTGAAGCTTGGTCAGGGCAGAATCCCGCACCGCTGCCAGACTGGGGCTGAGAGCCCACAAAGGCCCTGTGGTGTGAGCCCAGTCCCGGAACCCCAGAGCCTCCACGTTTCCTGGCCACTGATCCTTCTGCCCAGCCTGGAGCCAGGAAAATGTCTGTTGAGGGAACATGATTCCACAGTCCGTCTCTAGCACGGGAAGGCCCAGGGAAGGCAGCGTGGTGGGCCTGCAGACACTGCCCTGTGGGCGCCACGCTCCAGGAGCCTTCTAGATGCTTCTGGATCTCGAGCTCTGGACAGATGCAGGAAAGGAGCTGCTGTGGCGTGGACGCCGAGAGAGGGGCACAGGCTCCTGGCAGAGAGTTGGCGTTTGGGCCAGACCCAAGCCGGGATGGGGAGCAGTGTCCTGGGGTGCTTCCAGGGGGCCTTGGGCTGTGGCTCAGACTGTGGCAGCTGGTGGTGTGGGTCTGTGCCCGGAATATTTCTGGGACACTCCCACTTTGACAGTGTCACACAGTCGCCACACAGGCTGGATGTCTGTTTAGGGGTCTCCTGAGGGGTGCCCTGTAGTTCAGTGTTGGACCCGAGGATATGATGGTGCTGAGGACCCCTGGTCCAGCCCCGCAGCGCTCACGGTGGCTGCGGCGGGAGGTCCCCTCTGTCCAGTGCCTCTGCCGTGGTGCAGGACATTCTCTCAGCCGTGGGTCCCTTCGTTTCGCCCCGGTGTCCCAGAGCCCTCAGGCGGTGCAGCTGCGGCTCCTGAGAGGAAGGAGCAGCAGGTGGACCCAGGCTCCGGGTGAGAGTGGCCAGTAGTGGAGCTGCGGAGGGTGGGAGGCGACTCTGGAAAGATGTCGCCTTCAGGGTGGGTCCTGGGCGGATGTGGCCGACTCCCTCCTGGTCAGGCCCAGGGGTGGATATGGCCACGTCCTGCCTGCTGAAGGAATCCCTCCAAAGGAGCCAGCCTGCAAACTTTGGGAGAAAATATTCTTTTCAGCTTGTGGGCCACACCTGGTTCTGCTCTTAGGAATCACTGCTGGCAGTGCCCAGAGGACCATGTGGGATGCTGGGGATCAAACCCCGGTCTGCCCCATGCAGGCAGGCACCCTACCCGCTGTGCTGTGCTCTTGCCCTGTGGAACAAATTCTCTTTCTTTTCTTGTAATATCATGGCTCATTTGTGACCCCAGTGTCGTCAACCTTATAGACGGCTGAAGTGAGACTCGAAAGTTAGAACTCACTAGGCTCCCTCTGCAGCCAGGCTCAGCCCGTGTCTCCCATCAGAGAGGCAAGCATCCCCCTGAGAGCTGCAGATGCGGGCCCGGTTGTGTCCAGATCGGGCCCGTGAGAGTCAGCAGGGGCACCTGGGTTATCTTTACTGGTAGGAACCAGGAACCAGGACAAGGTGCTGTGGTTGGGAATGGAGTGCCGGGTACAGGGGACCATCCGCCAGCACAGGCTCCTTCATGGCCACCTCCATCTTGCCAGCTTCACCCTGACTTATGTAGTGCGGGACGTGTTCCCGCCACCTGAACCTCCAGGGTGCTGTGATTCTCAGGCTGGGTGGCTCCTGGTGCTCCCTGCAGGAGGAGAGGCCTGACTAAGCTCAGGGTCCAGGGCCTGGAGCAGAGGGGGAGGCATCTGCCTTGCATGTGGCTGGCCCAGGTTCCATGCCTGGCACTCCATACGGTCCTATGGTCCCCCGAGTCCAGCTGGGAATCATCTTTGAGTGCAGAACCAGAAGTAAGCCCAGAGCACTGGGTATGGCCCAGAAACAAACCAAACAAATCCCTCAGGCATGGTGCTGTGTCTTTCCCACGCTTTTTTTTTTTTTTTTTTTTTTGCTTTCTGGGTCACACCCGGAGATGCTCAGGGGTTACTCTTGGCTCTGCTCAGTACTTAGAATTACTCCCGCATGGCAAAGCCTGGCAAGCTCCCCGTGACGTACTCGATATGCCAAACACAGTGACAACAAAGTCTCACAATGGAGACGTTATTGGGCCCGCTCGAGAAAATCGATGAACAACGGGAGGACAGGGACAGTGACAGGGACAGTGACAGTGCTCAGGGGACCATATGGGATGCTGAGGATCGAACCTGGGTCGGCCTCGTGCAAGGCAAATGCCCTTCGTGCTATCACTCCGGCCCCTCCCACGCACCTTGACACAGCGCCCTTCAGCCTTGGCTCCACAGGCCACCCGAAGGGTAGGTTTGGAAATCACCAGGATGGTGACCCAGTGGTGCAGACAGGCTACAGATACTTGCTAGGGAGCGACCAAGGAAAGCCTCTGCACTTGGCTGGTCTTCCCTGGGTCCTCTGCTCCTGCCTGAAGGCCTTTAGGAGACCCAGTCATTGGCCTTGACCTGGTGGCTCAGTCCGCCGGGGCAGGTGAGCACTTCTCAGCTAGTCTTGCCATTTTTCGGCGTTTGGGCTCGGGAGCATCTCTGCTGTGGGCCCCACTGCTGCCTCAGTGCTTCGGTGAATGTGTGTGGGGACAGAACAGAGTTGCCTCACGGTCAGTCTGTATCACGAGTCCTCACGCTCCCTGGTGGCTGCAGCCCTGCCTGGAGCGCGGGCTCGTGGCGCAGATGCTGAGAGCGCTGCAGTGTCTACTCTCGCTTTCCCCGCGCACACCAGCACAGCCAGCTCAGGGGTGCAATGGAGATAGCAGCCCTGAGGGTCTGTGATCCTGTAAACCCTCCCAAGGCTTTCAGAAAGGATGTGGGCATGAGGCCCAGCCAGACGCTGGAGAGGGCCTTTGAACCCCATGGCAGGAGCTTGCGACAATGTGACGATGTTCCTTCATCTAAAGGGGACTGGCAGTCAGGGAGAGGGGTGGAGGAGTGGGGCAGGGTGAGCAGCGGGAGGACTAGGGGCCCCTGGAAACATGCACTGACCTTTCTCCCCCCAATCCCGCACCCCCAGGCCGGCGCTGCCCGAGAAGGTGGCCGAGCTCAGCACCCTGAACGAAGTGGGTTACCAGATCCGCATTTAGCCGGCTGCATCCCCAGGAGGAACGGCAGCTGTTTACTAGAAACTTGTGAATCTTATTTTTGAAGGACTTGCTTGGAAGCAGTCGAGTGGGTGGTAGTGACTGACTGGAAATTCACCAGGGGGCAACCAGCAGAGGCGGAATAACCCCCAGTGGGCACCTGAAATGCATCGTGGAGTGCCCCTTCTCTGCCTGCCTCGCTCTGGCTATGAACTCAACGCCTCATCAGTGGTCCAGGCTGCGAAGTGGCTTTGTCCTCCGGCTCTGGACATGGGAAGGACGCCCAGTCAGTATTAATGTCTTTCAGCAATAACGGAGGCGAAGATAGGGGTTCCGATAGCAGCCAGTGTTACCTCAGCATCTCTGCAGCAGGTGTGCAGACCTGACGCTGTCTTGCTTTGTCAGCTTTTTCTGTTTCAGTTCTTCGTATTGTTTCCCCCGCATCTCCCCTGGCAGCTTCACGAGTTGCGTTTTTTTTTTTTCCTGGCACACGTGATGAGATTTAAGGTATTGTCTGTGTTTCACTGAAGAGCACTGAAATTCTTCTGGCAATACGGGAAACCACTTTCAGGATCTCGGAGTCACTTCTTCATCTTAAAAGCACCCGAAGCAGTATTTGTTCTTCCGAAAAGCACAGTCACCAGCTAGTCTGTCCTGTCATCAGCATTTAAACTTTGCAGCCTCTGGCCGAAGCCCAGAGTTGGCGGCTGAGGAGCCTCAGGAGGGAACCGGGGTTTGTAGGCCAGAGCCACTCCCTTGGCCTATCACCTGGCTGAGCCGAAGTCAGGCTGGACTAGAGGCCCCTGTTACGACAGAGGTGTTCCCTGTCATGACGGGGTGTCGTGATGTCTTATATTAAGACCAAATGCAGCTGATGTAGTCTTTCTCCAGCGGCTTTTGTCTGGGCACTGCATTACCGGCCAGACTGTGAATCAGTCAATCAGATCTTACCATCAGGGACTGTTCCAATGGCTCTGACCAGGCCAAGGTCAGTATCACCTCTGGCTGCAGCCGGTGACCGTGGGTGTCTGTGGGTCTCTAGCAAGAGCAGAGGCGTGGGCTCTGCCGTGCCCTGCTCGCTGACATCCTTCCACAAAGCCAGCAGGAGGGGCCCCGGCTGGGCACTGAGGGAGGGAAGGGCCATCTCTGAGAAGGAGGACTGACACCGGGAGCAAGACCAGCCTCCGCTGAAACCCCAGGCCTGGTGTGAGGTATTCCAGCAGTCTGGAATGAGCTAAGTTCCTGTAGTCCCTCACAAAGCCCTTTACAGCCTCTCATGGTCACATGCATGGAGGTGTTCAGCCTGTTCAGATGATTTTTATTCTAAAACAAATTCCCAGACCCTTCTACATATGAGATCTGTGGATATATCCATATACCTGTACGTCTTCTGTTTATCACTTTGAAACTTTTATCGCACATCTTTGCAGTCATCTTAAGCTTGGGAGAGAATTTTCCCAAGAGTCTTTAAGTACCAGCCTGGCTGAAACATGAACATTTGCAGGGCCTTTAGCTGAAATAATGGAAACGGTTTCCAAATGCTGTTTAAGCCTTAAAACTGCCAACTGGCTTGATAATCGAATTAGTAACCTTTTGTAAATATACTTTTAGTTGATTCATTTATCTACAGAGAGCAACAGAAACATGAAAATTTATTTAATGTTTCTAAATTTTAACTTAGATGCTTTTGGCGTGTTAATTCCTAAGAGACATGGAAAGGCATCACATGCTTAAATTCTAGCCATTCAGTTACATAAGGCAAAAATAAAAATAAGACCCCATTTTTTACCTCCCAAGTGGTTTAAAATTTGCTACAATTAGGATAAAAATAAGATTGAAATGAGTTGTAGTTTTTAAAAAGTTAATAATGGAAATTTTATGCTTAGCCATATGGGCAATATATGCAAAGTTTAAATGAAGGACAGAAATCTTGATTTCAAACTACAGACTGTGCTGTTTTGAGTACACTTTATTTCAGAAAGTGATATTTAGTATTTTCTATAAAATGAAATCATGAGCATTTCACTTTTTCTAAGTCGATCATTTCTTAAGGATTTTATTAATAGATCTTGTTAATAGAACTTTGGGGATCTTAATTCAGTATCTTACAATACTCAGGCTTTTGTAAGCTATAGTTTTATGTACAACCTTGTACAGTTTTTTTGACACACAATTCAGAATCTTCTTTCTCTCTTAGACTTTGTTCTGGCTGATCTTTTTTTTTTATCTTCAAAAGAAACTGTGATTGTTTTAGTGGGTATTTTTCTAAGTAAAATGAAAACTTGTACAATGGTATTTTAGAGAATACCAGATAAATGCATGTTTCGAGTTCATGTTTTTTTCTCACCGCTTGTATGTTTGTACATAGCATGGGACTTTAATAAAACCATCCTGGAAACTTGGACTGTTTAATTTTGGGAGTGTGAAATGAACTGATTTCCTTTTTCTTACACACCTAGCTGGATGAAATTCTGCTTCTCCCACTTTCCTATCATTTTAAACCATCTTAACATCACTCTGATTTGACACATCTCACTTGACGTGTTTCTGGCCACTGCTGTTTCTTGCCAGAAGCAGAGGGATGAGAAGCGGCAGTTGTGAGCTTCTCTCGCCTCGAACCCTTCCACCGAGCATTCAGCACACGCACTCCAGTGTTGCCATTCACTGGGCACTGACAGGGACAAAGGGCAGATGACTTCCCATCTACTTCCCCAGGCCCTTGACCGCTCTGCTTTTTGGCCACACCTGTGATGCTCAAGGGTTACTCCTGACTCTACTGAATTACCTGGTAGGGCTTGGGGGACCGTATGGGATTTCAGGGACTGAACCTGGGAACCCAGGTCAGCTGTGTGCAAAAAAAGCACCCTACCTACTGTACTATTGCTCTGCCACCAAGTTTTACTTTTTATAGTTGAAAACTTGTGGAGGAGGACTGGGACTTGCTCTCCCCCCTCCCCCCGAGCAGAGGCCAGCACTCCTCACACTGCCTAAGAGGCAGACCCCGTTTTCGAAATTAACATGGCCACTGGTGAGTCAGCACGGGCGAGGCACTGGCCCCGCATGCAGCGCCCCTCGATGCTCAGCTGCCCACTGCCCCCAGCACGCTCCAGGTGGCATCTCCGCACTAGAGTTTGTGGGGCAGGTTTCCTCGAACTTCTGAGGCAAAACAGTCTTTGTCCCCAGTGAGCACTGTAGTAAAATAAACATGCAGAACTGGTTCTGTGTCTGAAACCGCTCGTCAGGCGTCTCCTTAAAGCAGCAGGAGAGGGAAGAGCTGGCTGGGCCTGGGTGCTGCCCCCTGCCCCTGCCCCGGGCCACCTTCGTGTCTGTCAAGGCTGGGAAAAGGGGCCTCATCCAACACCAGTCAGAGGACAGGTGTGCCCAGGACTCGGGAGAGGTCCCTGGAACTGGCTGATCAGACTCTTGAGGCCAGAATCAGTCAGGGCGCAACAGACTCAGGCCGCTGGGGAGGCAAAGGATGTCGAGAGCCTGGAACTGCCATGAGCTTCCCTGTGCTACCCTGTGCAAAGGAAGGAGACACGAGAAATTTAAAAATCAACGTCAACTTTACTGGAATTCGGAATAAAAAATATTTACGTTTTATTTATTTTTTACAATAAAGAACATTTAAATCCTACTTTTCAGGAAAATATTTTTTTCATCATTAGAAAATTGCTGCAAACAATTTTGAGTCTGTTTTCAAACAATTTAACACAACTGCAGATGCTCCACAGCACAAAAATAAACATGCAAACTCTTACAAAACAACGCTCTACAGAGAAGATTCCAGAATGAAAAGGAAAGTCTCCCCAGAGCCACAGAGACTCAGAGCTGAAGCCGAAACTTGGCCAGCAGAGGCAGATGGTCGGAGGAGTTATGCTCATTGGGGAGTCCGTTGACAGTCCACAGGTCGTGCTCTGTGAGAAGGGACAGTCTGGCAAGAAGTTTCAAGCCACCAACCAAGGTCACCTCCGCTCCTACAGCAGGAAGAGGTACGGCAGGAAGAGTGAGAGGTGGCACAGGGTTCTGGAGGTACAATCACCTCTTGAGGATACAGCACCTGCCTCACGTGAGCTCTGGGGCATGGCTCGTGAGGAGCTCATGTGAGGCTGGACTTAGACACGACGCGTGGGACCTATCTCTGGGCCACACCCTAGCCCTCAGAGATTTTCTCTAAATATTTTCCAAACTATGAAATAGAAGAGGACCAGAGCCAGAGCACAGTGGGTAGGGTGTTTGCCTTGCCTGTGGCCAACCCGGGTTTGATTCTTCCATCCCTCTCGGAGAGCCCGGCAAGCTACTGAGAGTATCCCGTCCACATGGCAGAGCCTGGCAAGCTCCTGGTGGCGAAGTTGATATGCCAAAAACAGTAACAACAAGTCTCGCAATGGAGACGTTACTGGTACCTGCTCAAGCAAATCAATGAACAGCAGGAGGACAGTGCTACAGAGTGCTACAGTGCATGAAATAGAAATATCAATGCAGCATTTTGCTGACGGAGAATAGACACCTGGTAAGAAGTTTATCTGTGGGGTTGGAGTGACAGCACAGTGGGGAGGGTGTTTGCCTTGCACATGGCCGTGCCGGGTTTGTTCCCTGGCATCCCTGAGCACTGCCAGGAGTAATTCCTGAGCATCGCTGGGTGTAACCCAAAAAGCAAAAAAAAAAAAAAAAAAATCTGCCATAGGGTCCAGTTTGCTTAAATGACAGCTGGGCCCCAAGTGAGTAGGACGTGAGCTAAGGAAACTGGAGCTGTGGTCCCTGAGAATCAAATCAGCCCATGAGCAAGATGACAAGCACTGTCATCTGTGATGCCATTGGTGGTGCACTGCTGCCACCTAGCGATCATTCCCAGCATGACATACCAAGAGGGGCAAAGGGCCGAGGCAGGAGTGAGAGGAAAAGCAGCCACGAGAGCATCCTTCAGGTGAGCTTGGTATCTGGAGAACAGCCTTAGGGTGAGCTCGGGGGGGGGGGGGGGGGGGGGGGGAAGGAAAGAAGGGAAGCGAGGGGAAAACACCGCAAAATCAAGCAAAAAGGGCAAAACCAGAAATTTTAAAAGCTGCCTGCATAATGAACTTTTTGGAGTATTTTCCCTTTTCTAGTGATTTTATGGACATATGCATGTGTACACTTACTTTCATCTTTTGGCTCACACGTAGCTATCGCTGTGCTCGGGGATCACTCCTGGTAGGGCTCGGGATGCTGGGAATCAAGCCCTTTCGGCCATATGCAAGGCAAACCCCTCTCTGCTGCACTATGGCTCCAGCCCCAGTCCTAGTCATTTTGAGCGAACTCCTGTCCAACACCATAGCAGCTACCACAGGAGTGACAGCACAGGGATGACAGGTACAATGGCAAAAAGGCTTGTCATGGGGCGCCCCGAAAGGGCACGTGCCCTGCCCTAAGGCCTGACTGCCCCCGGGAGTGCGCTCGCACAGGCCAATGGGACTGGAAGGCACCGCTGAGGACGGACTCTGCCCTGGGGAGTCACCACCTGGCCCCCGTCTTCACACAGCTCGCGGCTATGGCCTCAGTCAACACCCACCAATCTCTCAGGTCCCTGGGAACCTGGCAGCCTGTCCCCAGCTCCTGGCTCTGTACCTGGCTGCCGGGAGACGTCTTCCTTCCTGGTGGAGTAGAAGATGTAATCCACAGTTATGGCACTGCGCGAATGACAGGTGGTCACCTCAGGGACACCTGTGTCAGGAGCGTAATGAGAGTACACGGACGACAAGCTGAAATGGTGCTGTAAACGGGAGGAGGATCTGAACGGGAAAGAAAGGATTTTTTTTCTTGCGGTCTTCACAATTCCTCCTGTTTAATCTGGGCAAGGAATGGCTCAAAGGGCGAGTGCAGACTCCTCGTGAAGGGAGCTGGTCTGAGCCGGTTTGGGTCTTACCTGGCACCACAGGTCACCCAAAGCTCCGAATCGGAAAGAGGACTCATGAGCAGGCCCAGGTAAAGCCCCAAAAAGTGTTAACACAACAAAAAACCTCCAAACCCACTTAGAAAATTTTAATGCCAAATATCAGAACAAGTTTTATTTAAATAGATCAAAACCTACAAACAAGACTGTAGAATGTGAGGGAGTTCAACAATTACATTCTTTTTTGGGGGGGTGGTGTGGGGGAGGGTCACGCCTGGCAATGCTCAGGAGCTACTCCTGGCTCTGCACTCAGGAATTACTCCTGGTGGTGCTGGGGAACCACATGATATGCTGGGGATCGAACCGGGTTGGCCTCATGCAAGGCAAATGCCCTCCCCACTGTACTACTGCTCTGGCTCTCAATAATCACATTCTAATGTGACCTGGCTTTTGGACTACAACCAGTGGTGCTGAGGACTGAACCCAGGTCAGCCATGTGCAAGGTCAATAATCACCCCCTAACAGTCATTCTGGCCCCCAACCCAACCACACTAAACCCAGTGTACATTTTACCCATCACAGCAAAAATATAGTCCAGTCAGGACTGGAACTAGGTCTTCTGGACTCAAGAGCCAGAATTCTGGGGCCAGGGAACAGCTCAAAGGGCTAGAGGGATACTCTGCACAGGGCTCTGAGTCTGATCACGGCAACACCAAGAACCACCTCCAAGCACTGCACCTGGGACACACCCAACCCGAGAACCCGCCCACTATGGCCCCAAAGCAAAGACTCACAAAGAGATTTTTAAGAAATAATTTTTCACTCAAAACTGGCCAACATCTATTCTTTCCAGAACTTACTTTTTGGCTGGGCCAATGAGGTCTGAATTGGCCAGCTCTGTCTGTGTAGGATCAGCGCCTGTAAGAACCCAGAAAAATCACTAAGAACTACCACCAGTGTTCTGTCTCGGTTACTAGTTTCTTCTGACTCCAGGAACGATTCGTGAGACATTTATTTAAAATATTTTCCCTTTGCTGATCTGTCATGAGTTTACAGCATTAGAGAATTTTAGGGGGGGCATATCTAGTTGAGTGAGGTGCCTTGGTAAGTATTTTAACCTAGAATTTTTTATGATTTTTCCAGAAGTAGCAAAACCAAAAAGCAAAGTAGTTCCAAAGCAACTTCCAAGTAACTCAAACAAAACTACTTCTGAACAATGAACTTTAGCAAACGATCTTTCTTGGGGGTAGGTGGTGCCCAGGATGAGACTGAGGTGGGCACCTGCAAGGCAGGCGCCTTCCCCGTGCAGCTCGCAGGGGCACCCCGCCATCTTCAGATGCAAATGTGCAATGCTGAATGGTCTCCCTTTCGAGATGCCCAAGTACCGTAGACACTCACCTGCCTTTTCCGTGCGCTGACCCCGGGGGCCCTCATACACACAGTTCTGGGAGATGCCGAGGTTTGGGGGCCAGATGGGGATAGTTAAGACTCTTTGTCCCCGGGAAGACTGTTCCTGGCCAGAGACCTACACAGAATGTCAACAAGTTCCTTCAATGAGGAGACTTCAAGTGGCTCAGTGGAAACAGGTCCCTGCAACGAGGGAACCTGAGTTCACGCTGTGGGAAGTTCGTTCAAAGGAAAACCAAGAATGGAAACTATGACCATCCATTTCATCAGGTGTCTGCTCATGCTTACAACATCTTACTCAAAGATGCTTTATAATGATTCTGCACACTTCACAAATCTGGACAATGAGATGATCACCTCTAGGTGAATATTGCTCAGTTTCGTTTTGTGCTACCTGCACAACAGACCCCGTTATACAGAACACTAAGATCAATGCTGAGAGTTGTTTTTTCTCTTCTCAGGGGTGACTCCTGGCTCTGCACTCAGGAATTACTCTTGATGAGACTCGGGGGACCATATGGGATGCCAGGGATTGAACTGGGTTTGCAAGGCAACCTACCTGCTGTACTACTGCTCCAGCTCCCCTAGAACTCTGTGTGTGTGTGTATGTGTGTGTGTGTGTGTGTGTGTGTGTGGCGCGCGCCAGGGATGGGACCTAGGACCTCACAGAAATGTGTCACTAGTAATATCCCAGCCCAATATTTGTATTGTTTCAACAATCCCCTAAAAGGTGGTGGCCAAGAGCTCAAAGTACTATCAAATCACGTAAAGCAGGCACAGTGGGGGAGCTCATGACAACACGCTTGCACACACAGGCATGAACCTGGTGGCTGGCTGCCGCCTTTACACAGTCTGCCCTGCGACTGCACAGTACCCTCTGGGCACAGGCAGTCACCCCTGCTGCTGTTTTCTCTCATGCTCTGAGCTTTGGCCCAGGGGACACACATCCAAGCACAGAGATGACTCCTTGTTACGCAGAGCACCGGGGCTCCCGGCAAACAGTGGCAAGGCCAGACCAGCACTCACCTTGCCTATGGCAAGTCCTGCGTAATCCAGCTTTCCCTCTTTAATGAAGCTGTAGAGTGGAGAGCCGGGAACAGAGTTGAAGTCACCACACATGACAATGGGGCAGAAGCTGCCGTCCTGCTGCGCCGCCACACTGGCCATCTCGGCCAGGAGTATGGCCAGCTGCGTCAGCTTGATGTCTCCTCGCCGGGGATTGTAGAGCAGGTGTGTATTGGCCACGCACACCACAGGGCAGGCAGTGCGGGGGACTTTGGGTCGCAAGAGCAGCACCAGTCCCACATTGTCGCGGTCCAGCAGGGGGACGTCGGGGCGATAGAACTCCACAGGGTTGGCCGATAAGAGGGAGAACTTCGAGTGCTTGAAGCAGATGGCACAGCCGTCTGGTTTCTGTCCTGTCCTCATCTTGTACTCACAGTGATACCCTGCAGGTGAGCAAGGAGCTGTAGACGGGACGTGGCCCACCCACACAACAAAAAAACGATTTCACACTCAGAATGAGAAGCTGCCTGTCTCCTGAATAGGGAGCCAACTCTGGGCAGGGAGCAGGCCACGCACGGCCAGCAAACAACACACTGGCACAGCCGAGTGTCTGTGGGCCACCGCTCCCCCACTCCCCAACAAGTAAGGGCTACAGGGACCAGCAGGCTGGGCACTGGGTCTGCATTCAGGACGCTCAATGAATCCCAGGAACCAGTGGGCTTAAGCACTGATGAGAGTGACCTGGTCCCAGAGGCAGAGGGCTGGGAGCAGCCCCTGGACACTAGTGGACATGGCACAAAAACCAGGTGCCACCTGCAAACTCTCAGGCGCTGGGATCAGAGTCGGGAATGCATGTGACTGGGACCAAAAGCGACTGTGCGGGAGTGCGTCTCGGCAGAAGCAGACAGCCTCAAACCAATAAGCACTCTGCCAGAGTATTTCTTGATGGAAGCAAACCTCCCCATGCTGCCAAGAGAGTAAGGAAGGCAACCAGGCCATTCTCTGGTGATTTCACAGACCCCGCCACCCAGTGCTACCCAATAGCCTGCTTTCCTCAAAAGCCCACAGGCCATAGCAGCCCTGCTGCAGACTGAGCGAAGAGTAGCGGCTGCCCGCAGCCACCAAGGACCTACTTCTCGGTCATGCGCAGCCTGTGTGGAGTGACATACTCCCAAAGGGGCTGGGTCTCACACAGCTCAGAACTGTCAGGTCCTCTGGGAAGGAAGTTTCCAGAGACTGACTCCTTCCCCATGAATTAGAAGCAGGTAGAAATGCAAAAGCGTGTCCCTGAAATGCCTCACTGTCTCCTGACCCCTCTGCAACGGGTTTGGGTTTTCAAAAGTCAGATGGTTTTTTGTCCTAATACCAGATAGGACACAGTCCAGAGGCTTCAGTGCCTCCCTTGCATACAGCTGACACCTGTTCGACCCCCCGCACCCCATATGGTCCTCCAGCCAAACCAGCATCAGTGACCCCTTAACACAGAACGGGGGGAGGGAAACGCTCCCCACAATAAGATTTTGCCCCAAATGCACCATGCATTTTTGTTACCAACCGATGCTTTAACACGAAACTTTTCAAAAGCAAATGTGGTTAAAACGAAAGTCACTCTGTACCCAGTGATTCCAAACTTGGCCTGATCTCTGCTCCATAATGATCTTCCTGAACCTCTTGCAAACACAGCACCTTAAAAGAAAAAATGGGCTTGAATGAGAACAAAGTGATGGGAACACACGTTGGTTTTCTAGAGGTTCTGCCTTTTGACAAGGATTTGGTCACCCTAAACCGTGCAGGGCAGGTTCAGCTGAAGCGGAGCACAGGGTTGTGTGAGAGCTACACCCAAATGGACCCTACCAAAGCAGCTTCTGATCCCACCGTCTGCTCACACAGACCTGTCACCAGGACCCCGATCCTGGCCTTTTACATTTCAAATTCTTCCATACTGCAAAGCCAGTCCTTTTTGGGGTTTACTTTTGGGCCACTCCTGGCAGTGCTCAGGGCTTACTTCTTCCTGCCTCTGCACTTAGAAATCACTCTTGGCGGGGCTCAGGGCTCATTCCTGGCCCTGCACTCAGGGATCACTTCTGGCGGGGCTCAGAACTTACTCCTGCCTCTGTGCCCAAGGCTCACTCCTGGCCTGATGGGATGGGAGGGAAGCCATATGGGGTCCTGGGGACTGAACCTGGGTCAGTCGTGAGCAGGCAAGCATTCTACCCATTGTATTCTCTCTCCCTATAATTAATGTATCAGGATATTTCCCAGAAAGGCATAACGACGTGTTAATTAGTACTGAATCACAGACTGTATTCCTTTGTTGCGGGGGCCACACCTGGTGGTGCTGGTGAGGGTGAGAGGGGGGTCAGGCACGACAGGATGGAGCTGAGGTCACGTGCGTGCAGTGCTGTATTGCTGATGACCCCCTCCTCAGACCCTTGCCCTTTCTTTTTTTCTTTTTAGTGCAGCAGGTCATTTTTACTGAAACATTTAGGAAGATGTGAAGGGAGCGAAGAAGGGGAAACATATTCAAGAGAGCCTGGCAGCAAAGCCAGGAGATGAGCCACTGAGATGCGCTCGGGGGAGAGGCCCGAAGAACAGTCTCTGGTGCTGACCCCAGGGGACCTCGGGGGATGCTTTGCAAAGGTTATCTAAATTCAGTAAATACGGTTAGATTACCAGTCCCTGTCTCAAAACTACTCAATACCTCAAACTCTCTGTTGGTTTGCGTTCCTTCCCCTGGTGCTAAGGACTGAACCCAGGGCATTAGGCTTGCTGAGCTCCACCTGGCTACGTTTTTGGATATTCTGTGAGAAGTTATAGGTCCGTTACACCAACAACTATCAGCAAGTGACGAAGCCATGACACCTTTTATGAACGCTTCCACTGAGATATGAAAACATCTTTCTTACCCCCCCACAAAAGGGGTCGGCCAGTCACAAACAAATCACTGAACCCATCCTGTTCTTTTCTGAGCTCAGATCAAGTGTAGATCCTTCATAGTAATAAAGGTCAGTAGGAAACATTTTCATCATTGCTCAGAACTGATCGTCTCCACGCGCGCACGCACATGCGCGCGCGCACACACACACACACACACACACAGTCTCCCCCCCCACCCCAACACACACACAAACACTTGCACTGTTGCTTCTCAGAACTAGATCACGCGTCAGGCAGGCTGCACAGCCTCCTGATGCTCAGATTTGGCTATTTTCATCATTGATCCACTTCCCAGGAGCAGATCTCAGAGGAGAACCCACCTTTCCTTACAGAGGAATTCTGTTACTTTGCACTTACATCTGCATCAAAATGTTTGATTTCTTTCAGGATATTAGGAAAGCGAAAGCTCCAGTGTAATACTGGCCTCTGGCAGTGTCTATAGAGGTGCGAATTGTCTTCCAGTAAGTCCTGGGCTAGTATGTTATAGGACATCACCGAGAAGTCAAACGTGCCCTCACTGTCTTCACAAGTGGGCTTGCAGCATTCTTCCACGCTCATGGCTGTCTTTTCTTTACTATGATTACATATATATTCCCAACGCCGTTTTATCACGCCTGTTAAAATATGGAGGACAAAATAAGAATGAACAAAAAGTTGACCAGATAGTTTCTAGGATGGACAGTCTTTTTCCTCACCTCAAAATCCCCTCAGACAATAACTAGATGTTTGTCTTGGGGCAACAGTGAGGGCATTGAGGGCCCAGAGTGTCACCAAAGTGATTCCCAATTCCCGAGGAAGTGAAGCAACAGGACTGAGCCGGAGTCTGGGGCAGGGGTGGGGGTGGGGGACACTCATGGCTGCTGGGGGCAGGGCAGAGCTCAGGGCACAGTCCGGGCAATAGCAGGGGGTGTGGGCGGAACTCAGGGCAGAGTCGGGGCAGTGGTCAGGGAGTGTGCAAGGGAGGGTGTGGCAGGGGTAGGGGGTACTTGCTGGCTGCCTGGGCCAGGGAGGAGCTCAGGGCAGCAGCCAGAGGGAATCTGCTAGCTGCCCAGGCCAGGGTGGAGCTCAGAGTAGGGTCTGGGCAGCAGCTGGTGGGGGGACTTGGCGGCTGCACAGGCCAGAGCAGAGCTCAGGGCAACCTCAAGATTTTCAAGCAGGAAGCCCCAGTTCGAACCCGCCACAAAAGGATGATGTGGGTGGGGGAGAGTGTGCCATGAACGCACTTCGCAAGGATGCGCATAACCGCACCAAACCTGCACATCCAAGCTCCCCAAAGTGGGTGACGCCACTCCTGGTGGGGTTCTAGGAGAACAGGGGCAGGAGGAGTGGGGGGGGGTGCTTGCACAAGCTTCAGCAGAAGTTGGCAGTGGGGGTGGGGTTTGCGTGCTATTTGTTTATTTACAGATGCAACATGGGAGGCCAGATCAGTAGGGGACCCTCTGCTGTCTACTAGTGAGTGGTCGTCACAAAGCAACTGTCACCAAGAATTTAGCTGCACAGTCAAGAGTGTAAGATGGCAGCAGGCGGAATGACTCGATGTCATGATACTGATGTAGGCCAATGACACCCATAGGAACGAACAGCGGCAGTCCAGGGGCTGGGAGGGAGAGTGTGGCCTTGAGAGAGCTGGGGCGTCTGTCCCTCAGCTGGCTCTGCCCAGTGAATGGCCAGGGCACAGGGCCCTTCCTGAGAAGCAGCCGTGCGGCCCGTACATGCCTAAAGGATTGTGCAGGGTGTGAAATCACCTTTCTATCATCCCTCGCACTCACCCATGAGCAGGGTACTCTTCCTAAGAAGAAGAGAAACATGCCACAGAAACATGGAAAGAAAAAAGGGGAGCTTTCGGAGAAACGGAGAGCCCAGTGTCTGGGCAAAACTATACATAAGAGCTGGGAACACAGACCAAGACGCTGGCCTGGCCAGACGACACGAGAAGACACGCCAAGTCTGACGCCGGCTTCTCTCTCCCGCACAAAGGTTTTAGTTCACTGAATTCCATGAAGTAACCCTACTGAGGAAAGCTGCTGTGTGCCTGTCTGAGGAGCGGGGACACTCAAAGTAAAGGCAAGAGAGCACTCCCAAGAGTCATGATCTCTGGCACGGGGAGACGATGCAGCCCTCCGAGTCCTAGCAGTGCTGAGGAAGCTTTCCATGAGCCGTGAGGTCTCAGATGGACAGGGAGTTGGACACTGATGGATACCCCGAAGGTGCCGGGAGCTCAGGAAATGGGAAGAAAAAAGGCAGTACAGTGGGAAGCTCATCCCCACCTGTTTCCCTGCACTGCAAATGGTCCCCTGAGCATAGTACCTGCAATTAACCCTGAGCACTGCCAGGTGTGACCCCAAAAGGGAAAAAACCCAAACCACCCAAATCCTCGACTACTACAGAACTACAGCCTGCCCTGTGTCTGTGAGGAAACTTCCTTCTCTGCCCCTCCCCACCTGCACCTGGGAATCCAAGCCCCAAGGCCAAGAGCTAAGGCTGACTGTACCAGCACGGCAGAACAGACCGAGAGCTGGGATGCCATTCATTCATTCATTCACAAACTGCGACTGTCCGGGGAAGCCGCAGACACAGATGACCAGGTCTCCCTTCACATGGAGACTGAATGTGGAAGAGCTTGAGGCCTACAGAGGAAACACAGGCAATCACCTCGAGACACAGGTGACCACACTAAAATACGATCAAGATGAAGCTCTAGGAACCTGCTCCTACTGTCTTATAAATACATAGAAGCAAAGCATATCAAGACATTACGACACTTAGACTCCTGGGGGTTGGAGCGATAGCACAGCGGGTAGGGCGTTTGCCTTGCACGCCACCAACCCGGGTTCGATTCCCAGCATCCCATATGGACCCCTGAGCACCGCCAGGAGTGCAAAGCCAGGAGTAACCACTGAGCACTGAGCATCACCGGGTGTGACCCAAAAAGCAAAAAAAAAAAAAAAAAAAAGACACTTAGATTCCACTTAGATTTCTATGGGGCCGGAGTGTCAGCACAGCAGGGAGAGTGCTGGCCTTGCCTACAGCTGACCCAGGCTCGATTCCCGGCACCCATATGGTCCCCTGAGCACTAGCAGGAGTGATCCCTAGCATAGAGCCAGGAGTAAGTCCTGAGCACGGCCGGGTGTGACCCAAAAAAACCAAAATGGTTTTTTATAGTCTTGGCAATGAAGAATATTAATTAAGTCAATAATTCTTTTTCTCAATTTCACTTTCTGAATAACTGTGATCAGACTAGACGCTACTTTCAAATGTCCAGCGCTGGGACAGGCCTTTCCATGTGGTGAACAGTCCCTGGGGTACCGACTGAGGGCCAGGCTATGACACAGACAAGCCTCACAACACGCTGCCGTCATGAACATAGAGAAAATATGCTCAAATGGTCGGGTCGCATGGAAGATGAGATGAAGAAGCTTGGCTTGGCCTTACAGACTTCAGAGCACAAAGTGACACCACAAAAGCTCATGTACCTTCCATGTCAGGAGGAGCAAGGTGGCCACCGCAGACAAGGCAGGTGAGTCAGAAAGAGCGCGCGCCTGGCCAGGGTTTTAGGGTGCCTATGTAAAAAGCCATGAGCAGATCGCACAAGTCCTCCCAGGCCACTTTACAGTGACAGGCAACTGAGTTATGCTGTTGTCCCGACGGGAAAGTGTTAGCGAGACACCGGAAGTCACAAACATGGCTTAGCGAGGAGCATGTTCCTGAGTCACAACACCTAGGAAGAACGGATACAGAGTCAGGGCACAGTCCCAGCGGGTTGAAGGCCAACGTCACTGGAACTGGCAGCACGGCCACCACCACCTCCACAGCAATGTCCGTGAAGCCAGCAGGGTGACAGCCCTTCCGTGGAGCCACATCACCCTCTCACCTCCACGGCGGTTGTGGGTCCCCCCAGAACAGAGAAGCCTGCATGCACACTGTCCACATTCTAGCTACAGACTCCAGAAGCAGATTTAAGAAACGCAAATCAAAAACACCTTTCACCCAGGAGTGCTCCTATCTGAGCGATCTCTGTCTCAGTTGAACTCAGCATTAGAAAGGAAACCATGAAACTGAAGGTTCTTCCACAGCCGCTGACAGCATCGCGCCCATCGGTATCTGAGTCACCTAAGCACCTGTTTTGGCAACACGGGCCTAGAAGGGCAATCCTAGGCTTTGCGCTTCTGCTGGCCGCTCCTTTCCCAGTCAGCACGCTGACTGTTAGCGCCAGGAATACGCCACAATTGAAGACAAGAAGGAACACTGGATTCTACGAAAAAGCTCTTGAGCCAGAAAGCCGTCTCAATGGACAGGGTGCATGCAAGGGGCATGCTGGAGTTGGGGTTTGCTCCCTGTCCTGCAGGGCCCCCAAGTCCTATCAGCAGTGAGCCCTGAGCAGAGCCAGGAGCAATCCAGGAGCAGCACCAAGACGGCCCCCAAATGAAAACCAAGTAAGACGTGGCCCCTCCCCACTTCTTGAAAGAGAAAACCACAGGTTCAAGTCAAGACCGAGCACCGCAGCCCAAGGGCCCCTTTACCTTGGTGTTTCCTCCGCTTGGATGAAGGCACCCCTCCCTCAGGATTCATGATGTAACCAGAGAGCTGGAACCAGGAGGGGCGGCCCAGGGCGTCAGCTCGCCAGCCCCAGGGCTGGAACTCACTTCTTGACTCAAACCAGCAGGGCCGTGCCAGGTTCAGAGAGAAATGGCGGCTGCTCAGGTAGGGGTATGGGGAGCGGGAATAATGCCCAGGCCACCTCATGCAGCTTGAGATGTGTCTGTGCCAGCACTGTCTCTGCAGGTCCTCCCACGGTGCGGGCCAGTCTCTGGCCACAGTCCTCTGCACACGTGGCAGCATGGGGGATCTGGAAGGCGAGCAGACAGGAGAACAGGCAGACTTCTTGTGGCACCTCTCCTGTTCACCGCGCCTGCTTCCTCAGGGGAAAGCCCCATCTGTGAAGGACCGAGAACGGGAGAGCAGCCTGATGTGACCATTCCCGGTGATTCCTGAATGCGCTCCTTATCCCAGGGCGAGTGACACTCATACTTAGGAACATGGACGGGGGGCCGGAGTGATAGCACAGCGGGTAGGGCGTTTGCCTTGCACGCGGCTGACCTGGGTTCGATCTCCGGCATCCATATGGTCCCCTGAGCACTGCCAGGAGTAATTCCTGAGTGCAGAGTAACCCCTGAGCATTGCTGGGTGTGACCCAAAATGCAAAAACAAAACAAAACCAAACCATGGACAGAATTCACTAGGCTGCCCACACAACAGCTGTACTCCAAAATGCAATGCTAAGAGACAACTCCGCCACTGACAGCACCGCAAGAGGAGCGCGAGTGGCCTGCATGCTGCTGACCCTGGTTCCATCCCCAGCACCCCAAGCGGCGCCCTGAGCCCTGCCAGGAGTGATCCCTGCGTACTCAGCCAAGAGTAAGCCCTGAGTACCACTGGACGTGGCCCACTCCCCATAAGCTTTCTGGCAAAACCCAACGGACAAGATGAGATCGACGTGCAACACAAGATTTAAAAAACAGGGAAGACAAATGGAATTCAAAGAGAAATCTCTCCTCCAACATGGGTCTGGGCCCAGGGAACTGGTTCCAAAGGCCAGTGCAAGGCCCAGGTTCGACCTCAGCATCACACGATGGATGTGCCAGTGTCATTAGGGTCTACACGCCCAGCCCCAGTAGGTCACAAACCAGAAAAGGGCTATTTTGGGGGCCACGTCAGGCAAAGCTCACGGGGTTACTCCTGGAGGTGCTCGGGGTGCTGGGGATAGAACCTGGGTTTACCGGGTGGAAGGCAAGTGCCCCACCTGCTGTACTATCACTCTGGTCGGTCCCAAACCAGACGTGTTCTAAACCAGAAATGTTCCTAACCAGTCTTTTTTGTTTGGGGGGCAATTCCCGGTGGTACTAAGGCATCGCCGCTGGCAGGGACCGGAAGCAGCCAGGAGCGGGACAAGGGCTGGCTGCGCGCCTTGCGGAGTCCTCTCCCGCGCCAGCCCCTCCTCTGGAGCTCCGGGCCACACGCGCTCGGGCTGCCCCGGCTGTGGTCCCCGCGAGCACTGTCCCGGCGAGCACTGTCCGCACTCTCCCCCCAAGCCTGGATCAGTGCAGATCACCGGCTTCCAGACACCAGCGCGGGCAGGAAGGCGCACACCTATCAGGACTTCAAGTCAAACACCTTCCTGCGGGTCGGCAGGTGGAGCCGCGGCCCCTTCAACGGCAAAGTCGGCCTCTGCGGGGGGCCGGGCGAGGCGGCGCCCACCCGCCGGGATCCGCCGCCCTCGGGGCCAGATCCGCGGGCAGGACCCGCGGACCCGCGCGTGGACCCGCGCGGGGGCGCCACGCCCTGACCGGCCGCTCCGGCGGAGGCTCGGGCGCGGGGAAGGTGCTCCCCGGGGAAGGTGCTCCCCGCAGGGCCCGCGGGACCCCGAGACCGCCGCGTCAAGGCCAGGCGGTCCCCCGAGGGCCCCTTCCGGCAGGGCCCGAACCCCCGACGGCCGCCCCCGGCCCCGCAGTAGGCCCGGGGGGCGCGGGGATCTCCGGCCGCCCCACCCCACCCCCGCCCCCCGCCGCCCCAGGCCGCCGCCCGCCCCACTGACCGGCCTGGCCCCGCCGCGCAGCGGCCGTAGCCCCTCCTCACGCAGCGCCAAGCGCCCATCGCGCTCCCCGCCGCGGCCGGGCCGCCGCAAGGCATGCTGGGAGCGGCCGCCGCCGGGCCCAGGCTGTGCGCGGAAGCCTGGGATCTGGGTCCCCGCGGGGTCACGGGCCGCACCTGCGCAGAGCGTGTGAAGCCAGGGCGGCCATTCCTGAAAAGGGCAAAGCACCGCCGCTGGTCTTAAAGAAACAGAAGCTAAAGGTGCAGGGAGCAGGAGCCGAGTTCTAGTCCAGCGGGAAAGGGCTTGGGACGCGGCCCAGCCGGTTTCGGTCCCTGGTGTTGCATAACACCGGTCAGTCCATTCTCCTCTGCTGCTAGGAGCTTAGGTTGACTGAGAAACACCACCACAGTGCTCCAGAAGCACTCCCATTCATCTTTAACTTCTCCTTCTGCTCTCCTTCCCCTATTTGCTAATCACTCATTTCCCCTAATCAGACCCTGTGACTTGTAAAGTCAGATTCCTCAGAGAACGCTGACTTTTGTGTTTGTAGGTGAACTATGTCTTTTCTCTTTCCCTTATGTCCTGTGCAGAGTTTCCTGTAGAGCTATGTCCTTTTTCTATAGACACAGAAAGATCGTTAATGCTCTGCTCTCGTTGCTTGAGAGTTAGTTGACCCCGTTTAATACCTACTCCTGGGGATCTGTCATATTTACTCAATTTCGCCTCAGAACCCTCCCCAAAGGGAGGTTTCCTGGCGAGGGACTTGGATGGACCCAGGGCAAACTGTAAACTGCCCTGGCATCAGAAAGGGACAGGCCATGCACACACCATAACACTTATAATCAGTTAAGAGCACAGTCACGCACAAGTTCTGTCATGACCCAAAACTGGATAAGGAACCCTGCTGGGGTTAGGAAGGACTAATCTGTCCAGAGGACTGTAGGCTGGGATCTATAGCAAGATGTCCCCAGGAGAGTCACCCTTTAAGCTTAATGTACCTCTTACTGTGTCCGTATAACATGACTAAAAGGTTAAGTAAATTTAAGATGACTTATTAAATGAATTTGGTCTGGGGCTGGAGCAATAGCACAGTAGGTAGGGCATTTGCCTTGCACGTGGCCAACCCAGGTTCGATTCCCAGCATCCCTTATGGTCCCCTGAGCACCGCCAGGAGTAATTCCTGAGTGCAAAGCCAGGAGTAACCCCTGAGCATTGCTGGGCGTGACGCCCCCCCCAAAATGAATTTGGTCTAAGGAAAGGAGAACCACACCCTGAGATGATATTCCGCAGGGCGGATCTTCTAGGAGGATGAGATCTAGCCCTAGCTTCCCCAGAAGGAAAGGCTTTACATATGTTGATTGTGCTACTTCACCTATGTGTAATTGCTACCTTTAAGGTTTTGCTCTTAACTACTGCTTGAAGACTGGAATGTGAGAGAATGAAACTGGTTGGGATATGTGAAACTGGAATGAGAGGCAGTGTGAGTCTGGAATGGAGATGGAGATTGGAATAAACAGTGACTGACCGCCAAGCCTGCTCAGATCCAGATCGGGGCTGAGCATCCTCCACCCAGATCCTCTATCTTCCAGTAGGCAGGGGCCACACCCACCAACTGGGCCCTGGAGGCCTGTAAAATCCCATCAACGCCCAGACCCAGAGACTATATTATTATCTCATTCTTACTTTGGACAACCTGGCAGGCTACTGAATATAACCTGCCCACACGGCAGAGTCTGGCAAACTCCCCGTGGCGTACCCAATATGCCAAATACCAGTAACAATGATGGGTCTCATTCTCCTAACCCTGAAAGAGCCTTGAATATGGTACTTTTTAAAATCTCAGGGCTAGGACAAAGGAGACATTACTGGGGCCTGCGCGCGGCAATCGACGAACAACAGGATGATTGTGATCGTGATCGTGATCACCAACCAGTTTGGTGGCCCTGTTCCCTCTGTCATGTGTGCCATGTGTCTGTCAGCAGTGGATGACCAGGGTGGGGAAGTGGCTCATGATCACCTGATGTATGTAGCATGTGCCCACATTTTTTGAACCCACATCCAGCATCCCACATAGTACCCTGGGCAATGCCAGTAGTACCTGAACATTGTGGGGTGTGACCCTCAGAAGAAGAAAAAAAACTTGTAAAAAGGTGAAGTTGGCTCTGAGAAGGTCCACAGATGGGTACAGCTTGGCAACTGTTTGTGATTTAGTTTATTTCTATCATTTGACTGGAGACTTGAAGGGCTCCCTTTTGCTGGGTTCTCTAGAACAGAAACTTTGCAGTTATTTTTGGGGGCTACACATCCCCAGAATTCACTTGCAAATACATGTTTGAATACAGGAGCTGAATACAGGACTCTTGGATTCTTGGATTCTTGGAGAACATTCTTTAAGTGGAGACCCCTCCCTCCAAAAGGCAGAAGCTGGAGAAGAACAAGGTCGAGGCATCCAGGACTCAGCAAAGGGGTGAGGCACTTGCCTTGCATGGAACTAAACCCGGCCTGAGCCCTGGCACTGTGTGGGACCCTGAGAACCCTAGGGAGCAACCCCTGAGAACCAAGCTCGAGTACCTGTGATGTGGTGGACCCCACAGGTGGCTCTTGTGAGTCAGGAGGAGAGAAAGACAGTCACCTCCTCCCACTCCGCCTCTGCCACCCAGGACCCGCTGGGAAGACTAGGACTGGTAAAGTCTGCCATGAGCCCCTGCTCTGCACAGGCCTGAGCCCTGCCAGCCCCACCAGGTGGCTGTCAGGCCACACCTGAAGTCCACTTGTCTGCCAGGCACAGGTGTTGATCCCCACCACCCAATTTCTTGGGGAGCCACGAACTCAGACTGGAGCAAGGATTTGCTCTTTGCAGGAAAGGAGGAACCAGTCCCAGGCCTTACCCAGGTTTTTCGGGTGTTTCTCGTCTTGCCTCGCAGAAAAGAATTTTAGGAGTAGACAAGCAGTGAAGTAAAACAGATTTTATTTGGAGAGCTTTTTGAAAGTGTGGAGGAAGGGGGGGGAGGGGAGAGAGAGAGAGAGAGAGAGAGAGAGAGAGAGAGAGAGATGTGCTCAAGAGAGAATGTGCTCATGGCTTCTCCAAGAGCAGAGAGAGCCCCTACACACATCCCAGCATTAGTCAGGAAAGCATGAAAGTACACATCTCAAGAGGGGAGGTGTAGGCATCACATGTGTTTGGGCGACATGTGTGTTTGGGCACCCATGTGTTCTGCCACGAGGGCGCAAGCAGCACAGGGGCTCAGGCAGCATATGTGTCCACTTCCTTTGTTCAAGGAGGCTTTTATAGGGTTTCTCCAAATTCTCCCACGTGGGGCCTCCCCCCAGATAAGAGTCCATTGCTAGGGTTGTTGCCAAGTGGGTAGAATTGGGTGCGGCCTTGGAAACTTCTTTTCTTGACCTTTTGGTCCTGCTGGATCTTCTCTGTGCTGAATCACTAAAATTAATTGGATGAAGGGAGAGATCTGAGGGTTTTCAAGGAATTTCCTTCATGGGGAGGGGTCCAATCTCCTCAGGGTCTGCTGAAGGTCTTATCAGGTCTTGTTTTCCACAGGGTGGATCAGCCTTAGAATTTTCCTTCCCAGAAGTTTTGTTGACCTAAGTTTCATTGCCAGGGCCTTTCCCTGTCTACCCACCTACATCACCTGCAAGCACTGTTGGGTGTGGCTCCAAGACAAACCAAGAAAGATTTCCACTGACAGTAGAGAGATAAGGCTGTGACCTTGCATTGCTGCTGACCTGGTTGGATGTTCGGCAGTCCAAACGTTTCCCCCAGCCCACCAGGAGTAATCCCTGAGTACAGAGCTAGGAGTAAGCCCTGAGCACAGCTGGGTGGGAACCCCGTCCACCCCCACCACAAATAAAAAGCAAAGAATCCACACTTATGCTTATGTTTCTTTAGTACTAATAGCTAAGTTCTTCCTATTCACCAAGAAACCTGCTGCGGTTTTATTTTTGGCGCATCACACATAGCGGGGCTCCTGCTGTGTTCTGGTGTGGTTGTCTCTTCAGGCAGTCTCGGCAGATTATGTGGTGCTGGGGATTGAACCCAAGGCCCCCTGCATCAAAGCATGCCCCTGGTGCCTAGAGCTGCCTCTGTGGCCCCGCGGTATGCTTTGTTCACTGCACAGACCCACACACAACACTACATAGAAATACAGGGCACCAAAGGTTATTCTTGCCTTTTGCTCTTAGGAAATAGGATCTGGCAACATGAAGGCTGACAGGAAAAGCTAAAAATTACAGAACAAACCCAAATAGTACAAGCGTCTCTCAACTCCCACATGTCTTCTCCTGCTTCCCTCTCAACTCTGAATTCTGAAAAATATTTGTGTGACCTGCCAGCTCCGTGGAGAGATCCTTGGTCACCATGGTGACATTCTTTCTTCCCCAGAGCTTGGCCTCGTGTTTTCCTAAGTGGTTTAATCAATTTTCCCTTTCTATCATATTTTTCACCTTTCCGGTCTGAAGGTATCTAGGTCTGCTGGGGCAGGGCATGTGGAGGGGTCAGTTTGGAGCATTCAGCTTTCTGGTGGACGCTGTGGCCAGCTTGAGAGCAGATGGGGCTCCTTCTGGAGCAGAAATCCTGCTGTGTCTGTCATAGCCATGCTGCCACTGGCCAGACTGTTTCATTTGGGGCGCCGTCGAGGGGGGTGGACGAGACCCCCTCCCTGCCCCAAGGGACCCAGCCCTGACAGTCGAAAACCTCCAGTACTCAACCACCGCCATGCTTACAGCTGCTCTCCACACGCTTGGGCCTAGCCTTATCTAGATGTGAATGTATTTCTGGACTGTGTGGCCACATTTGCAGTCTCACAACTCATACCTCATACCACCCATACTCCAAGAATACTGCATCACATTTGATGGGGTTTAAAGTAGGAGGCAACCAATCTTGGAGGAAGCATTTTTTTTTTTTACAGATATATATCTGTAACCTGCTGGAGCCATAGCATAGCACAGGTAGGCATTTGCCTTGCATGCGGCCGACCCGAGTTTGATTCTTCCGCCCCACTTGGAGAGCCTGGCAAGCTACCAAGAGTATCCTGCCTGCACGGCAGAGCCTGGCAAGCTCCCTGTGGCGTATTCAATATGCCAAAAACAGCAACAACAAGTCTCACAATGGAGACGTTACTGGTGCCTGCTCTAGCAAATCGGTGAAGAATGGGAGGACAGTGCTACAATGCATATATATGTAATACATATACATATATATGTGTATATATATATATATATATATATATATGCACACAAGGATCAACCTTTTTTATTTTTGAGTCTTTGGCAATGCTCAGGGGTTACTCCTGGCTCTGCAATCAGGAACCACTTCTGGTGGTGCTTGGGAGGGGGCGGGGACCATATGGAATCCTGGGGATAGAACCTGGATTGGCCGCCTACAAGGCAAATGCCCACCTGCTGAACTATAGCTCCGCTCCCAGGGCTCAACCTTTAACAATATACTACCGATCTCTTATAGAAGGGCTTAATGACCCTGGGTGAAATACAACAATCTTCACATTGTTTCCTCTGAGTAAACTTTATTTATTTAATCGAATCACCATGGGAACAGTTAGAAAGCTTTCAGGTTTAAGTCTTGGTCATACAACGATCCAACACCCATCCCTTCACCAGTGCACATGTTCCAACACCAAGAACCCCAGTACACCCCATCCCACCTCTCCCTCTGCCTGTGTGGCAGATGATTTTCGCTTTACTCTCTTTTTACTTTGATTACATTCAATTTTTTCGACAGAAGACCCACTATTATTATTTGGAATTTCCCCCCCAACTATCAGACCTGCTAAAAAGGCATCATTAGATAATTTGTTTTCCATCGCTGATAATGAAGAGCATATGATGTCACGTGGCCTCGACAGTGGCCGCGCGATTTTGGATTTCTGGTATTTTAGTAATTAAGTTCAGAGGGATTTCTGCCAGAAGCCACCGGGTTCCCAGATTGGTTTGTGCGCCTCTGGGATCATGGCCATTTGGGAGCGGAGGAGGCCTTCGTGGTTGGCAACTTGGGGTCTGGTCTAGCCGGGGAACGGTTGGTTCCACCCCCCATCAGGAGAGGCCACGCCCTGTCACTGCAAGCCTGTACCTCTCTATCTCTAAGGAAACTTTTTGGGAACACTTTTAGCGGTTTTACATGACAAACAATACAAAATAAATTATTTTGGTTCTGTTTTGGGGCAGGGATTGGGGTTCAAGATGGAAACATCTGAAATGTGGTGGTGCGAAGGTGTAAAGGAGGTGGGGATTGGTGTTCGAATATTGAATATAATCAAATATTGTGAACTACTTTATAAAATAAAAAATTAAAAAGAAAAGAAAAATCCTGCTTGGTCACTCTGAAAAGAGCCACATTCTGCCTCAGGAATGCCCATCTCTCCTGACCCGAATAAGCCGCTTATATCTAGCGCTTTTTTTTTTTTTAATTTTACTTTTTTTTTTACACCTAGAGCTCCTGACACACAGGCTTTGAAAGCAAGGCCAGAGGGAGAGTCCACAGGGTAAGGCACGTTTGCCTGGCTTGTGGCCACCCAGTACTTCTTATGCACCCCCAAGTCTGCCAAGAATGATCCCTGGGCAGAGCCGGGAGTAAGCTTGCCACCTCTGGTTGTGTCCCAATGCACCTCTGGTCAAAAAAAAGTAACCCAAAAACAGACCCACGGGCACCCTGGGAGCAACAACTGGTCTGGGAGTAGAGGCCCAGGTACTGCGGAGGTGGATGCACTCCCCTGGCCTCTCCCTAAAATCCCAACCAAAAAAGTGGGTGTGGGGAGAACGGTAGGGAGATAAAGTCATCGGTAGGGAGATAAAGTCATCGGGAGAGTGAAGGGGAAGGAGCCTTGCAGCTGCGAGGCCCCTGGGGCGGGATGGGAGGTCCCAGGGCCAACATGCCAATGCGTTTAGGAGCAAACACGCTTAGGGTAGAAAAGCAGATGTAGTGTTTTTTTTTTTTTTTTTTAATGTTTATTTCTCGGGGCTGGAGTGATAGCACAGCGGGTAGGGTGTTTGCCTTGCACGCGGTCGGCCCGGGTTCAATTCCCAGCATCCCATATGGTCCCCCGAGTATGCCAGGAGTAATTCCTGAGTGCATGAGCAAGGAGTAACCCCTGTGCTATCGCCGGGTGTGACCCCAAATGCAAAAAATAAATAAATAAAAAAAAATTTATTTCTCGTGGCCGCATCCGGAGGTGCCATGGGCTCACTCCCGGGCATCTGGGCATCTCACTCCTGGGCTACTAAACGGTCGTACAGGCCCGCCGTCCGCACCCCGGCTTGTCCCCCAGGTGCTCCGCTGTCGCCGGCATTTCTACCCGGTGACACGGACGAGCCGGCGCGACCTGCCGCTGGCCGCCGGTCTCCCCGCCCCCACGGGGGAGCGTTCCTCGGGGTCCTGGGCAGGCCGGGGGTCGGACCCGCTCGGGGCGCGGGACGTGCGAGCAGCGGCCGCGAGAGCCGCCCGGCCGGCCGTCGCCGCCGCCGTGCTTCTGCCGGACGCTCGGACTCGCCCCCGGCCCGGTCCACGCTTCAGCCTCGGGGCCGGGGGTCGGGGGCCGGCGGTCAGCGCCGCGGGGGAGCGCCCGGCTACAGCAGGGCCCGCGGGAGGAGCGACGGGGGCGGGGCCGCGGCGTGCCGCTGACCCGGAAGCACTCCCGCCAGCCCGGAAGCGGATCCCGGGGCGAGGCGCCGCCGGGGCGCCGGGTGGCGGCGGGCGGCGCGGGCGGCCCGATGGTGCGGGTGGCGGCGCGGCGGGAGGATGAGCTCGGCCCGGGAGCGCGCCGCCGAGCTGGCCCGCTTCTACACCGTCACCGACGCGCAGCGGCACCCGCGGGGCCACACGGTGTATAAGGTCACGGCCCGGGTGAGTGGCGGCGCGGGGCGCTGGCCGCGGTCCTGACCGGGGGTGCCGGGCGGGCGGGGTGCCGGGCCGGACCCGGGGCGAGGGACGGGCCGGCGAGGCTGCGCATGCGCTCGGCCGGCTCACGCGGGCTTGGCTTTCCTAGCTCGAGTTTTATTTCCTTTTTATGGAGGCATTTAGGGCACCCCGTGCGGGGCGCGGCTCCCCCGAAGCCCCTCCCCGCGGCCCGGTGCGGAGTCCGGGAGCAGCTGAGCTCCGGGTGAGAAGATGTGGACTCCGGCCGCACCCCGAGGTGCTGGAGCCAAGGACCCACCTGGGTCTGCCCCGGGTCACCGCGGGCTCAGTGCTCAGGGCCCGCTCCTGCCTCAGCTCAGGGCTGACTCCTGGCTCTTGTGCTCAGGGTCAATCCCGGCTCTGTGCTCAGGGCTGACTCCTGGCTCAGGACCCACTCCTGCCTCTGCTCAGGGCTGATTCCTGGCTGTGCTCAGGGCTCCCTCCCGGCCCTGTGCTCAGGGCTCACTCCTGCCTCTGCTCAGTGCTGACTCCTGGCTGCGCTCAGGGTTGATTCCTGGCTCTGTGCTCAGGCCTGACTCCCGGCTCTGTGCCCAGGGCTCGCTCCCGGATATGTGCTCAGGGATCGCTTCTGGCTCTGGGCTCAGGAATTACTCCTGGCTTTGTGCTTAGGGCTCACTCCCTGCTCTGCAGCCAGGGATCACTGCTGGTGGGACTCTGGGAGCCCTATGGGATGCCAGGGATTGAGCCCCGTAAACCACGTGCAAAGCAGGTACCCTATGGGCTGTACTGTCTCTCCGGCCCCTATTGAAATAGTTATTCTTTTTTAAGACAAAGGAGGAAAGCACCTTCCCTCAGGAGGCCGGGCCAGGTGAGTAATGCTCTGTTTCTCGTTTGTCGTCTACAGTTCCTGCGCCTGACTTGGCTGGCTTGAGCAGCCCCCTCAGTTGCTGCCTGTGGAGCAGCATAGAGTGTTGCGAGCTCCTGGGTGTATGGGGTCGCCTGGAGAACTCTTGCACCTTCTGGAACCACTCCAGACTCTGTCCGCAGCTCCCTGAGGCTAGGGTGGCTTGCATCAAGTGGTGACTGATAGGTTTTCTGATTTAACTAGTTGGGACCTCTGTTCTTTTTTTCTTCTTTCTCAGGCAGACCTAGTGGTACTTGGGGACTACCCCTGGCTCTGTGCTGGGGACATAATTGGGTAATTCTTGTGGAGGTTTCCTTTAATTCTTCCTGGAAGGAGGGACACATGTGAACGGACGCTCAGCCGTGTTCTTGGTGGTGTCCCCGTGCTCAGTTTACAGAATTCCTGCCTTGAGCATGGGCTTCTCAGCACCAGAAACTGAATGCTGGCTCTGCCCTGTGTTCCTCCAGCACGAAGAACAAAGGTGGGCCTGTATCCGTCCACCTTCCTGCTCTCTTTTCATGTACTTACGTTGAGGCTCAGACCCGTGGCTTCCACGGTGGGGAGCAGGTGCTGTGCCATTGAGGCAGAATCCTAGCCCCCGTGGGCTTTTGTTTGGAAAGGACTGTGTGCCCCGGGGGCTTATAATGTGTATGTGGAGACACAGTTTGTACTCAGCAGATCCTTGTGTGCGAAGTGTGCCGTTTGCTGTGTCTTGACAACACGGTAGTGTGGAAGCCACCACACAGTGGACACTGAGGGTCCCCCAGCTCCTTAAGAGGACGCCTCCTCCCAACCACCCCTGGGTGACTCTGATTGGAGATTAGCTTGTCTGGCCTGGAATTTTGTGTAAATGGAAGCATACAGCAGGCGCTTCGTTTTCTTTTAAAATTTTTTTTGAACTTGTTTGTCACTTTTTTTTTTCTTTTTGGGTCACACCCGGCGATGCACAGGGGTTTACTCCTGGCTCTGCACTCAGGAATTACCCCTGGCGGTGCTCAGGGGACCAAATGGGGTGCTGGGAATTGAACCTGGGTCGGCCGCATGCAAGGCAAATGCCCTACCCACGGTGCTATTGCTCCAGCCCTGTTTGTGGCTTTTTCTGAAGCTATTTTCTGCAGGTGGAGTGCTCAGGGGGCTAGTGAGGGAGAGTGATGCAGTGGGAGTGTCTTAGTCTCAAGTGAGCCGTTCTTCGACTCTTGTTTTTTTGCACTTGCTTTGTTTTTGACTCTTGGCTGTTTTGATGACCCTCTGGGGCAGTGGCTAGATACTTATTTGTATTTTTTTTTTTTTTAATTTTGGGGCATGCTCAGTGGTGCTCAGAACTTTCTCCTGGCTCTGCACTCAGGGATCATTACGGGCAGGGCTCTGGGCATCCTCTGGTGCCAAGGATCAAACTAGGTCAGTGCGTGAAAGGCAGGCACCCTCCCTGTTGCTCTCTCTCTTTTTCATACACGGTTTCAGTCCCTTCCTCAGCCTTCCCGCCACAGGTTTTGTTGCTCTGTTGAGGGACACCCTCATGCCTAGCTCCATGCGCTTGGATACCCCGCTGGGTGCATGCGGGGGTGTACGGTTGAGCTTTGCTTCTGCTACTCGTGCTCCCGGGAGTCGGCCTTCCTGGTGTGCTGCTTGCACAGCATTTTCCGGCTGAGATGCTTGCCGGGGCCCGACATTCAGTTGTGGGGCTCCCACTTTGGGGCTGCGCTGTGGTTGGAAGTTGCATGTGGCACCAGGGATCACAGCAAAGCCCTGGGTGAGCCTGTCCCTCCCAGGGGAGAGGCTCTAAGCCATGGAGCTTCCCCTCTTTTCCCTCTCGTTTGGTCTCACCTGGGGATACTCAGGGATAACCCCTGGTGGTGCTCAGGGACCCGTGCAGTGCTGGGGATTGAACTGAGTTGAACTGAGGTTTGTTGCATGCGGAGCAAGTGCCTTAACTCTTTCTACGATCTTTTTTTTTTTTTTTTAGTTCTCAGAGATTACTTTCAAATAGAACTGAACACGAATCGCAGTGATTTGCCTGGTACTCAAGGGGCAGGAAGCAGCTTCCTGCTACCACTGACTTGGCTCTGATGGCAGGGGTTCTGGGTGGCCAAGCAACTGGGACCGCAGGGCCACAGCGCTCGGGCCGCGATGGATGTCTCGCATGGGGTTCTTCGTGCTATCTTTCAACTCTGTTTTTCATCCATATCGTTAAAGCCAAAAGCTGTTTACAGTGTTTTAAAAAGTATGTTTAAAAAATGTAAATCGTGTGTTTCACCTTGCTTATTCGTAAATTAAATGCTCAGATGGCACATCTGATGTTGAACCACACCCTTATCAACATTAAGGACTTTGATTTTCCTTGAGCTTGACTAGAAGTTTGTTTCATGATAGAGTGGAAGTGTTGTCACTCTGAAATCTGCAGTGCAAAGACAGCTCAGCAGACGTTGCGCTGGAACTGACTGGCAGAGCCTTGGTCTCTGGGGGCTTGAGGCTTAGTAATGTGGGCGACATTGAGTCTCCATTGTCAGCTCTGCTCTCCAGACCCTCTTCGCTTAAGGAAGCTTCTTCCTTCCAGAGAACTGAGAACTCTCCAGGGGCTGGAGGGGCAGTTTGTGCAGGTGCAGCTCCTGGCGGGGCTCGGGAACTTGTGGATGCTGGGGGTTGAACCAGGGTCGGCTGCATACTGGACTAGTGCATGCCTGTTGTTCGTCTCTGGCCCACGTTCTGCAGCTTTATACATATGTGTCTTTTGTGTGGAAGCCACTGGGGCCACACCTGATGGTGCTGGGAGTTGAACCTGGTGCCTGTTATGTGCAGGCCTGTGCTCTAGCCTACTGGCATTCATTGGCAACTGCAAGAAAAACTGAGTTTAGGGGCCGGGCCTATAGTACAGTGGGTTGGGCATTTGCCTTGCATGCAGCTGATCTGGGTTCAATCCAAGGCATCGCATATGATCCCCCTAGCACCTCCAGGAGTAATTACTGAGTGCAGATCCAAGTAACCCCTGAGCATCTCCAGATGTGACCCAAAAAGCCAAAAAAAAAAAATTGCATTTGTACACTTGGGCCGGAGCGATAGCACAGTGGGTAGGGCATTTGTCTTGCACACGGCCGGGTCGGCTGACTCGAGTTCAATTCCTCTGCCCCTCTCGGAGAGCCCGGTAAGCTACCGAGAGTATCTTGCCCACCCAGGCAAAGCCTGGCAAGCTCCCCGTGACATATTCGATATGCCAAACACAGTAACAAGTTTCACAGTGGAGACGTTATTGGGCCCACTCGAGCAAATCGATGAACAATAGGAGCACCGTGACACTTGGCTCAGTGTAGTTGCCCTCCCTTTTTCTTTTTTTTTTTTTTTTAATATATTTTTACCACACACAACGATGCTCAGGGGCTTACTCCTGGTTCTGCACTCAGGAATCACTCCTGGTGGTGCTTGGAGGGCCCTATGGGATGCTGAGGATCGAACTTGAGTTGTTCTTGTGCAAGACAAGCGCTCTTCCTGCCGTCCTTTGGTTCTGGCCCTGCCTCTGTGGGTTGTTTTTGGACCGTACCCCTTGGTTCTGGGTGCTGGTCTTGGTTAGTCACTGCCTTTGGAGCTGGGGGTACTGTGTGGCACAGTGTGGAACGTGGGGTTCTAGTGTTCAGGCTTGTGCACCAGCCTGTGAGCACCCTCCTGGCCCTGCAGTGGCTTTTCATGCCTCTGGGAAGGGGGTGGAAACAAGTGTGTTGGGGCCCCCGCCAGTGTTCTCTCGTGCTGTGCTCTGGGCTCGGGGCGGCGCTCTGGTGTTGAGTGTTTGGGAAGTGAAGCAGCTGCTGGTACAGGGCTGGTTTCCCTTTGGGCGCGCGACTCGTCACATCGGTGCTGCAGGGAACATGCAGACAAGCAGGTCTGGATCTCAGTAATGATTCCGTATTTCTATGGTTTGTTTTAGGTTGTTTCACGAAGAAACCCAGAGGATGTCCAGGAGGTAATGTGTTTATCCACGAGAAATTAATTTTTATCTGTTTGACAAACATTGAATTGCTTGTGTTTTTGAGGAAATTGATGCATCTGTCAGTTTCTGTATTATGTCTGTGTGGTAATTTACTATTATCATTTTCTTCATTTTGGGACCACACTTAGCAGTGGGCAGGGCTTACTCCTGGCTCTGCTCTCAGGGGTCACTCTTGGGGAGGGGAGTTTCGGGGATCCTGTGAGCCAGGGTTGGCTGCATGTGAGGCAAGTGCCTTAACCCCGTATTAGTTCTTTTTTTTTGGGGGGGCTTTTTGGGTCACACCCAGTGTTACACAGGGGTTATTCCTGGTTCATGCACTCAGGAATTACTCCTGGCGGTGCTCGGGGGACCATATGGGATGCTGGGAATCGAACTGGAGTCGGCTACATGCAAGGCAAATGCCCTGCCCGCTGTGCTGCTGCTCCAGCCCCCTGTATTAGCTCTTAGTTCCTTATTTTTAAAGATAATAATAAATTAAGTGTGGCTATCTGCTACTATTTCTTTGGTTTGCTTTTATTTTTTGGGCTGGTGCTTAGGACTTAGTCCTGGCACTGTGCTTGGTTCTGGCAAGGCTCAGGGGACCACATGGTGTGCTAGGCCGAGGATCAAGTCTGAGTGGGCTGTGTGCAAGGCCATCACCTTCTCTGCTGCCCACTGTCCCATCTCTCTGACCTCATGCTTTCATAGTGAGTTGACATTCTGCATCTCGGAAGGCTGCTTCCCCTACCCTGCACAGTGGATGTCGTGTGCTCTGGGGCCCAGACAGTTTGGGGTCCATCCTGAGTCTCCTGAATGCAGAGCGAGTTTTGAGCTCTCTCCAGCCTGACCCCAAAAAAGGGTGTTCTGGATTCTGTAGTTGGTATCTAATGTGCATCCTCTCCTCTAAGGTGAGCCAACTCCTTAGGGTCTTCCTGAAGAGATCCTGGCTGCTCTGGGCTCCTTCCAACCCTTCAGGGATCCTGCCCGAGGACATTGCTGTTTTTTTCTTTTTTTCTTTTTGGGTCACACCTGGCAATGCTCAGGAGTCACTCCTGGCTCTGCACTCAGGAAATACTCCTGGCGGGTGCTTGGGGGACCATACGGGATGCTGGGGATCTAACCTGGGCCAGCCGTGTGCAAGGCAAACGCCCTACCCGCTGTGCTATTGCTCCAGCCCTGGACATTGCTGTTTTGAATGATTTTTGAAAAAAAAATTTTTGTGTGTGTTATTACTTGCTTATCTTCACCAAATATAGAAGGACATAAATTGTGTTTCAAATTTTCTTCATTAAAGCTGAAGCAGATATAAATGAGTTTGTATGTGTGGGATGGTGGTTTTTTGTGTGTTGTTGGGTCAGCCCCGGTGCTTGGGGCTGACTCCTAGCACTGTATTCAGGGATCACTCTTGGTGGGGCTTGGGGTGCTTGGGCTGTGGTGTGCTGGGGATTGAACCCAGGCCAGCCACATGCAAGGCAAGTGTCCTACCTGCTCCGGCCCCCAGTAGTGTTGGTTTTATTCTGTTGGTTTTTGTTCTGTTGAATTTCAGCCCCCAGCCTCTCTGCTTCTTACTGGCAAAACTGCTTCATTCCACCACCAAGTTGGATGACTTGGTCTGGTTGGCTACAGTGTGTGACATCAGACTTTGACCCGACTTCAAAGTGATAGTACATTTTGTTGTTAAACAGAGTTCAACAATAGACACATTTTAAAGACCTTATACTAGGTTTTAAGGATTTTAAACTGTCTTACTCCCCAGAGTGGGGGCCCCTTACTAGCAAGGAAGATTATATAGTATTATTACTTTGGAAGAATGAGATCTGTGCATATATTTTTTGTACATGTGGCAGTAAAAGCCCTTTTCATTATTTTTTTTCCCCTTTTCATTATTTATTAAAGTACTCTTTGCTTCAGTCCACCAATCAGAATGCGAATTCTTTAGCATCCTGATTTCTTGGGATATGGAGCTTCAGAGAGCTGACAGCTTGTTTTAGTCTGAGGGCTTGTGTTTCCTTGGGTACATGTCTGGTGGCTATGCTGTACTCTAGCCGATGTTCCGCTTTTCCAGGAAGATCCCTGAGCCCACCTGTCTGAGAACATACCCTCTACCATTTCCTTGACCCTCTTTTGGGGAAAACTCTTTCGTAGTAAGAGTCGCTGGTGAAGCAGTTGTCAGGGAGCTCCTGTAAGTGTCTCTTGGTTGATACTTGCATGGTTCCCCAGCTTCTGTGGCTCCATCTTGAAAAGCACTCATGTCTAGCTGACTTCCTTAACGTGCACATGAACTTGGAAATGACAGCAGCCTTTTGTTCTTAGCGTCTCACGCATTTCATACTAAGGTAGAAATGCTCACGTAGGAGAGGAATCCATCACCTCCAGTTCTTCTTTTCTTATCCTTCCTGAATTCCCGGAGTGGATGATTCAGAATTAAGGAGGAGCTGATAATCTTACGGACAGAAACTGTTCTTCTGATCAGGATTGGGCTGATTGTGCTGCCTTTGTAAAACTGGGGGACATTTTGCTGTTTTTGTTTTTTTTTTTATATATATACATTGATAGAAACTTTGGCACTTACTGCCAGAGATCATTGTATTCTTCCTCAGTATTCATTACTGACACAGAAAATCATGTGCAAATATCCAGGTTACCTTTTTTTTTTCCTTTGTTTTTTTGGACCATGCTTGGTGGTGCGGCAGTGCTCAGGGGTTACTCCTGGTTCTGCACTCAGAAATTACTCCTGGCAACCTCGGGACCATATGGGGTGTTGGAGATTGAACTCAGGTTGGCCGTGTGCAAGGCAAATGCCCTACCTGCTATACTATCTCTTCAGCCCCTCCAGGTTAACTTAAAAAAAAAAAATCACCTCCCCCCCTTGGATTTTTCATTTGTTAAGAGCACTTGTATTACTTGAAAGGATTTGGAGAGAGGTTAACTGGTCCCTGGATCCATGAATCATCACTTGGGCTTGAGGACTCCAGACGGTAAAGAGGGAGGGGCACAGTGCCCCCACCCCCGTCACCTTTTTACAGGGTACTTTGTTGCTGTCTGGGTCAGCACTATGGGCGTGGCCCCAAACACTTAACATGGAAAATACTTGAGGGAGTATTTTTTGGGGAGGAGAGGGTTTGGGTCACATTGGGTGGTGCTCGGGGCTTACTCCTGGTTCTGTGCTCAGGGATCACTCCTGGGATAGCTGGTGCTGGCTGTGTGCAGAGCAAGTGCTTTAACCTCGGTACTATGCCTCTGGTGCTCAGAAAGTTCTTTTTTTTTTTGGTTGTTGAGTCACTCCTGGCTTGCTCAAGGACCATATAAGGGAGGACCTCAGGCATGAAGAGTGTCTGAACCTCCGTACTGTCTCTCTGACTTGACATGGCACTGGGTAATGGTTTGGGCCTGGAGAATGAATGAGCCCATGTCGTAGCGTTTGATTCCTGGTCCATGTGGTCCCCCACGCATTGAGATGTGGTTCACCCCTTAGCCCTGCTGGTGTGGTCCCCAAACAAACAACAGCGGAGCAACAACACACGGAACTCGTGTGAGCAGCATGACTACAGGAAGGACTCTCAGAGCGCCCAGGGTTCTGCTGGGCCTGCCTGTCCTGTGGGCAAGGGGAGTTGCGGGAAGGGGGACAGTGCCTCCAGTGGCAAGTGACGGAACTACAAATCGTTTCCTCTTGTGCAGATTGAATTGGGGGGACATATCTGATATGTTTTCAACCTTTATAAAGTGCTTTTTCTTTTGATTCAATCTGAATAAGGTTAATTCAGATTAAGAAATTAATGTACTTTTACATGTAAGATGGGCTGGAGTGATAGCACAGCGGGTAGGGCGTTTGCCTTACATGTGACTGGCCTGGCCAACCCGGGTTCTCCCTCTTGGAGAGCCCGGCCAGCTACTGAGAGTGTCTCGCCCACACAGCAAAGCCTGGCAAGCTACCCGTGACATATTCGATATGCCAAACACAGTCACAATTGTCACAATGGAGAAGTTACTGGGCCCGCTCGAGCAAATCGATGAACAATGGGAGGACAGTGACAGTGCAGTGACTTGTAAGATGTTCCTTTTACAGTATTGATTATTGTTATTTAAAAAAAAAACCTAAATGGATTCAGTTTCCCTCCAGAAATGATTATTTTCACTTTAAGTTCAGGTTTATGAAAGTTCATGACATATACTTTTATAAATATAAAAATTCATAGCATTAATTTCTATGCAGCCATTTCTTCAGAATTATTGTTTGTTTAACCTTTTAGGCAAGTGCCAACTGTATCACTTGAGTTTAAAAGTTGTCTAGGAAGTGGAGTGATAGTATAATAGGTAGGGCACTTGCTTTGCATGCAACTGACCCCGATTTAATCCCTGGTACCTGATACGGTCCCTGAGCATGGCCAGGAATGATCCTAGATCTCAGCGTCAAAATTGAGCCCTGAGCTCTACTGGGTTGGGCCCCCCAGCCAAAAAAAAAAGTTTGTTAAATTATTTTATTTATGAAAATGAAGTTTCTGAGAGAAAACATTTGGACATCTGAATGATATCTGAAAACCACTATCATTCCTACATTCTTTATTTTTTTTTGTTTTGGGGCCACACCCAGTGGTCCTCAAAGATTACTCCTGGCTCTGCTCAGGAATTACTCCTGGCATGCTCGGGGTTCCATATGGGGTGCTGGCGATGGAACCTGGGTTGACTATGTTGCAAGGCAAACTCCTTCCCTGCTGTACTATTGCTGCAGCCCCATTCCTCTATAGTTTGATGTGATTGTCTTTTGAGGAGGTTAAATAACATTATACATAGTTTAGACCGTCTTTGGACAAGGTCAAATATTTTTCCAGTATGATGAAAACATTCCTTACCTAAAATGAAATGAAAAGATCACAGCAGAAGAGTTGGTGGAAGAATTGCTGCTTTATACACACACTCGTGCATATAGATACACACACATTCATTCACGTGTACATATACTCATACACTAACGCACACATACACTAACACTTGCACATAGTAACACATTAACGCATGTTTCAGGCAGCATATATTGGTCACAACTATAATTGTTCGCCTTTGCATGGCATTTTTTCCCCCCATGCAGGTAGGGATTGAACCTGGGGCCTCACATGTGCGAGGCACGTGCTCCACCTCCGAGCCATGTCTCTTTGCATGATAATTTTGTACCTTAAGGAATAAGTATTTGTTGTTCACATAGTCAAACTGAGTCAATTTAATGATAAAATCAAATTTTCTTGTTCTTAGATAATTGTATGGAAGAGATACAGTGACTTTAAGAAACTACACAAAGAGTTGTGGCAAATTCATAAAAACTTGTTTCGACATTCAGAATTATTCCCTCCTTTCGCTAAAGGAAAAGTATTTGGTAAGTAATCATTTTGAATTTGTGACTTTAAAGTGGAGATTGGCTAATTCTATTGGTCCTTTATTCATTAGGTCTTTGCATAAGCACTGGGTGTTTCTTTCTGTTCCTGCAAGGTTTCATTAACCATGAATGTATGGAGGTTAGTGCAGGGAACGGCAATAGAACAGTTTCAGCTGGGCAAGTGAAAGATCCCAAGAAGCATAAGAAAAGGTGGCGATGGGCTCATCTTACAGTTCTGGAATCTTTTGAGGTTCAGGGAAATACACACTTTTTCCCTGATGTCTTTCTCATCACACAATGGCTGTGACTAGAGGCCCTAGTCCCAATATGGGGATGCGTTCCACTGTTAATTCCTGGCACTTTTGAGACCAGGAAGAAGATATGTGATTGGGATTAGTTGTGAACTGGATTTTCAAGAGGTAGGAAATATGAAAAAAATCACAGAGGAAAATAATGATGACAACTTCCCACCCAAAAAAAAAAAAACAGAGAGAAAAGAGAAAAAGAAAAGAAAAAGAAAGAAAACTGAGGAAGAAACAGATTAATATTTTGGGTGACCTGTCATTTTTTTTTGACAGTATGGTTTATGGATGTACACTGTAGCACTGTCCTCCCGTTGTTCATTGATTTGCTTGAGCGGGCGCCAGTAACATCTCCATTGTGAGACTTGTTAGTGTTTTTTTTTTTGGCATATTGAATACACCACGGGGAGCTTGCCAGGCTCTGCCGTGCAGGCGGGTTACTCTCCGTAGCTTGCGGGCTCTCTGAGAGGGACGGAGGAATCGAGCCCGGTTGGCCGCGTTCAAGGCAACTGCCATATGCGCTGTGCTCTCCTCTAGCCCACGGATGTACACGTTAATTAAAAAATGTTTTACTATGTATGCTGTTGTTTTTGTTGCCTTAAAAAAACTTTAGATTTATTGGGAGTGCTTCCTATGTGAGTAGTCGTCTTACCTGTGGTTGTTGATGCAGCGTGTCTGGATTTATCGTTATTCGCTCAGTGATCAGTCTTTAGATGTGCCTTTGCTGTTTCTGTTTGCTGCCTGGTCGACCTTTCTAAGGTTGCTCACCCTTTTTGAGCATCTTCTTTATGTCATTGAAATGGACATAAGTGGGGCTAGGAATGCAGCTTAACTAATGCAGTTTAACTCACCCTTTGATAGGGTGAGATCCAACATCTGCTCTTTGGCATTGTAAACAGAGAGGGGAGGCAGTTGATCACGGATTTGTTTGTTTTGACCACACCTGCTGGTGAGTGCTCAGTGCTGACTCTGGCTCGGTGCTCAGGGATCACTCTTGGTGGGAGGAGCATATGGGGTGCCGGGGATTGAACTCAGGTTGGTTGCGTGCAAGGCAAGTGCCCTGCCCATTGTTGTAGCTCTGTGGCACAATGCCTTGTGTGTTAACTGTCATTTGGCAATGTGTAACACACACAATGAGATGGATTATTTCTGTTGCTTGATTGGCATTATTTTCTGATAGTAGGTTTGGTGTTTCTTAGGTTTAAAATTCCCTTTTTACCTGTATTATCAGCCCAGCTCTTGTGGCAGTTATTCATTGTTGGTCTCTGCAGAAGGGGCCATTAGAGGACTCAGTGGCCATTTGCCTCTTGAATGCCCCATTTTCTCCAAGGGGCTATTGTTTCATGTGTCAGGAGTTGAGTGTTGAAGAGGGATAAATGAAGGAAGAACTGAATTGTATAACAGGAAAAAAGAAATGGAGAAAACAGTAAAAATAAGAAGTAAAAAAAAATTTTTTTTTCTTTTTGGGTCACATCTACAGTGCACAATACTCCTGGCCCTGCCCTCAGGAATTACTCCTGGCGGTGCTCAGGGGACCATATGGGATGCTGGGAATCTAACCCGGGTTGGCTGATGTAAGGCAGATACCCTACCCGCTCCAGCCCCAGGGGAAGTAAAATTTTTTTGTTTTTAAAAGACAGAGTCATTTTTATTCATTTTTGCTAAGAGGACACCTCAAAACCAAAACAAAACATTAGAAGAAAGAAAAGGAAAAAGGAAGTCAAAACAGGGGAAACGTAAAAAGGATAAATAGAAGAGAAAAAGAAAGCATTTCCTTCTTCTGTTAGGTGTGAAATTTCCTCACCTTCAATACGAAGACATGTTAGCATTAAAGTACAAAATTTGGTTTTTGAAAAATTAGGCAGTAGTATCACTGAAAGTTCTCTTGCAGAAATTCCAGAGTGTGGGCTGGAGAGAGGGGTTCAGTGCTGAATGCAGCTTTGTGTGCAGGAGGGCTGGGGCGAACCCTAGCACTGCATAGTTCCCTGAGCTCTACCAGAAGCTACCCCAGAGCCCTGCAGGGTGTAACCCCCAAACGAAACAAGACAAACCAAACCACTAGTTTGATTAATCTGTGCCAGGAAATAGAGGCATCTCCTGAAGAGCAGACAGTGGCAGAAGTCCGTGGAAGCAGTTTTAAACACACCTTTTTCCAGCAACTGATTTTTTGGAATCAGTCTTTCTACATGCCTACTTTCTCTAACAGGAAATGTTTATCAAAGGTAATTAGATAGCTTGGTATCTGACATCTTCATTATGCTCTTAAAAATTCCTGGGCATGGGAGCACTGCAGGTAGGGCGTTTGCCTTGCACGTGGCTGCCTCGGGTTTGATTCCCAGCACCTCCAGGAGTGATTCCTGAGTGCAGAGCCAGGAGTAATCCCTGTGCATGGTCGGTGCAACCTAAAAAGCAAAAAAAAAAAAAAAAAAAAAAATCCTGGGCATGGACCCAGGGCGGCGGCTGAGTGTTCTATGCTCTGCCACAAATGTGGGGCTGCCAGCTTGGTCCCAAGCCCCACCTACATCGAGGAGGGCTGCCTTCTTGGATGTTCACTGTGTGTGTCTGGCTTAGTGTGGGGAGATGGAGAACCTGGCTTTTGGTGGTGGGTTTGGACCACTCTGTCAGTGCCCAGGCTACTCCTCATGCAGTGCTGAGGCCGGGGGGGGGGGGGGGGGGGTCACTCCCGGCAGTGTTCAGAGGCATGTGCTGGCAGCCTTAGCGCTCCCCAAGAGCCTGACTCCCCCTGATGCCTTGTAAGGTGCGTGGGGTCCAGGCCACTGCTGTCTGCTGGCGAGTTCTCTCCAGATCTGGTACCTGAGAGCCTCATTCTTCATCTTGGTGAACGGGGGAGCACTTGCTCTCCTTTCCATGAGTGATTGGTCTGTCTGTGGTGCTAGGGCTTGGTGGGGAACCCTTTATGCCGTCCTGTGGCTTCCCGAGGGAGTTGGGGAGCATCTGTCCTTGGCAGTTCCTATGTCTGAGAATCTCAGTAGGAGATCCCTGGGAGTCTGCCGAGTGGACTTGGACGTGGCTGACTTGGAGGGTCGATGGAGGCCAGCCCTTGACCCATTGCTCCTGGAGCTGGCTGACTGTGGACGAGGGTGACCTGCTTCCGTTCTGTTCCTGAGCCTTTTTGGAGTGTCTCATTAGCTGCCCATCACCCGTGGCTCCTGTGCCCATCTGCTAACTCCGCTTACTCTGTTTTCTTAGGCAAAAGAAGAAATGAGGTGCACTGGGCTTTCAGTTAAATCTGTCTGGCTAGTGAATTTTCTCTAAAGTTTAGTCACTTGGGGCTGGAGTGATAGCACAGTGGGTACGGCGTTTGCCTTGCACGTGGCCAACCCAGGTTTGATTCCCAGCATCCCATATGGTCCCCTCAGTACCACCAGGAGTAATTCTGAGTGCAAAGCCAGTAGTAACCCGTGAACATCGCCAGGTGTGACCCAAAAAGCAAAAAAAAAAAAAAAAGTTTACTCACTTAAATTGTTTTCAGGCTAGGAAATAGCTGTGTAGGTTGGGGTCCTTGGGAGTTTGTGAATGAAAGGACAGGAGAAATGAGACTCTGTCCTGCCTCTGGGGGAGATTCTGGGGCTGCAGTGTCCCTTAGGTTCTGCGTTCTGTCCCCAGGTCCCTCCCTTGAAAGGATGTGGCCACAGATGTGTGGACGTTGGGAACCCATTTAGTTAGCTAAGGGACTTCCCTCCAGCCTTCTCACTAGGGAAACATGCTGTCCTCCAGGATGCAGTGTCCTGCCACGGGGCATTTTGTTGTGGAACTGTTCTGACCTGAGTCAGTGCCCTTGTCTTTGTGTATTCTGTGTGCCCTGCAGTGGTGGTGCTTGGAGATTCAGAGAGCAGGCGATGGCTGATTGAGTCCTCGCTCCTGGACAGTGCTCGGGTCCACTGGACTGTGGAATTGGACCCAGGCCTGACTCTGCAGCCACGTCTTTCAGTCTGCAGTCGGCCTTTGGCCGTGGACAGAGGACCTGGAAGCCTCGTTTAAATCCTGCCTGGGTTGATGCATCCGTGATCTCTGTGCCTGTTTTCTGTTGCTGCTGCTTGTTTGATTCGGTGCCTTTCACACCCTGTTGCAGTTGCTCTGTGGCATGCAGTGACAGAGTCATGGGATGATGGAGCTGGAAAGCGTCTCCTCGGCATTCCAGGCCTGTTACTGAAGCCAGTTCAGTGGAAACTGTCTTTGGGTCATCCCAGAGGAGCGGCGCTCACCCCGCGGTGGGCCTTTCTCGGGCGGCTCTTTTCAGGGGTGTTGGTGGATGCACTTAGCAGTTTCTTATTTCAGCCTGGGGTGTTTGACCCACCATTACACAGATGTTCTTGTGCTTTCCTCTCTGCAGCTTTTTTTTTTTCTTTTACCGAATATCTTTTTTTTTCCCCTTTATTTATTTATTTATTTTTTTTTACAGTTGTAGATTTACAATTTCTTGTACTTGGGTTTCGATTATACAATGATCAGATACCCATCCCTCCACCAGTGCCCATTTTCCACCACCATGGATAATATCCCCTCCACCCCCATCCCACCATCCCCCCCTGTCTCTGTGGCAGGTCAATCCCCTGTGTTCTCTCCTTTTGGGTGTTGTGGTCTGCAAAAGAGGCATTGAGTGGCAAACATGTTCAGTCCATAGTCTACTTTCGACATGCATCTCCCCTCCTGGGAGGATCCTCCAAACATCCTTTATTTGGTGCTCCCTTCTCTATCTGAACTGCCCTTTCCTCTAGGATACCCGGCTGGCCTCTAAGTTATGGAGTAATCCTCCTGGTGCTGATCTCAGCTATTCTTGGGTATTAATCTCATACTTTGTTACTTTATGTCCCCCAGATGAAAGCAATCTTTCTATGTCTATCCCTCTCTTTCTGACTCATTTCGCTTAGCATGATACTTTCCATATTGTACCACTTGTATGTAAATTTCATGACTTCATCTTTTCTAACAGCTACATAGTACTCCATTGTGTAGATGTACCAAAGTTTCTTTAACCAGTCATCTGTTCTTGGGCATTCAGGTTTCTTCCAGTTTCTGGCTATTGTAAAGAGTGCTCTGTAGCTTTTTTATGAGTCAAAAAAGAGTAAAGGGAACATCATGTGAGTAATTGCAGTGTTAAATCACGATAGAAAACCGTTGGAGCTTTGCAAATCTTACCTCAACTTGAGTTTCGAACCCTTACTCTCTCTCAGCAACTTCTCTGTGCAGGCAGCCGTGCTAGGGCCGAGCTGGTGTGTCTTTGCCCACCCTCGGACACAGGCCGTCTGTCTTCACAGAAGCTGATTTCCTCGGGGCAGGGTGGGGCTGGGGTGCCCAGGCTGGAGTTGACCTCAGAGTGAGCATGACAGCCCAGCCCTGCTGCCGCACAGACTAGTTTGGCTCCCCTGAGGTCTGTCTTTGCCTTCCTTCCAGGCCGGTTTGATGCGACGGTCATCGAGGAGAGAAGACAGTGTGCTGAGGATCTCCTGCAGTTCTCGGCCAACATCCCCGCGCTCTATAACAGTCGGCAGCTGACAGAGTTCTTCAAGGTGCGCCAGCCTCTTGGAATAGTTTGTGTTTCAGTCCAGTTGGAAGGAAAGCCAGATCCAGACATTGAGAACAAGATGATTTCCTTCTCGCTGACCTCAGCAGGCCAGAAAATCCCTGTGTGGCCATTGGCTGGGGTGACATTAGGAGACACACAGTAGAAGTAGCTTCCATTGTCCACTCCTCAGCTCCCACAGGTAGAGGACGTGGGCAGACCCCACCAGGAGGGACCCCCAGGTGCTGGCTCCCTGTCAGCCGGGCCCCATTCCCGGCTGGGGGGGTCTAGTAGGCCTTCCACAGTGCCTCTCGAACTTAGTCCAGAGATTCGGAACCCATGCCACCATTCCCCAGCAGGGCCCGGCACCATGTGATGTTGTGCCATCAGCCACCCATTGCTGCTGCTTCCTGCAGACCCCAGCCTTCAGGTTTTCTTTCTTATGCCCGCAGACGGTAACACTCCAGGGCCGTGTCAGGCGTGTGACTGCAGGCCCTGCAAAGTGTCTTTACTGTTCTGTCTGTGCCTCCAGGCCTCTGGGGCTTGCAGTGCTCATCTGTCCTGGCTTCCGGGGGCTTCTTTGCTTGCAGAGTCTGGTTTGCTCCCTGCTTGGCTGCTTGGGCTTTGCTCACGTCCCCCCACTGCTCTTTGCTGTGCCGTGTGCAGCTCACGCTCCATTTCCGTTTGGTTTGGGGCCACACCCAGTCTGCCCAGGGATCACATGCCTGGTGGTGCTCTGGGGATCGTTTCGGTGCCAGAGACCAAGCCCATGTTGGCTGCGTGCAGGTACTGGACCTGCTGGACGATCTCTGTGTCCCCCGAGAATATGTCCTTTCTTTCTGGGATGGGGGTGGCTACTCCCAGCAGTGCTCAGGGCTTACTCCTGACTTGTGCTTGGGGTTTATACCTGGAGAGGCGCATGGGAGCATTTGTGGTGCTGGGGATTGAACCCTGGTCAGCTGCACATGAGGTAAGTGCCTTAATTGCTGTCTTACCTCTCTGGCTCCAAGAATGTGTCATTTTAATAGAAATATCTTAAATTTATTTAACATTACCTACGTTGCTGGAGTGATAGCACAGCCGGTAGGGCATTTGCCTTGCGCATAGTTGACCCGGGCTGACCCGGGTTCGATTCCATCGCCCCTCTCAGAGAGCTTGGCAAGTTACCGAGAGTGTCTCGTCCGCACGGCAAAGCCTGGCAAGCTCCCCATGATGTATTCGATATGCCAAACACAGTAACAACGTCTCATGATGGAGACGTTACTGGTGCCCACTCGAGCAGATTGATGAACAAAGGGAGGACCGACCTACGTTGCATTCAAGTGGTTCTCAAACTCGAAGTACTTTTCCTTTATGAGAGGCACACCTGGCAGCGCTCAGTGCTTCTTGGTGGTGCTTGGCTCTATGACTGGAACTCAGGACTCCTGTGTGCAGTGCTTGTGCTGCAGCCCTGGAGTGTCTCCAGCCTCTCCAGAACTTCTGAGGTGACCTGAGAGGCTGACATGAGCTGCTTTTTGATTTAGTGAATGCACTCTCTCCCTGCTGGGCCCATCACCGGTCCCTAATTAGCATGGCTGGTCACCCTGAAACCCAAGGGCGTGCTTGGCCTGGTGTGTTTTCCCTTTTCTGCCTTTTTCTAAATGAGTGCTTTGTAGACTCAAAGTAATACATAAAAAGCCACATCTCACTACAGGCACGGTATGATTCCTATTGAACATTTATTATTATTTTTTTAACAATGGACTGTTTAAAGCAGTTTAGGTTGACTGAAAAATGGTTCAGAGTCTAATTTTCCTGGGAGCCTCCGCCCTGCACGGGTACCTCCCCTGCTCTGAACACCTTGCCTTGGGGTGGGCATGTGTTACATGGGATGATCCCCTGTTGGTTCTAGAAAAGCGGTCATTTCTGGGTTTGTGGAAGGATCGTCTGTTTCCTGGCTCTTGTGCATGCAGACCTTTTTTTTTTTTCTTCCTTTTTTTGTACCGGCGATGCACAGGGGTTACTCCTGGCTCATGCAGTCAGGAATTACTCCTGGCGGTGCTCGGGCCATATGGGATGCTGGGAATTGAACCTGGGTCGACCGCGTGGAAGGCAAATGCCCACCCGCTGTGCTATCTCTCCAGCCCCCAAGTCCTTGTTTTCTCATGTAATGTGGTCACTGCGCTCTTCTCTAGGGCGGGGTGATTCATGATGGCTCTGAGTTGATCGGTCCCTCGGATGCTTGCCTGGACTCCCTGACTGACAGTTTTGCTGAGTGCAGCACGGAAGGTAGGAGGTTTCCCGTTTCCTTTGAATGATTGTGATGTAGAAAGAAGAATGTCAGTCACATGTTCATTGCAGAAAGTTGATGAATATAGGGGTTTGGTAGTAGTTTTTTTTCTTTTCACATTCTAACATATGTGAAATTTAACATGTGAAATTTGACATAATGTGAAATTGGGGATGTGGTATCTTGTAATAGGTCACAATGACTTTTTTCTTTCTTAGTGATGTGAGAAATTAATGGTTAATCCTGCGATTTTCAGCAACTTCCATTTGACAAAAGAAGGATTAGTGAGGGGCTGAAGTGATAGCACAGCGGGTAGGGCATTTGCCTTAAACGCTGCCCAACCCGGGTTCGATTCCCAGCATCCCATACGGTCCCCTAAGCACCGCCAGGAGTAATTCCTGAGTGCATGAACCAGGAGTAACCCCTGTGCATTGCTGGGTGTGACCCAAAAGGCAAAAAAAAAAATAAAAAGAAGAAGGATTAGTGAGTCTTTGGCGTTTGTATTGGCTAGTAGGGAAACTATACCCTCTGTCCTATGGATCCAGTCCTGCAGGTATCTTTATAAACAGATGATTTTGAGGGGTCAGAGGAGTAATAGTACAGTGGGTAACTGTGTGCATTTGCCTTGCACACAGTTGACCCGGGTCTGATCCCCAGCATCCCATATGGTCCACCCGAGAACTACTAGGATCAAATCCTGAGTGCTGAGCCAGGAGTACTAAGCATTGCTGGGTGTTGATCTTCCCCCTCCAAACAAAGCAAAACAAAAACAGACAACAAAAACTGGATGATTTGAAGGGCTGGAGAGCTGCAGTGGGAGGTGAGATTCTTACCTTGTATGTGGCTGTGGTGGCAAAGATCTGGTTCCGTCCCCGGCGCAACATACGATGTCCTGAGACATGCCCCCCCCCCCCCCCCCCCGGGGTCACTCCTGAGCAGCACTGGGTGTGGTTCCTCTCCACCTCTCCACCAGTGGGTAGTTCAGGGACTAGGGCTCAGGGCTGGAGCATGGAGCATGTGCCTGGCACATGGGGGTCCCAGGCTCCCATCTGGGAGCACCACTAGGTATGGCCCCCAAACAAAAAAAACAGGTTTGTCTGGGGAGGCTTCAGTCTGTCCGTGTAAAAGTCACAGATCAGACACTGTTTCTCCTGGGGCCTCCCAACCAGTGCCGTGCCTGGCCACCCCTCCCGCTGCCTGGCTGGCTGTGAGGCTGGTGGCCCTCGAGGGCTGCACTTGAGGGCGGTGCCCTCCGTGCTGTCTCTCAGCCTGGGATGGCGGCTCCTCCTCTCCCTTTCCTGCATGAGGTCCTGGGAGAGGAGTGTCTCTTCCTACCACAGCAGCGTCGGTCCTAGTGGACTGGATTGGGGCCACAGGGTCCCGGCCCAGAGCTGCGCAGCAGCAGGGGAGCAGCCGCTCCCCTGTCAAGCCCGGGTCGCATGCAAGGCAGGCGACCCCCTGCTGTGCTTTGCCCTGGTCCTTTCCTTGCTCTTCATGGCAGCTTCCGCAGACTTGAAGTGGAGCGATGGCACAGTGGGTGGGGCACTTGTATATGGCCGACCCAGGTTCAGCAAACGAGACCACTGTTGGTTCCCTGAGCCCCAGGAGTGATCTCTGAGCACTGCTGGATGTGGCCCAAAGAAGAAGAAAGCCGAGTCCTCCGAGTGGCCAGTGTGAGTGTGCTGTGTGGGGATGTCCTCCGGAGACAGCGGGAGCCCTTTATTTCTTGGCTTTTATTTCTTGGTTTATTTTTCAGCCGCACCTGGTGGTGCCCAAGGGTTACTCCTGACTGCACCCAGAAATCACTCTTGGTGGTGCTTGGGGGACTATATGGGATGCTGGGGGTTGAACCCAGGTTGACTGGGGTGTGCAAGAGGAATGCCACACTCTGACCCTACTTTTTTTTTAAAGTAGAAATACTGCCATTTATTAGCTATCGATTAAGCTGATTGAATTGACCATGAACTCCACATGACTTTTTTTTATTCAGAATGTTAATTTTATTATTATTTTTTGATCACCGTGAGATACAAGGCTTTCCTGTTTGAGTTTCACCCAACCCTCCACCAGTGCACATCTTCCACCACCAAGGTCCCTAGTGTCCCCCCATCCCACTCCTCCCCCTGCCTCTAAGGCAGACAGTCTCCTCCATACTCTCTTTTGTATTGCTTGTTATGAATAGCATGAGATGTTGCGCGGCTGTGAGAGTGGCCTCGTGCTCCTGGAGTTCTGAAATTTTAGATAATTAGGGTCTGGAGAAGTCTCTGCAGCTTGCTTGGCTTGGAGATTCTTTTGTGTGTCTCTTGATCATGGCCGCTAAGGAAGGAGCTTAAGTTTGTGGGCGTGACCGCCAGGGTCCCATGGGGTGGGGATGAGAGGGACCTGCCCATCCCCTATCTCCTGTGGCCTGGAGTTTGCCTCCCTGAACTCGAGTACCTGGACTGACCTACGTTAAAAAAAAATATTTTGAAAATTTCTTCCTTGAACTCTGCTCTGCAGCTGTGCAGGGTTGCAGGAAAGGCCAAGCTGACGGCTGTTTGTTTGTGCGTTGGTGTGGCCGGCTGCTCGTCTCTCTGAAGGGTGGCCGAGTGCCTGAGCACTGGAGACGAGGGGTGCGTCAGTGCCACGGGCTTTGTGTGGCTTTTGGTCCCTGCCGGTGCGTGCCGCGGTGTGCGGGGCTGGGCTTGGCCGGGCGTCTGCGTGCAGTGTGACTCTGCCCTTTGCACCATCGCTCACAGCATGCGGCTTGCTCACTCCCTCCAGGAGCTTTTCTGCCAGCGAGGCGTCTGCAGGGCCGCAGCCCCGGCCCCTCCCGATCCAGGCGCCTGTGGCTTTGCTGCTCTGTGAGGGAAACGGGCAGCGTGTCCAGCACTCGGGCAGTTGGCGGTTGACTTTGTCACAGGATGTTCTCCAGGCCCTGAGCCAGCTTGAGGAGCAGAGGCCAGAGAGCACAGCCAGACCCTTGGGGACAGGATGCAGGGAGCGACAGGTGAAAGGTACGGTGCAGGAGTCGGAGGTTCGGGGTGCCAGCCAATGTGGGAGGCAGCGATCCACTCCAAACAGCCCCTGCGAGCACATGTTCTGCTTGGAGTTTTGCAGGTGGCTTCATGGCTCGCACCTGGGCTCTGTTTGCCAGTGGCAGGAACCCGAGGCAGGCCATGATCTACAGGCCGAGGGAGGTGGTGGGCCTGGTTCAGATGAGACCTGCGGTGCCAGGTGGCCTGGCACTCTCTGTGGAGGGCAGGGCTGAGCCTGGGTGGTCTTTATTGTCCTCATGCCATAAACATGCGGCCAGCAGACCTTAAAATACCTTCAGACCTTCAGATGCAAGTGTTAAAGCTGGTTTTGTGGGTGTTTTGTTTATGGGCCACACCTGGCAGTGCTCAGGACTTACTCCTGGCTCTGTGCTCAGGGATGGCTCCTGGCAGGGCTCGGGGGACCATATGGAGTATCAGGGATCAAACGGAGATCAGCTGTGTGCAAGGCAAGATCCTTAACTGACCTTGTACTATTTCTCTGGCCTTCGCTTTATGTTTTTCAAATGACAGGCGGGTTTCTTAGTCTTCTTAGTCCAGAGAACTCAAACTACTTTGATAAATCTTTATCAAAGATGAAAGATTTCATTAGTTGCTAACATTTTTTTTTTAAATAAGAATTTTAAAATGATCCCCTGGCCCATCTGTCAGCGGCTGATGCCCGTTCTCTCTCTGGAGGGCTGTTCCAGTCCAGAGTGTCCAGGGGCTTCCTGGGATCTGAGCCTCATGCTCTGCATCCTTCTTGCCGACTGTAGGCTGCTGGGCTGCAGATGGGCTTCCCAGGGGTTGAGTCTGGCCCTTCCTTGCATCTCACCTGGCTGAGGTGCCACCTGACTCCCTCTGCAGCTTTGGAGGGGCACGATCACAATCACGACCATCCTGTTGTTCGTCGATTGCCTCGAGCAGGCCCCAGTAACGTCTCCTTTGTCATAGCCCTGAGATTTTTTTTTTTAAAGTGCCATATCAAAGCTCATTCAGGGTTAGGAGAATGACACCTATCATTGTTGGCATATTGGGTACGCCACGGGGAGTTTGCCAGACTCTGCCGTGTAGGCAGGTTACATTTGGTAGCCTGCCAGGTTGTCCAAAGCAAGAATGAGATAAGATGATTCGCGGCCACGCTTCCTGGAGCTGGGTTTTATAGTCTCTGGGTCTTGGCCGCTGATGGGATTACACGGCGCCAGGGGGTGGGTGTGACCCCCGCCTACTGGAATATGGAGGATCTGGGTGGAGGATGCTCAGCCCCGATCCGAGCAGGCTTGGAGATTTCAGCCCCGGAACCCGCATGCCTTTGTTCCTCTGCCGGTACCTTCATGCCTGTGGAGAGTGGTCTCAGCATGGTGGTGGCTGGTTCTGGAGATCTTCAGCTGGAGGGGCACATCAGAGAAAAAAGCTGGTGCTTCAGAAACCAATTTCTTAACTATCTGACTTTCAGTAGAAATCTTCCAGGGTCGATAGGTAAAATAGCAGAAATCCAAAACCAACATTTAATTCTTGAACCCAGCTGTAGAAAGCAAATCACTTCACAATGCTTTTTCAGCATGTCTGATTTGGGGGGGGGGGGTAAACTCTAGATAATAGTGGTGAATCTTTTATTGGAAAGGTGAATCTAATCAAAGCAGATGGAGTGTTAACTAGAGTTCATCTGCCTCACAGGGACGGGGAGGGGTGGGGGGGGTGGGGTTTTATTGGGGTTCTTCATGGTAGAAGATGAGTGTTGGTAAAGGGAAATGTGTTTGATATTTGCATGACTGAGACATAAACCTGAAGGCTTTGTAACCTTTCCCACAGTGATTCAATAAATAAAAAAAAAAAAAAAAAAAGCTGGTGCTTGAAACTGTACACATGGCTGGAGAGTACTTCAGAGAATAGGGTTTTTGCCTTGTGCGCAGCTGACCTGGGTTCGATCCTTAGCACCCCATATGGTCCCCTGAGCCCCACCAGAAGGGATCTCAACGGTGCAGAACCAGGAGTAAGCCCTGAGCGCTGCTGCAAAGACCACCTCCGCCAACCCCAATTTAAAGTTAAAGTAGTAATTAGTGTGAATGGCCACTAGGTGTCACCCTGGGAGCTCTCAGTCCTGTATTGGGATCCCTTTAGGATACACTCAACAAATTTGAAGGTTTTTTCTTTCTTTTCTGGGTAGGGGGAAGCCCAAGCGGTGCTCAGTGGGCTGGGGGTGGGGGGCTCTGTGTTAGCTGACATCGGGGGTTCAGTGCAGGGCCCAGAGACACCCATGGTGTTCTGGGCGCCTCCATGGCCGTGCCCAGTGGTGCTGGGGTGGGATCTCTTGCGATGGGTGTGTTGGTTGATGCTGGGAACCACGTGTGGGACCACAGTGGAGCTGAGGCCAGACTGCCGCCACGCCGGAGGGCTGCCTTGGCTTCCTGCCGTTGGCCAGCTGTTGAGGAGGGTGAGGTTGGACACAGACTCGTGTGGTTTGACAGTCGTGGCAGGAGCTGTTTCCAGTGCCCTGGAGCGAGGCAGAGCTGAGGGACTCCTCTCCTGACTGGACAGCCCACAGGGCACTGTCCTGGCCTGGCTTGTGCTTCCAGTGACCACTAATGGCTAATGGCTCTTCCCTGTTGTGTGGGCTCTGCAGGTTTCTCCAGCGACAGTGACCTGCTGTCCCTCACAGTCGATGCCGACTCCCTGGCCGAGACAGATGATGGAATGGCTTCCGGTCAGAACTCTCCCAGGAGAACGCCAGGGCCCCATCTTCCCATGGAGTCCGCAGGGCTGGGGCCTGTGGCTGCTGACAGTGAACACGGCAGAGTGGAAGAGGAGCGGGTGACTCGGAGCCTCTTTCCTGGAAGCTTCAGGCCCAGACTTGGCAGGAGAGATTACTTGGACAGAGCGGGAGAATTCATAAAGCTGGCTCTGAGGAAGGAGGAGGACGAGGACTATGAGGCCGCTTCCTGCCTCTACAGGAAGGGGGTGGATTCGCTGCTAGAAGGGGTTCAAGGTACAGTCTCATGTCTGTTGACCGGTTCTGGCGTGTTCTTAGGTTGGCCCGTGGGGAAAGAGTCGACCCCAAATCCCTTTAGTTTTGTTTATGATGCCGTGTGAAAGCCCCGTGGAGGGATCTGGACCTCTGTGCCTGTGTGCTTTCTGTTTTGGGGGTGGAAGATGGCATCTCAGAGACTTGGCTTTCTGTCTTGAGCAGTTCATTAACAGGAGCAGGGTAAAGACCCATGTGTGCCTGGGAGTGAGCGTCTTTGTGAAGAGGAGTGGGTGTGTGAGTATGCTCAGGCTTCTCCAGAGCATTTCCAGACGCCCCTGCATTCCTCCAGTGACCCCAGAACCTTTCAGACTTGCAAGGGCCAGGCTGGACCTGCTCCTCATCTCTCTCTCTCTTTCGCTTTTTGGGTCCCACCTGGCGATGCACGGGGTTCACTCCTGGCTCTGCACTCAGGAATTACTTCTGGCGGTGCTCAGGGGACCATATGGGATGCTGGGAATCGAACCCTGTTCGGCTACGTGCAAGGCAAACGCTCTACCCGCTGTGCTATCACTCCCGCCCTGCTCCTCATCTGTCCTAGGGTGCAGAGTCTCTGCTGCTGGCTGGCTGCAGGGGTGCTCGGCTACCAGTTTCCCAGCACCCATATTTGTGCAGGAGCCATTTTTTTTTTTCCCTGGGAGGCAGAGTGGAGCACTTCAACACTTATGTACTCTCCTGGACAGTCTTATCTGAGGGCGTGAGGCATCTGTCCAGAGGCTGTCCCCTGCCTTCTCCTCCCCGATTCACCGGGCCCTGTCCGTCCGGCCTGACATGTTGCCTGGACCAGAAATGTCCCCTGTTCTCAGCTTGCATCGGGAGTTCAGGTTAGGCATGCTGAGTGATTGCAAACAATTTGCTCTTATAGTTTCCCCTTTCCTGAAATATCACTAGTACTTTATTTGCATAAACAAAACATATTGTGGTTTTGTTTTTCGACCTTACCTGGCAGTACTCAGGACTTTCTTCTGGCTCTACACTCAAGGATCATTCCTGGGGCTCTGGGTACCACATGGGATGCCGGGGATCAAACTTGGTTAACCATATGCAAGGCCAGTGCCCTACCCACTGTACTATTGCTCTGGCTCATAGTGTTTTTTTTTCTCCCTGTCTGAAAGACACATGGATTTAATCTTAGAACACTTCAGAGTGTTACCACTTGATGGCACCAGAAAAACAAAAATTTTTCTTCAAAATGGAAATTATGACTGCATATCAGCAAATAATACCATGAACTTTGCAGACTGTGATGGTGGAGCATATTACCACCAGAGCTCGGTGCCAAACTGGGTGGCTCTGCTTTTCTCTCTGGGGGAGAGGGCTCCTAAGTGGTGCTCAGGAGGCCTGGAATCCTCCTGGCAGTTCTGGGTCAGCCTGGGGTTCAGTGGGAGGGACCAGGGAGGCAGTATGCTTGGGATGTCAGGGCCACACCTAGAAAAACTCAGTGCTCAGAGGTCTGCGTGGTGATGACAGACCAGGGTTGACTGCGTGCCAGCACTGCGCCTTTGTTCAGAGCTGTCTCCGCCACTGGAGTGTGTGTTGGGTTTCTTATTAAAGTAAGAAATGTGGGGCTGGAGTGATAGCACAGCGGGGAGGGCGTTTGCCTTGCATGCGGCCAACTCGGGTTCGATTCCCAGCATCCATATGGTCCCCCAGCACTGCCAGGAGTGATTCCTGAGTGCAGAGCCAGGAGTAACCCCTGAACATTGCTGGGTGTGACCCAAAAAAAAGCAAAGCAAAAAAAAAGTACCGTGTGTGTTGGGCGGGGAGGGGGGACGCAGTCAGACCACATGCTGCGCTACACAGCCACTTGCCCAGCCCTGGAGTGATTTTTATTGCTGATTTGTTGTCTGATCCAGAGAATTAGACTCATTATTCCTAGTTAGTTGGTTAGACTCATTATTTCTATATGACTCATTATTTCTAGTCTTCTGTTGTTTATTATTTGATGGTTTCTTATTCATACAGTTTGTGCAGTCTACAGTCCCTGCATTCTGGTTCTCAGCCAAGCTTCAGCTGCACATGGGGTCCTTGGGTCAGATACAAGGAAAGGGCTGATTTTGTTGGGAGGGGGTTAGTCACTACCCAGCAGACTGGGGAATGGCTCTTCTTTTCCAGAATCTTCCCATTGTTATCAAGGTGCTATTGCAATGACATCCAATGCACTGCGTCTAGCTTGGGCATATTTGCAGACCATGACATGATTCCCACCGTGGCTTGCAGTAAACTTGTCAGCAGTCCTCCCTCCCATTGTTTGTCCTGGTGGCAAGAATTTTCCACGTTCCCCCATAGCAGAGTCTGAATTCTGTCCCTAGTGCACTGACTTATGGAAGCCTGTTGCCCTTGGCCACTGTCTCACCTCCTAACCTTGAAGCCCGCGTCCTAACTCAGGGTCCAGTCTTGGATAGGGAAGTTTCTTACCCCCTCTGCCTGGACACAGCTCGCGGTACAGTGCCTGGGACAGAGTCTCCCGTGTCCTCCTGCTGTGGAAGGACATACCCCCTTTCTCTGCACACATGTTGGTAGGCTTCAGTGGTCACCACATCTGGGCTGTTGTAAGTGCTGCTGTGGCCAGCAGGGAGCTTGTGTGTAAGATAAAATTGGTTTGTCCTTTCTCCTTTGCCACAAGGAACTTATGTTTATTGGGTTATACCCATCACAGTGCTCCCGAGTCACTCCCGTTCCTCTGTGCTTATCTGTAACTTTTATGCTCTCTTCCCCAACCAGTTAATCAGCTTTTACCTTAATCAAATTCTGTTAACTTGTAAGGTCAGATCTTTCTAGGACACGTGAACTTGTATTGTAAGTTAATATTGCCTTTCTCCTTTCCTTATATCTTTTGAATAGTTTACTTTAAAGCAGAGTTCTTTTTGTATGGCCAAAGGAAGACAGTTAATATTATGCTTTTGTAACTTGGGAGTAAATTGTCTCCAAATAACCCATACTCCCAGGCATCAGCTTTCTCTACTCAGTTGCCCTTAGTTCCTAGCACCCCAAAGCAGGGTCCCGACGAGGGACTGAATGGACCGAGGGCAAGCTGTGAGCTAACCTGGCATCGAAATGGGCCAGGCAAAAGCACCACGATACTCAACTATAAGTTGAGAGCATGGTCATGGACAAATGCTGTCATGATCCAAAAGTAATGACAAGATTAGAACCCTGCTGGGGATAGGAAAGACTGTGTGTTTTCTTTTTTTTTTTTCTTTTCTTTTTTGTCTCCAGCCAATGGAGTGTGTGGGGTTTCTTATTAAAGTAAGAAATGTGGGGCTGGAGCGATAGCACAGCGGGTAGGGCGTCTGCCTTGCACGCAGCCAACATGGCCGACCTGAGTTCGATTCCTCCGCCCCTCTCGGAGAGCCCGGCAAGCTACCGAGAGTATTCGATATGCCAGACACAGTAACAGCAAAGTCTCCAATGGAGACGTTACTGGGCCCGCTCGAGCAAATCGATGATCAACGGGAGGGCCTTTACTTTACTTACTTTTTACTTACTTTTTAAATGTAGGAGTACTGCTATTTATTCAGCCACTGATTAGCTGATTGAATTGGGCATGAACTCCATCTTACTTTTTTTAAAAAATTTTTTATAATTTTATTTATTGAATCACCGTGAGAGCAGTTACAAAGCTTTCGGGTTTAAGTCTCGGTCATACAATGAAACACCCATGCCTTCACCAGTGCCTGTTCTCCACCTTCAAAAACCCCAGTATACCCCCATCCCACACCCTCCCCCAACCTGTGGGGCAGATGATTTCCACGTTACTCTCTCTCTACTTTGATCACATTCAATATTTTGACACCAGACCCACCATTATTATTTGGGATTTTACCCCAACACTCAGATCTGCTGAAAAGGCAACAGTAGACAATTTGTTTCCTATTGCTGGTTATGAATAACATATGATATCATGCGGCTGCAGTAGTGGCCACGTGATTTTGAAATTCCGAAATTTTAACAATTAAATCTGGAGGGATTTCTGCCAAAACCTGCTGGGTTCCGAGATTTGTTCCTGAGTCTCTTGGATCATGGCCATTAAGTAGCTTGATCAGGAGCCAGAGAGGCCGTTCATGGGCAGCGACTCAGGGTCTCATTGGGACGGGGAGGAAAGGGCTAGCTCCACCCCCATCCCATGAGGCACCATGTATCTCATCACTGCGGGCCCAAACTTGACTGTCAGTGACCTCTGGAGGTTGATGTCCACTGGGCCGCCAGGGGGAACAGGCCAAGGCATGAAACCTATTCCCATCTGGGGTGGCCCAGTTCCGGTAACCTACTGCAGAGACTGGATGCATTTCTGCCAAAAGCTCCTGGGTTCTGCGATTTGTTTGAGTCTCTGGGATCATGGCCATTAAACAGCTTGATCAGGAGCCATAGAGGCCGGTTGTTGGCGGCAACTCAGGGTCTCGTTGGGGTGCGGGGGAAGGGCCGGCTCCACCCCATCCCGTGAGGTCCCACGTGTCTTGTCACTGTGGGCCCAAACCTGACTGTCCAGTGGCCACTGGAGGATGGCGGCCACTGAGCCGCCAGGGGGAACAGGCCAAGGCACGAAACCTATTCCCACCTGCGGTGGCCCAGTGCCTGTAACCTACTGTAGGTACTGGACCCATTTCTGCCAAAAGCTGCTGGGTTTCGAGATTTGTTTCTGAGTCTCTTGGATCATGGCATTAAATGGCTTGATCAGGAGCCAGAGAGGTCGTTCATGGGTAGCAACTCGGGGTCTCGTTGGGATGGGGAGGAAAGGGCTGGCTCTACCCCCATCCCGTGAGACCCCACATGTCTTGTCACTGCGGGCCCAGATCTGACTGTCCAGTGGCCTCTGGCAGATGGCGGTCACCAAGCCGCCAAGGGGGAGCAGGCGGAGGGACAGCACCCTTTCCCCCCTGGGGTGGCCCAGTGAAGTAACCTACTGTGGGGTCCAGACGCATTTCTGTCAAAAGCCGCTGGGTTTCAAGATTGTTTCTGAGTCT